TGACTTGACAGAGTTTGTCCCGGCGACAGATCTCGCGACCCTTACGGCCGAGATGCGAACGAAGTTTCTGGCCAACCCAGACGGCGTTAAGGGATTTCGTGTGTTGTTCCCTACGCTGCCAGTGGTGGAGCAGAATTATACCATTGCCCGACGAGACAATGTAAGTGAAGATGCGAGTGTGGATGTGCGAGCAGGTGAAGGACAGGTCGCGCGGGTAGCGCTATGGATGGCGGGAAAAGCCACGTCCTTACAGGCGGGGCCTCCTTCGGCCTTCCCGGCGTTACTAAGTGAGGATGGTCATACCTTCACTGTGAAGACAGGGTGGTCGTTAAGAGTTTGGAAGTTTGTGTTTTGTGGTGAGGATTCGGTCATTCCCGCACTGGTATCTCTGCAGGGTGCTGGTATTCGCAGTAGCCTGTACAGGGATCAGGTGGAATGCCGCGAGTACGGACCTATTTACTATGCGTGTCTTGCGCGTAATAAGGGACGGGACTTAGTACAGATAGAGCTAGATGTAGCTCGAAAATACAAGGAGCTTGCTATCGGTCGAGCCGCAACATCGCGGATGCCGGAGCATTGGATCGACGGCGACACGAGACTCTTAATGACTCGTTTTCGAGACCATCCTGTTGTTTGTATACCTTTAGGGGGGAAGCAACCAGCTGCGGTGGGAGGGAAAACGGTTCCCTGGAGAAAATATTATTTAATCCTCGCGCATAACTCTTTGTTGGGAACCGGTCATGGCGGGCCGACCCTGACTTATAATCATTTACTTGATCGGAGCGTGTTTTGGCCGACAATGTGGAGAGATGTCCAAAATCATTGCAAGTCGTGCATTTCGTGCACCATTGCTGAGGCAACAAACACACGCAATAAGGCCCCACTAGGCCACGAGACGTATTTGGGTTTCTTTCGAATCTTGAACGTTGATCATGTGGGCCCGTTCAAAGTGGACCGGGGCTATAGGTATTTGCTCTCGGTAAGGGATCACGCCACGCTGTTCAGCTGGTTTATCCCGGTGAAGTCGAAGTTCACGCGAGAGGCTGCGGAAGCGCTGGTGGCGAATGTATTTTGTTTAACTGGTTACCCAGTGATTGTTCGATCAGATCGAGGATTCGGCGAACAAGGCGACAAGAGTTTAGGCAAATGGCTCCAGGTGTACGGGGTGCACCATGCTCCAGTAATGCCTTATTCCCCGCAGGCGAATTGGTTGGTTGAAGTGTTGCACAAACCATTAAGGAAGTTGCTCATGAAATTTGCGGAGAATTCAAAGTGGATTGAGCTTGTTCCTTACTTGAATTGGATTGCGCGTACAACACCTTACGAGGTGTTGAATGGAAGATCTGCATATGAGGTGGTCTTTGGCTGTAAACCACGACACGCGTTTTCGGAAACTCTCCGGACTGCGTTCGGCGGGAACGCTGGGACTGACCTGTACTTGCAAGAGGCGAACAAATTTCGTCAGAATATAACTGAAGAAACTGAACGTTTTAGAAACGAGAGGAGTAACATTCGATCGATTGCACAGACTACACTGCAGGGGCAGCATCTGTGGACTCCCTTGGTTGTAGGAGACTTGGCGGTAGTGAAGAATAATAAAGCAAGGAAGGAGTCTTTCGATCCAAAGAACTATCCAGCTTTGTTCAAAGTAAAAAAGGTCAGTGCGCGCTATATTATTCTTACCGATCTGCATAATCAGGACGCGACCGGTGCGGCGGGAGGAAAACTTCCTACGCATCTGGTAACGCGAGCAGTTCCGGCTTCTCACGTTTCCCAGTTTTTGGGACAGCTTGACTATATTCCGTCGACGGCGGATATGTTGGGTAAAACAAGAGAAGACTTCATGACGGAGGACAATGATCAGAAGGATGAGATCTAGGAACGATGGAAGTTCCGTTCTGGAGCCTTGGAATCTTCGGACCAAAGCCGTTCTTCTTCTGTTCTTGTCTGGGTGGGCTTACGCACATCAAGATAAACACTTGCTAGCATTATTTAACGAAGGACTTTACTGCTATGACCAAACTCTGCGGGCTGGTTATATGTGGGTGAAGTGAGTCCGATCGATTCGGGAAGAGGCCGACTGTCTCTTGGCCTGTTCTAGCTCAGCAACAACAAAGTCTATCAACCTAGTCAGGCTGGGGCACAGTGGTTTGCGAGTCAGGGAACGCTGGATGGCTGGTGGCGTAAAGGATTGATCCCCCTTTACCCCGGCATGCAGTGACTCGAGATTATATGTTGTGAGCCGGATTCACATGAGACGTCGTCCTGGGGGCGTCTATGGGAATATTCGTAGTTACCGGACTCACTTTAGAGCATAAGATAGTCTCACTTTGTGCCATTTCCGAGGGAAATGGCTGCCATGGATCTAGACCCACAATGGGTTGTTGATAGACCGCGTGACACCGTTGAAGATGGGACCATAGACGGAAACTGCTTGGAAGTAAGCGGGTTTCGCTCGCCGTTATGGTTATGTCTAGATAGGCTTCGCCTAGCGACACCATTAGGATTGACTTATGTCTGCGCATTGGTCATGGAAGTCTTTGAGAGCGTTGCGGAGGATATCCGATCCTACGCCAGACGTGGTCTGCAGTTGGATGTAGCAGCCGCGCCTTGCGGGTGCGAATCTGTTGGAATGTCAGAAGACAGGACCTTGCTGTCGCAGCGAGTATAGCAAGGACGCTTGCTCTGGTGCGTGATGGAAGGTTGTATCTGGGGTGGCAGTACAGGGAGCCTTACGGACTTGTCTGTCTGCTGACTGGCCAGGCCTTGGGTGCTCTTCGAGCACTAGCCTCATGTGGGTTAGGTGTCTAGCGTTAGCACAATGACACAGTATCATCCTTCCTTCGGTTGGATCTTGGTATAGTTTGCATGATGTGATGCTTTGCAGGTGTTGCATTATGTGACCGGACAGCACATTCACGAGGTGGGTGCTGACGCGGTGCTGCGAAGGAGGGGCAGCACCGACCTGGCCCGAGGTGTCCAACGGGTGCGTCCATCCGCTGCGCGGGTGGGCGGATGGAGGATCTGCGATCTCTCCTTGACTATCTTGACTTCAATGCACTACATAACGAGATCATGGCATTCGCCTGGTGTAAGTAGACTGTGCAGGAACTGGTGACAAGTCAGATGCTTCTGGTGATGGAGCTGCAAGGCAACTCACGTTGTTGCAGTGACTCTCACGCGGGAGGAGCGTTCTAGGAAAGCAGCGATGTTCAATGTGAAAGATAGTGAGACTATCTTATCTTGTTCTGAGTATGGTAAAGGCGTGATTTCTACTAATGATGAGCGACTAGTCAAATTAGATTCGAAAACTCAAAATAACCGAGTTACTGACTGAAATAAGGGAGGTAGCTTAACATCAAGGCACTCCCCTTTTTCATCAGTTACTTGCTTATTTCTGATCAGTTACTTGCTTATTTCAGTTTTTCGAATACCTCAGACGCTATTATTCATCATCGGCACGTTGACGAGTAGATGCAAATCATCCTCTAATAATTGGGAGCACTTGTTGATGATAACGTTGTTGCGTCCTACTGGTCGACTGCACACGAGCGACTTTACCAAAAAGCGATACAGCACGCAGCTCGCGTGGTAGGAGAAGAGTTGATCGTGCCTGCCGTAGATATGGTTGGGAACGAATTGCCGACCGATGAGGAGCAAATCGAGGAAAACCAAGGATGGATCGGGGGGGTGAGCGGCTCACTCAGTGATTCTGACGAACAAGCGAAATTTAAAGTAGTGAATGCTCTACGCGATGGAATTCGAGCAGAAATCGATATTACGGATCTTGCACCAGAAGAAGATACACGTGATTCTACCTCTACTTCGCAAGAAGAGCAGGATAAAGAACGTTTAGTGGGGACTATCATGGGTGACCGGGAAATTGATGAGCGGGTGGAAGAAATGCAGATACTTCCCATTTCAGACGAATTCATCTCGGCAGTGGTACGGTATGGCTCGAGACAGATCTTGATGCGAAAACAGCAGGAGCACGAAGAAGCGAAGGAGGTGATTAACATTAAGGGAGCGCTTGTGGAGGCATTATTCGCTTGGCTCGCAGAAAAACGAGCGCAGTGTCAACATCTTGATGCCGGAGGAGAGTATACAAGAAGTGACTACTTTTCATCAGGAAGAAACAACACCACATCTCTGCCTGTGTCTCCCGCCTCGTCTTCTGCGCGGATGAGCAAATCGTTTATGCACAAGAGAAGCCCGATTCGAGCCACGCCACGGACCGTTGATCTCAGTCCTTTATTGGACAAACAACTCGAAAATCCGTACGTAGTTCAGAATTTCTTTGAAAAGGTGGCTCATACAGTTGTTGCTTTGTGGGTTAAAAATTTCGAAAGAGTAAGGAACATGAAGTAGGACAAGGAGAATTTTTTAGACAAGGAAAATTTATTACACTGGCTGTACTCGTATTGAGTTCTTACATAGCTCTACGCTATAATAGAAGCAAAGTATTTTTGAACACTCACTCCAAGTATAAGTAAGAAGAAAAAAGTAGAGGCAGATTCTCTTGTTTGGCTTTGGAATTTTCCTTTCTTATTTACATCATACCATTACGAGCAGCTTCTCTACGTGACGACTGCAAGCATCTTTCTTATGTGGAACAAGAATTACAGGCTTGTGAATTTGACGATGATATCAACATTGTTATTTTCTCATAAACATAGAGTGAGTAGAAGAAACATAATGAAGGGGTGCGTCACTGTCTATTTTCTCTACAACTGTAGTGGTCACCTGCTTCTACCCATTATATTGATACTTACTTTGCACAACATAAATAGAGTTATAGATTTCATGCTTTCTTTTAGTCTTGGACTATATATTGCCAAGGTGTCTTGAGGCGACCATTGATGTAGTCCTTTGTAGACTACGTCATTGGATTTCTACTGGGAAAAATATGCCATCATGACATTGCATGCACAAATTTCTTCACGGCTTAATGTCGTGTAAACTATTTTTTTACATATTTGGCCATTGAATATCAACACCACGGTATCCGACACCGACTTCTAGGACATGCCATACAGGAGATGTCCCTCACAGGATATGAATGCCCCTGTCTTTTTTTGAAGCTTTGTTCGTTGTAATAGACGAGAGTGCTCTCGCACAGGTTCTGTCTAGGAAAAGGTCTAAGCCATGCTGCCTTCTGTGAGGAGGTGAACACTTTTAGGAGGTCTCGCTTGACAGTAAATTTTCCACTCCCAAGACCCGCTGAAATCTAACCCCTGTTTCGCTTTTTGGAACTTAACATCCCCTCTCTTGATGTCTGGTTTGTAGTCGTCCATGTGTCGCGTTCTCTACTCAACGAAAAATTGCAAGCACCATATGATTTTCGTTTCCGTCCGAACTCTTCTTATTTTGATTGTCAATCCTCTGATTCCCTTTTATCTCAACCAAAAGACCAAAAGAGATGGCCGACGAAGATGAAGAACTCAGTGCCGCGATCGACAAGGGAGATGCAAACGCAGCTGCAGCGCTACTTCTGAATAAAACGGGTCCACCTGCCTATGCCTCTTTCGTCGACATGTGCATATCCCGTGGCAAGATTGAATTTGGATTCAACACTCTTCTCGCTGTAGCAGGCACATCAGGTGACTCAGCAGATAATTCACGTCCTTCGGTTTCTGAGATGCTTATTCTGCTTCGCAAAATCCAAGTGCTTCCAACGGAGCCAAAAAGAACGCTGCAGTGGATAGACGATGAAGGAGGGAAAGTACTCACGGATTTACATATAAGATGAGCATCTTTCGTTGTAGTTAGGTGGATGTGACGATAGATTTTTATCAGAACAACAACTCTAACTCTATTCATTTTAAACACTTGCTTCACAATCTCATAGTCTTGATGCAACATATCCTCTGAACGTCTGTCTTTTTTCACCATAAATGCCAACATCAACAAGGTTCTCTCCCTCTGCCCACCGTTTCTTCTCGACGTGATGGAGCATAGCGTACGTCTCTTGCTGAACGTTTCCTTTGTCGCGCGTCAGAGACAAGAACTTCGTTTACTAGACGACGAAGTCTTCGGCGCAACTGGTTTGATGACGGAAGAAGAGGCGCGTGAGGACCTGGCACAGCGAGAAGGCGTCAAGGAGAAATATGAAGGCGATGCGAAGCGCGCTTTTGCAACAGTGTTGTCTTGTGTATCGGAATTGAGAAAGAAAATAGCGGAATATGGAGCGAGAGAAGAGGATCTGGTAGGTGCAATTGCTAATGCTAGTGCTAATATGGGCACTGGAACACCAGGTGAGGGAGAGAGCACCCCTTCAAGTGCGGATATTGAGATGAACAAGGTCAAAGCTTCTTTTGCCAGATGGGACAAGGAACTTGACTGTCTTGAAAAGGACCTGAGCTCTGTTGGCACTGCCCGGAGGCGGACCTCACAAGATGAAGTGGAATTTGGTGATTAAGCATGGAGATGCCGTAATGCGTTCAGCGGAGTCGAATCAATAGTCCCTGCCGCTGGGCATGCAGTTTTTAGGTCGCATAGCGAACGCGTCCGCAAAGACGAAGATGGACGCGCGATGATCGCAGGAAAAATGGATGCGGAACTGCGAGAAAATGAAAACGATAGCCTCCAGTCTACTCTCCGCGCCGCTCTCAGGCGTTCAAGTTTACGAAGATATCGGCTCCGGACGTTTCCGGACAACGTCACTATGCTTCCAGATCGGTCTTCTGGTTACACCACTACCACGCGCACTTGGACACGAGGCATAGCTAGGCGCAAACAGCGAAGACAGAACAAATACAATTCACTCAGGAGTTCGTGCTGCGTCCGGAAGCTCAACGGAGCAATGTTGAGGCGCTGTGTTGATTAATGATGTGTTGACCACTGCGACTGATTGCAATCACAACTTCTATTGCAGTCTCTGGCATTCACATTGTCACACAAGAATCCGTCTTTCTGCACACTTATTCTACAGTGCGATGGATGTAAGCGGTGTTCCATATCACTGTTCTCACTGCAACATCGAGGAGAAAGTACGTGTGACGATCAAATATCGGTTAATGTTACAAGTTGAAGGTGATCTTATTGATGTAGTGGTTAAAAGTTGTAGCATGCTGTCATGATGCAGGACATCGAACTTTTTCAGCACACTCAGAGATCATAAATGAGATGAGTGAGAAGTAGAGATTCGTTTTCTGGTTGAACAGAAATCTAGGAAAAAACTCCAGCCACTGATTAGACTTGGTTTTTTCTGGTGCGCCCTCTTCCACTCGCTCCTCAACTTGATTTTTGATTTCCTGTTGGCAACGTCCTCATTGACTCTTCGTCTAAAAGTAAGCTAGAACATCAAAATGGCAGCTTCTTCGTCGTCCACCATGCCTAGTTGTACTGCGACAACAGCAAAGGTGCACCCTCTCGTTCTGCTAAACGTGTCAGACCATATGACAAGGAAATCCGAGACTGAGGTCGTCGGTGTGTTACTGGGCGCCTATGCGGCAGATGACAGCCGCGTCGTCGAAGTGCTCAACTCTTTTGAGGTGAAGACAGAGGATGCAGAGCCTGGTACAACTGGAAGTAGGATGAAACACGACCCCGAATCGTCTCCGCTACAGCGATTAGATCATGCCTATTTGCAGCAAAGATTGCGGCAGTACGCTGAGGTCTTTCCGCGTATGGAAATGATGGGATATTACATCGGACTCGGGAACGATGTTGCCACAGCACAATCTGATACTTCATCTGCTGATATGACCTCCAGCATACTTTCTTACGCGCCAAGAGGAGTTGCGTCGTCTGATTCTGGACAGTACTTGCTGGTAATGGGAGGTAGTGGGAGTGGCAAACGCAGGAAAGCAAATTCATCATCCTCTTCATCATCTGGAAGGACATCAACAGGACTGTCACAGAAAATGGACGGTCTCGGCCTGGCTGCGATGTCTACTCTAGAGCAACCAGGGCAACCACAAGGTTCTTCACCATCTGCATCCTCAAGTACACTCAGTGACAATAATATTAGGGAGCAAGAGAAGATGCCAATCAGGGTGTTCGAAAAAAGCACTGTAGACACGTGGACCCCCGTGTCGCATACGCTAGAATCCACAGAAATCGAACGGGTAGCAGTCCAACACGTCTCTGCAGCGAGTACGAATGCGTCGCAATTTGCTGATGTACTATTTGTTTGATTATTTCCTGTTGCGTGCACTAAGAGGAGGAATTTGTTTCTCATGAATCTACCTATTCGGGCTTGCAACACCTTCAAACCTCCTAATTCATTCGTTAACCCTACAATTCCACAGCATGGCGGTACGGTTCTTCGTTCCATAGGGGTGTTGCGGAGTCGGCTCGATATTTTGATCGACTATCTTGGGTCACCAGGCCCAAAGGACGCTGCTGTGCTACGTGGGATATCCCTCATCTGTTCGCAACTGCAGAGACAGAAAGGAGATGGACATGGAGGGCCTATTACTGCTCTTCTCGGAGATGATGGGATGGAGACTCATCAAAATGGACCATTGGCAAACGGCGACTACCAGACTGCCGAAAACCCGCATACTTCGACGTTAGCCCTAGGTCCTGATATAGTGAATGCAGAGATGCTATGTTACTTGGGAGAGCTCACAACGTTGCTTACAACCATGCAGCAAGTCGCGAGTCCATTACCTTGAAGATTTGCTTTGAGGATTGGACCCAGATTGCGCTGAACTCTTTTTTTGAAAGAGTATGATATGTCCCTATCATATTTTGGTGTAAGAAAAAGATTGCGGCGGGTTTGCGTCTCCCAATATTGGTATGCTGTCTTTCGTTGAAGGGGGTTTGTTCGACCATTCAAACGACATTCATCTGTGGAGGACAGTGCCGCGCATAGAAATATAGAGCGTCGAAAATGTTAACATGAGTTTCATCTTCAATCACGTGCGACTGTTATAAAGACGCGATAATGTTGCATCTAGGCAGAAACTGCTCTGAAAATCCCTGATGCGAGCACGAGCCCTAGAAGCCTCACCCCTGTGATCTCCCAAAGTCTTTTCTCTAATTTATAGTGATTGTTTGTTTTGCTTTCTACTGTGTCATTCATTCTGAACAGATTAATGCGCCTATTGTCTGTGGTAGTAAGAAGAAAAAGAAGCATCTACTACTTCCAAGAAGTATATCTTTTTCTGTTGAAGTTGAACACAACATGGTATATTATAATCAAGGAAGATGCGACTTTCAATGCCTCAAAACCCTTTCGTGACGGCCTGAGAACCGAGCGCCTCTGCCGAGCTCGCCTTCATTTTACTGGGGCTGCGCGTAGGTTCGGTGATAAAATGGTTCGGTGGTGATTCTCCTACCCAACGTAAAGGAACCGTCGGGTGGATAAGTACCTCGAACCGTCGTGGGAAGCTACGGGTCCGAAATCTGTGCCAGTCTGAGGCCAGAAGCGAAGATAGGCATGCAGGAGCGAAAATAACAAAAAGCAGACATCATCAGTCTCCACGCCAATACCAGAACCGCAATGAACACGTGTCTCTCCTCCACCGCTGGCTCCAGGCAGCCAGCTTCAGCCTCCGAACTCGTGACGAGGTTCAAACGCAAGGATTTCGAGGTCACGGACTTTGTCACGGAGGCTGTGTCCGAAAGCCAAGGCTCGGACTATGTCGCGTCACTCGCCAATGTCCTAGACGAAGCCCTTGTCGGCATCCAGAACTCCTTGCATGCCGAAGTAGTGCTGTGCCACGATAAACTGTTGGACAACACGTTCTCACTGGAGCTATTGGACCGGGAATTGTCTCAAGTGCGGGAGAATGTTACTCTCGTCAAACGCAGTATGTCAGAAGTGAAGGCGCAATGCTTGTCGCCTTTTCGGACGTTGAATTAAGGGAAGGAATGAGACTGGGAAATAAAGGACAACTTGAGGGTATGGATTGTCTTACAACCCACTACGAATTCGAATCTATACTCTATAATCTACGAGGAAGGTGATGCTGCTAAAATAATCTATAATACTCTAATCTACGAGGAATGCTAAAATAATTCTTTAACTCCGCCATTGTCTAGACCCACTACGAATTGAAGTATAGTATACTCTAATCCAAGAGGAAGGTGATGCTGCTTGGTCGTGCGCAGGAAGTGAATGTGCTCATAAGGAGGCTCACGCGGTTCGATTTCGACTTGAAGAAATTGAAAGCGCACGTGGATCCAGGTACACTTGTGAGTCGGGTTTTTTCCGATTAGAGTGAGTTTAGACAAGGTGGGATTATTTCGAGTCAGAATCCGTGCTCTCTGCATCATATTGACTCAAAGAGAAAACTTGATGAACCTCGCCACAGTGTCCGGCGGCGTTGGCAAAGAGTACGGCAAAGCAGCACACACTGTGTTTGAGCTCGAGTCAGCTCTCACCGAGAATGGGCTCGACCGAGTCGCTAGTGTCAAAAGGGAGGTGAATTTCATCCGGTCAGTAGGTGAAAGCGTGAGGAGACGAGCGCGAGAAGACCTCTACAAGGGGTTGCGCGAGTACAATCCACAGCTGCTCGAAGATGCGACACAAGCGTTCTTCAATATGGGACGACTAGAAGAGGAGCTCCACACTCTGGCAACAGACTTAGTAACGCGGTTAGACGAGTTACTTGTGGCAATAGATCGGCCACCGCCGCAAGTACCGGCCGGAGCACCAGCTGGGAGTGCATTGTCGAGTGTGATCGATCCTTTCTTGACGAGTGCGAGCACCGTTGTGAAGCAAGCCGAATTTCTGGATCCGATATTGCAGACGAAAGCTGATCCTCTGACACATGAAAAATTCAAACCGGAGAAAAGTACTACTACTCAACATATTATATAATATGTTATGAAATGAATAATATTTATAATATATACAGGTAGTACTACGATAGACGTTTAGGCTTAGATGAGTCTTTTCATATTTTTTTGTTTCCTAGATAGGCGTGCTCCACCGATCTTATATATACAGGTAGTACTACTTGAAGTTGAATGCTTTGTTTATTTGCTGTACTATGCTGGATGAATGAGTGAGTGAGAATTTAACAGTTCTTCAACATGTTCGATTGACGTTACATACTCGTGTATATTTGCACCTCACAAATGAATAGGTTTTCTTCAGCTTGTTTGGGAGAAGTTGTTCGTGGATTGCCTCAGCGAGAGGGTGAAAGCTGCAGTAGCAAAGACAAAGCCCAGCAGTGTTTTGGTTATGTTTTACTGAGACAAAGCATGATAAGGAACGCACTCGTCTCTTAGCACCATCAATTAATATCTATGATCTTCCAGAAGTAGGCTCTGAGTACGTCTTTTGCAGAATCTTACAAATACAAGATATTACTCCTCTACTACGTGGTCTGTCTCTTCCACACTCTCACCCACACTCTCACCCGCTCTAATCCCTCAGATGAATTTCCACTTTTTTCGAGGAAATTGCAGACCCACCTGCTAGACGTGTTGGACCGGGAAAGCTTTTTGCTGCGCAAGCAACTCTTTGGAGCAGTTGACGAGCTCCATGCCTCCTTCGTGCACGCGAGTTTGACAAGGCTGACGGAACCGGTACTCTTACTTTTAAAAATTTAGGCACTAATCAATTTGAGAATGGCACCAGTCAGCGCAAGCGAGGCTGCTCGTTCTCTGGTGAATTTGAGAAAGAGTGGGTGCATATATCAAGGGCCGTAGGAAAAGCAGCGGGAAGACCCCCCCAGAGAGGGGGCGCGGCTTCTGTGTCTGGCGTCGCGCGGTGGTTTCGCAAATAAGGAGCCGGGGACGCGTGCTATGGTCTTGAAGGTTTTTCAGTAGTGGCGAAGTCGTTTGGCATCAGTTTGCTGTGCCGGTCTGCACGCGCGGCGTGCCAAAAGCTTTCGCGACATGATTGGGGGCCGGCGATGGAGCGCGTTACACAGGCGTAAGGGCCTTGCCACTTTGATAAACGAAGCAGATGAGGGGGACCACGATAGGGCAGCAGGGGCGGGGGGGGGGGTGATGGCCGGCCTTTTTTTCTTCGGCTTTGCTCCGCTCTGGTGTTAGGTATTTCGAAGGTAGATTTTGTCAATGCTTCATCCTGAGAAAGCGGCTCTTCAAAAATGTTGCAGGTAGAGCTAATGCTCCCGGAGAAAGTGGTGGAGAGCGCTGCAACTGTCGGTGGAGATGCGCAACTACCCACTCTTGCTGATCTCCGGCGCTATGTGCAGATAATCAACGGTGAGCAAAAACACGGGGAAACGGGCTTGAACTTTGTTCAAGTCTCCGTGATGAAGAACATCAGGACTTCGGTACTGCTCTTCGTCACGAGGTTGGAGCTTTTGACGGACGCTGGCGGTCTCATAGTATCTCCGAACTACAACATAGCATCGGCGAATGGCGGAGCCCCAGAGCAGCAGCCGCAGCCATTCGTTTTTACCACTGGTCATCAGAGAAACAGTCGACTGTTCGCGATGCTGGCATTGTTTTTATGAAGAACTAATATTGGAGGTGTGATATAATTAGCAATCTACTTGTTGCTGTTGATGATTCTTCATTGATGTCCCTTCCAATCAGCACATCCTTCCAATCAGCGCATGGCAATTACGTAATCAGTTTATATTTGTCATCACGAAGTAGATTCAGCCACTACATGGCGACAGGACAGGGAGCTTCAGAAGAAAATGCAACAAATTTTAAAGCCAGTAGGCAGTCTGCACTGAACTTTGTGCGAGGTAAGTTGTATAATTGTATTGTATTGTACTGCAGCTCATGTGTCTTCAAAACATCTCCACGCTTCTAATCCTCCACGCCTTGATGCAAGAAAAGATGCCAAAAACTTTGCCACCGCAACTTTGGTCACATATCGAGACCCTGGAGCAATCGTTCTTGGACCCGTTTTTTCAGACCATCAGCATTAAATTCAAACAAGAAGTCTTCCCTCAGTGGCGAAGGGAGTTGCTCCAGAGGGCGTCGGGTGTTATGAGATGATGAACTTGGAGGATTTTTTTCGAGTTCAAGCAGGTACAGTTAGTTGACTTCATGTATCATAGGTATAGCATAGTCCCGTGCGAAAAGAAAGCTTCGCGCATCCATCCTCTAAGAAACCCACGCCCAGCACTACTGCAGCCTCTCCAGCGTTGGCCACGTTTTTGAATACTTTTGTAGGCGGTGTGGCGAACGTGTACCTTTCCCAGTACGGACAACCACAACACGTGGAGCCGCACGCATTGCGGTATGCCAAGGAACTGGAACGAGCGGCAGTGGTAAGACTGTGCCTTGGGCCAGCGATTATGGGAGCACGACTACATAACTGGATTTAATTGTGTAGGACTTAGATAGTTCGTGATGGTGATCGTGTAGAACGACTAAGTGGTAGATAGTAGATCGTGTGAGTGATTGTACATGTAGTTCGCTAGCATTTCGATTCATAGGTACGAAGCCTCATGGTGCCCTCAAATCGAAAGCACTCCTCTCTAACCCAAACGCCGATGCCGAAAGCTCCGATGCACACCCTGGAATCGATGCAGAAGTACAGCGTTCAGTTCTGTCAGGGCAGGTAGGTAGGCAAGCGTTTATCGCGGATATGCAGATCCTGCGAGAAAGTCTCAATTCTTTCTGTGGTGGCGCTGAAAATGCGACTCCAGTGTTGCAAAAACTAGAGGAAACGGTACGCACAGGAGCAGGAGGAATAAGCGCGGATGCCTGCGGGAGTGAGACTCGTCTAGCAAATGTTTTAGTAGCGTTTTTGAAGGTGGAACCTTGATGAGAGAAGGTGTGATAGAGAACGTTTTCAAAGGTGTGATAGAGAACGCACCACATGCAGTACTTCCTATGTTGCTTGAAATTGGAATAGACACTAACTCAACTACACTTGTTGACGAGAACGCTGACACAGACACGTCTGGAACTCTTTGGTCAACCAGACATCTCCGTTTGTGAAAGCCCTGCTGTTGATGCGATGACGTTCATGAATAACACACACTAGCAAGAACGGCTAGACGATGTAGAACATACTGCCGCTTGTATGTGGAGTACCCAGAATCAACACCACGAAGAATCTCAAACCGACACCACGACGCGATCATTTCAATGAAAAAAGGTTTGCCTGCTCCCATGCACTGAAGATGGATCCTCGTTCATGAAATGTCGATTTACTAGGTCAAGAGCACAAGTGATGAGCTATAAGATCACACACTACAAAGAAAATATTGATCTTTTCAGTGTAGATCTGCGCTATAAGATCACGCACTACAAAGAAAATATTGATCTTTTCAGTGTAGATCTGCGCTATACGTACTGCTCCTCATAAAAACAGCTCGTTCTATTCGGAAGTTTTAGGCTCTGCGAGTTTCCCTTGGTTAGAGAAATATCAAGTCTTTGGTGTTCCTCGGTTCATCAACAACATAATATCTTCCGTCTCTGTCTTGTACTAACTTTGAAGCCCACCCAGAAATCAGAAAAATGCCAATCTTCCGTGAACCTCTGCCAGCAGGACCGCTGGAAATGATGGCTGAAGAAGAGATCAAATACCAATCGGAAGCGTCCCAGATGTACGTCGGTACCAAAAGTGAAGGATCCGGACGTCTGATCCTGACCACTGCCCGCGTCGTATTCCAAACCGCAGAAAGGCAGGTGACTGTGGACTATCCCTCTATTGTGCTGCACGCGGTGTCGAGGGATCCGAAGGCATGGAAAGAACCATGTACTTATGTTGTGGAAATATGATTTTTTATGTTGATATGAAGTTAATTATGTTCATCTTGATGTCGTGGTCAATTATGAAGATATTATGCTCACCTTGATGTGGTCAATTTTCATTACTAGCTTGCAGAAGGAGCTCGACGTCTTCCTCCTTGGTCGTGTATTTTCATCATCTTCCCCAAAAATCAAAAAAGCTTTACAGGTCTATATTGCCAACTCCGCACTGACAACGAGGAAAGTCCTATCTCTGCAGTCGATTCCGAGGGCTCTCCCACTGTAGGCGACGCTGATGATGAGGATCCGTTCGCGGCTTCCGAGCTACGCTTTGTCGTCAAAGAAAGGGAAAACCTTCAAGGTGGTAAAGGTCCTGTAGTTCCAGCATCAACTAACTCAACATTAACTAACAGAGACGCTCTCCAACAACTGTTCGATACTATGTCCGAGATGATCGCTCTCCATCCGGATCCAGATCAAGAGGAGGACTCTGACAGTGAGGTCGACGAGGAGAATATGGAAGCTGGAGGTTGGGTCTTTGCGGATGGCTTCGATCCTTCCAGTTTAGGCCTGACCGGAGGCGCCAAGAACATCTTGGGAGAAGAGGATATGATGCAGATGAATGCAGCAGCACCAAATGCTGATGCCATGGAGGATGCACCTGAAGATGATCCGATGGAAGGATAAGATTTCCACGGCCACCTGTAAGAGAAAAAACATTGTAATGTTCACGAATGGTTTGAAGCAATAGGAATACCCCTCCTTACCAAAGTGTGTGACCAAATCTCACCCTGATCTCACTAAAGAAACTCACCTCCCCTGAACCTGATGCAGGTATCTCTATCTGGTTCAGCAGGTATGAATGAAAGACGAAGTATATCCACCTTTCCACCATCGCCTGTCGTGGTCACTTCCACGATAAGGTGTGTCCTTCTCTCGTGTTCTTGGCGATCGAACGATCTTCACTAAATAATCGTGGACCTTTCGAAGAGATAGACCTATTAAATACTGCGCTCGATGAAGATATGATAAGCAAAATCAGTTTCTTTGGCTTCTACGGCGATCACGAACGGTCATATCAGGAGCACACATATGACATGATGACGAATTCTTGTCAGGGTCAGCATTGGCTTACCGAGGATCATCAAACTTTTTTCCCCTGCACCTGCAGAATTGGATTATTGGATCCTTTGTTGATCTGGAATCTCGATACTGATTGCCGATCTTTTGTTTTGCGTCTGTAAATTTACGTTTTGAAGAATACTTAAACTCTATGAAGAAATGTATATTTTATAGTGTATCTGCACTTCTCTATCCTTTACCTACTATCCTTCCTTTTTCTTTTCCTAGTTAGTTTGGCTCCACCCATATTTTTATAGTGAAATTTAATATCATGCAAAGTGAAATTTTAGTCATCATAATTTTGTAAAGTGATTTTATATTCCTCAACAAATTCCTCAACAACGTTTTGCAGGAGACAAGAAGTGGTACTGTACGTATTGTATTTTCCGATCTTCTAGAAACACCTCGCCTTTGACTTCCTATCTACGACAATATGAGTGACCTAGAAGAAGAAACCGTCGCTGCTCCGGGCGCCGAGACGACGGCTGGCAAGAAGAAGCGTAATAAGAAGAAGAAAGCAGGAGCTGATGGAGCAGATGCAGCTGCTGATGGTGCGGATGCTGCCAAGCTGGGTGAATCCAGTGGTGCTACTAATAAGGATAACGACACAGCTGCTGTACAAGATGATGATGCCTCTGGAGACGAAGCTGAGGGCGACGGAAATGTTGATGCCGCAAAGAAAAAGAAGAACAAGAAGAAGAAAAAGAAAGCTAGCAGTGCAGCTGGAGGATTGCCAGCCCAGGACAACTCCGCCTTGCGGTGTCTCGGCAACTGGAGCGCCCAACCAGCACTGAAGCAGAGCTGGCCGCCAACCGTGCCAGTCGCGTCTCTGTACGAAAGCGTAGAGCAGTATCCTAGAGGGGAAATCATGCCCTACGAATACCATAACCAGGGATGGAGAACGACGTCAGCAGAGAAGAAGGAAGCAGAAAAACTTGGAGAGCCAGACTATCAGAACTTCAGGTACGACGGACAATTTAATTATGCATATTTTGTGACTGAATTTCAGGTAGCACAACTATGCAATACTGAGTAGTATTCGACTGAAGTTCAAGTTTTTATGTTGAGAATTATACGCCAACTCCATCGAATTATAAAAGACCTCTATTCAGCAGGAGAAAAAAACTCCAATTACCACCTGCTTGTTAACTACAGGAGAGCCGCCGAAGTGCATAGGCAAGTGAGAAGGTATGTGCAGTCTTTTGTGCGACCTGGCATCCCAATGGTGGAATTGTGCCAGAGGCTAGAACAGAAATCTCTAGAACTCGTGGGCAAGGATGGACTTAATGCAGGCTGGGGATTCCCTACAGGCTGCTCTCTGAACCACGTCGCAGCTCACTACACACCGAATCATGGTAGTTGTTTGATTCGAAGCTTTTACGGTCGTAGTTTTACAGTAGTAGTAATGATACTTCTCCTAACTAACAGATGAAATTAGTTACAAAGTACAGTATAATGATAATCTTCCTAGTCCTATGTAACAGAAACAATTTACATATTCTTCAAGACGAGCTGCTCCTAGCAAAAATTACTGACGCGGCCACATCTCCTTCAAAAAATCCCAGGCGACAAGACGGTTCTGTGTTACAACGACGTTTGCAAGTTGGACTTCGGAATTCAAGTTGGCGGACGAATCGTGGACTCTGCGTTCACCATCGCCTTCAACCCGAAATATGATATGGCCATCAAATCCACCCAAGCTGGTACTAACGAGGGTCTTAAGCATGCGGGTGTCGACGCACGGTTCTCAGACATCGGAGAAAGGATTCAAGAAGTTATCGAGAGTTATGAGGTACCGCATTTCCAACTTTTATTTGACAGATACATAGATGTAGCCTGTTAGCCTGAGCCAAAAGCAGTGGGAAGCTTGTAATCTCAACTATTTCTATGGATTGGACTGAATTTGTCTACAACTACTACAACTACAACTACTTGGTATTGGTTCGTACTCCCACTTATTTACAGTGTTGTTCAGAAAATTCCACCTAAAGACGTCAACAACTTCTACTAGGTCGAGCTGGACGGTCAGACTTTCGCGATGAAGCCGGTGCGAAATTTGAATGGGCACAGCATCGCACCTTATCAAATCCATGGCGGCAAGTCAGTGCCTATTGTGAAGACAGGCGACGAAACCAAGATGGAGGAGGGCGAATTCTATGCTATCGAAACATTTGCGTCTACCGGAAAAGGGTATGTGATTGAGGATCTGGAGTGTTCGCATTACATGAAGATTTTCGATGCGAACAAGGTACCTTTAAGGGTGAAATCCGCTAAGGCGCTGCTGCATGGGATTGATCAACACTTTTCGACACTGGCCTTCTGCCGTCGCTGGCTGGATGACGTGGGGCAGGCACGGCATTTGATGGCCTTGAGAAACCTGGTAGACAACGACCTAGTGCAGCCGTACCCGCCACTGTGTGACGTTAGAGGCAGTATCGTGACGCAGATGGAACACACGATTTTGATAAAACCAACAGGCAAAGAAGTAGTCAGCAGAGGAGAAGATTACTAGTCGTGCCGATGTTGTATTGGGCCCAGTGGTCTGTTTATGTTTCACCAAAAATGAAGATCATGAACATATTTCTTGAGTGGTTGTTTGTTGTACTATCGTCGAACGGACTACGCTTTCCTCGATGATTGGGGTTCTCTACGCTTCCACACCCCTTTAGTACTGCCGAGCTTACATTGATTTCCTCATCTAGTCCGTGACCCCACATGAGACATCTAGTTTGAGGATCCCTCGTGATGACCGTGCGCCTTACGCGACAAGAACCCAGACACGAGCTATAATTTCATTTGCCAAGCAATAACAAGCGATGTTCAAGGCGACAATGTTGTAGTTGTTGACAAAAATTCGAGAAGTACTAAAGCTACGGTCATTAAAGCGACGACTTTTTTTTTGATTTTCAAGTTCCTTGGTCTTGGTCCTACATCAGAGTTTGTAGGAAAATAAGTTAAACTTTTTAATAGAACCTCAACCTCCGCTCTTAGCAGAGCAAGAGCATAAGGTGTCCTGTTGGAAAACGATGTGTTCAAGCTCGTCTAAGAACAAGTAGTTTAAAGATATGTTGCTACACGGCCTCCTGCTTTCTTGAGACGATCGTTCCACAGCGCCAGATGATTCGAGGTGAAATCTTGAGGAATGATCCAATATGCAAGACGAGAAAATCAGAATTCAAGTAAATACGAAGACAATCACTTCCAGAACTATGCGAAGACAATGCACGACTATAATTGGTAAGTACGCTTCAGACATGGTAGCACAACCCACGGTTGAAGAAGTACGAGAACGAGCACAACTGCTCCTCACGATTCAAATCACTACGCACGGATTCGCTAGCACTGAGCCTTCTCTGTCGCCACATTGTGGTGATTGGAGAACTTCATAGGCCAGAGTTTGATAGTATACCGTGCTAGAAAAAACGGGTTTTCGCACCACTCTCTTGATTTTGATGAGCCTGCTGGTCCACAAGATTATACTGACAGGCTTATTGCAAGAGATGTGCAACATGACAAAGAATACCTCTACTAAGAGAACCTCAACAAGATACCTGTCATTCCTATCACTAATCAAGGAGATACCTGTAGCTAGATTTTTGGTCTGTACCTACTCGGAAAACCAGGACGATCATTTTGACACCTCTTCATATCGAACCCTACCTCAATATCCAACATTTACTCTTCATATCAGCCTCTTCATATCAACCTGAATTTCACATTATCGACCTCTTTTATATGATCACAGTGAGAACTGTTGGAAAAAATGGTGAGCATTTCTTTTCTTATCGCGTTTGCTTGTGGCAGCGCGAGCGAGCTTGTGTCTGCTGCTGCTCCAGCCACAGCCTTTTTGGGTTCGGCAGGTGCTGTGACAACAACGACAGCTGTGTTTTTGGATTCCCCTAGTGATTCGAAGGAAAAAATAGAAAAGTCGCTGGAAATCCCGGACCTTTTGGCTTACACCCGCGATCCTGTCTCCCCGGATAGAGGAATGATTCCAGTCGCAACCTATTTCGCCTGGTTTCGTCAGGTGAGCGTCACTTTGGCTGCGAGTGGAAGAAACGTCGTGGACCCGAGGCGCGACGTGATTTCATTTGCTGATGGGACTCCGCTGTGGACCTTAGAGGTGCATGAGGATGCTGGCTCTGGCGTTCCTCGAGAAGTGAATGACATATACGACTTTTATTACTGCTATCAGAGCAACGGCGCTCCACGAAAACGAAGGCCCCGGTTTTCTTTCAGCTTGAACTCGCTGCGCAGGATTCAGCCCATGGAACGTCTACAGGTGATTACCACACCAAGCAACCCGTACGTCCAGATGCTGCAGGCCTTGAGTCCGATGAGGAAGAAGAAGGTGGTGCGTCATGAAGGTGTGGGCCCGACTACTGGGGAAAGAATGGAATCAACCCGTTTGGAGTTCGGACCGATTGGAGAGCGGCAATACATCGACATCGGTACTACTAGCGTCGACCACAACGAAGATCGCCCAGAAGGTTTTCCTGCTTGTGGCGCGACTTACAGCGCGACACAGAGCGCGACAGTGACGGACCAGCAGGAAAACAAGTACGTCGTCTGGTATGATGGGCATAATGGGACAACCCCGGTGTCAAGCCTAAAGACTCAGATTCTTTTTCAAATGAATTACCCGGACCTACAGGCGAAAGACGTAGGTGGTCCACGTTCAAGAAATCTCGCTCAGACATGGGAGAACCTGGCCCGTACAGGGGGGCGTCTATGGTCGACCGATGACCCTCGACGAGAGATGCGCCTGATGACGCCGATGATGGTCACCTCCAGCGTGGTGGACGGTGAACAAGGAAAAAGAAGAATTTTGCCGCACGACGCGCTTATGCACGCGTTGTGGTCTCAGGCTGAGTGGGAGGAACTACATCAAGCCGCGCGATTACGAGGCGGAGAAGACGTCGAACAAGAAGCCCGGCTTGACCTGTTCCTGGATTTGTCCAGCTCTGGCGGAGTACAGGAGGACGAGATCGAGACCAGGCAGACGCTTCTTGAGTGGAATGCAGCAGCATCTCGTGATGGCCTACCTCGTGGTCCAAATAATGAGCCGGGAGCTTGCTTCGATCCTGAGGTAGATACGGCATTTCTGAATAACGCGGTCAGAGTTTTTCGGCCTGGTGTTGCAGCAAAATCGGTCTGTTTCCTTTCCATTTTTATTGACGAGAAAAATGGCACTACACCGGTATGGCGCATAAAGAGGCAACTTCTGGCACAGATGCAGCAGCGTTCTGAAGATGATTTTCACCTTCATAAGCTGACCGACGAGGCTATGCGCACGCGTTTCCGTATCATTCGCCAGACGCCAATGATTCCCTTAGGGGAAGTCCTGGACCACGACGAGCCCCTGTCCAAGGCCTTCCCGTCTGACGACACTCGCCGGTTTGAGGATTTGCTCAATGGACATGAGATGCTCTCCGTGCTATTCGAAAATTAAACCATTATACGAGGTCACCTACCATGCTCAACTACAGACGAACGCCTGTTAGCTGACTGCTCTATCATGAGATGGATTGAGATGGGCGTCCGAGAAGTAGATTGGAGGACCAAGATGGTGTTGGTGAAGCACCTCCGTCAGCTAGGCACCTTTCAATATCTCAGTATAAGGTGTGCCAGAAAAGCACTTTATAGATCCTTGGACTTCTTGTTCTTGCGGCGATCATCAAGACCAAGGGTGAAGATAGAAGCCATGCATCTTAACTACTAATTAGATACATTGAGTGATGAACATCCAGAGGGGTAACGGCGAGACTCCGTGCTGGCTCGTGGTCATGTTGAAACCAGCTGCCTCCTGGCAGCGGGTGCAGATTACCACTGATATATACTACACATTCATACTCATATAAAATATATTGTATGTAGGAAGAGATCACTCGTCCACTCCAGCAGGAAGACATCACTCTTACTAGCGAGATGAAATTTCACGTCCTTGGTTGTATACTATTGTTTACATGACATGCATCACCTACCTACATGACATGCTACTTGTTTACATTACATGACGTGCTACTATGGGGAGAACACCGTGAGAGGAAAACCAGAAAAGTCGCATTCTCAAAAATCGAAAGACTTTGAGTAGTTGGTAATTCAGAATAATGGCATCTGGGGCGCACACATGACATAAAGCGACGACTTTTTACATGAAGATATAAAAATGTCCTGGTCCTACATCAGAGTTTGTAGGAAAATAAAGTTAAACTTTTTGATAGAACCTCCGCTCTTAGCAGAGCAAGAGCATAAGGTGTCCTGTTGGAAAACGATGTGTTCAAGCTCGTCTAAGAACAAGTAGTTTAAAGATATGTTGCTACACGGCCTCCTGCTTTCTTGAGACGATCGTTCCACAGCGCCAGATGATTCGAGGTGAAATCTTGAGGAATGATCCAATATGCAAGACGAGAAAATCAGAATTCAAGTAAATACGAAGACAATCACTTCCAGAACTATGCGAAGACAATGCACGACTATAATTGGTAAGTACGCTTCAGACATGGTAGCACAACCCACGGTTGAAGAAGTACGAGAACGAGCACAACTGCTCCTCACGATTCAAATCACTACGCACGGATTCGCTAGCACTGAGCCTTCTCTGTCGCCACATTGTGGTGATTGGAGAACTTCATAGGCCAGAGTTTGATAGTATACCGAAGAAACGGGTTTTCGCACCACTCTCTTGATTTTGATGAGCCTGCTGGTCCACAAGATTATACTGACAGGCTTATTGCAAGAGATGTGCAACATGACAAAGAATACCTCTACTAAGAGAACCTCAAAAAGATACCTGTCATTCCTATCGCTAATCAAGGGTATAGTACCTGTAGCTAGATTTTTGGTCTGTACCTACTGGGAAAACCAGGACGATCATTTTGACACCTCTTCATATCGAATACAGAAGACGCCTATCGCATGAAACCATGATGTTGATCTTGATCATCTTACAAGTCTTTCTCGTTTGCAGATGCCTACTTTTCACATGAACCTCATCTTACAAGTCTTTCTCGTTTGCAGATGCCTGCCTTTCACATGAAACCATTCCAGCGCCAGGAAAACTTGAAAACTTTTGTTCTTTTCGAACGAAAGTTTTTACCGTCACGATCATCTATCGGTTGAGGGCCTTTTTGAGCAAAACTCATCCTGGTTGAAGTTTTGAGTAGAAAATTGAAGAACCATGCGCTCGCGCTCCTGACACCAGAGAACCCCCTCTACGTAGTACCTCCACAGAAGAAATCATAAATACATTTACCAATGTTAGTATTGATCATAGTACTGTAGAATCTGGTTTTTTATAAGTTCTCCTCGCACCAGGAGAAGATTCTACTAGAAGATCAAGATTGTATACAAGCACTCAACTACGATTATATACAAGCACTCAACTACACAAGCAAAAATGGAACCAACGCCCGCTTCTAGCGGTTCTTCTGGATCTGAAGAGGACCATCAGCCGCAAACGAAGACGAACAAAAAAGCCAATGTACGTCATGCAGAGAAGACGCGCAAGTTTTCCACCTGCGCCTTCGCAGATCGGGTTTGCGATTGCGTCGTGGATGCGTGGCGTCGCGACAGCAGTTTACTAGCAGAACGAGCTAAAGCTAAACAAGCTAACACCGAAGCAGGAGAGCACCACACAGGACAACAGAATCAGACTGTGCTAGCAGGATTTGTCGCATTTGACCGAACGCGGAATGAAATGCAGTGCCTCTCATGGGCGACGGGAACGAAGTTTCTGACCTATGCACATGAAGAGCTTCGCGAGGAAGTTTGTCTTCAGAGGAGTTTCGTAGTGGACATGCATGCAGAAGTATTGGCAAAGAAAGCCTTGGTGTTGTCGTTGCAGAAGCAGTGTGATGCAGCCACAGCAAACGCGAACACAAGCAGTTATAATTCTTCTCAACGTTTACTCCAGAAACTTATCTCTTCTTCCGAAAGGGCCAGTATTTCCACTTCTTCCACTTCGTCCCTGGTCTCTCCTTATGTGTCTAATCCTGAAGCTCCTTCTCGTCAGAGAAATACGCCTGACGTTGTCGATGAGGAAGCTTCTCATCTCCCTATTGAACAGGAAGTATCTCTGCATATGTACGTTTCCTCAGCTCCTTGTGGGGACGCCTGTGTCCGCAAGTGGGCCAAAGGCGGCTTGGGTCCTGTCTTCCCAGAAATGCCGGATTCAAAGTGGCCTGTGTTGGGAAAAGATATCCATCGACCGCCATTCCATTATTTCGCGAAGAAGGAAGGTCAGGGAAGATTTTTGCAGAAAGGGTCTGTAGTTGTAGTACCTGGAAGTAGAGAACAAAATAAGGGTTCAGCAGCGTCATCTTCTGCAGATGGGCATGGACGAGACACAAGAAATAAGCCCTCTTCTAGTACACGAGGCGAAGACCTCCACGTAGGCCTTGCTGTGCAGCCTTGGCAACCAAGGGCCCAACGAACGCCGTTGAGCTGCAGTGATAAGATTCTGAAATGGCAGGCCTGCGGATTCCAAGGAAGCTATTTGTCGACGAACTCCTTGAGTCCCCTGCGCTTGTCGACTCTGACGGTAGGTCGGAAGTTCACAGATGCGCATATGAGTCGCGCTGTCTGGGAAAGGTATACGGACCTGTATAGTCAGAAGAAAAGTACAAATACGAAGAAGGATGCGAAGAAGACGAAGAAAATCGAGGTAAATAAGACGCCATCCTCAAGTGCTGCTGACGCAAACAGGAAACCGAGTGAATCTGAGGGAAAGACCTTGGGTGAAGTAGATGCTATCATGGAGACTCCGAGCCGAAAGCGAGTGGGTTCGTCTCCAGTAGATGGACACGTGGAGAGTCCAAAGCGGACTAGGCCAGTGAGGCTACCTTCTTTGGAAGCGAAAGTGGGACAAGTAGAACATGACCACTTTAACGGCACCAAGGCATCACTTTCGTCATATTCACGACCTGTAGCGCAAGCAGAAGGGAGCAGCGCGTCATCTTCCAACAGTCGTGCCTATGAAAAAGTTGGCAAGGAAAAAGTGAAACACAAAGAAGAAGTTGAAGATCATAGAGAAGATACCTCCGATGAAAAATTCAAGATGCCTACATGTATGGTGACATCAAGGAAGTTGGACGATGCTGTGTACGAGGATGGCGAAGGAAGTAATTTTTCAGATCCAAGATGCGAATGGTGGTGCGAGGGCTTAGAAACGCCTGAGATTATAGATGGGAGAACGGGTCGGCCTATGGACATGTCTACGACGACTGTGCCTGAGGTGGGAGCAGATCGTGATCGGAGCACTGGAAGCAGATCTCACGACCCACTTGCTTCAGGTTCAGTACCATACTCGAGGACAACCGCAGCGTCTCGCTTACTTACCTTACGTAAGTGCACACCCAAATCAGAGGACTGCGCCGCGGAAGAGTTGTCTGAATATGCTGATGCAAAATCGCGCGTCTATTTGTATTTCGCAGGTTTGCAAGGTGGAAGATGGAAACTAATAGACCCAGAGGACTTGATTGAGTATGCTGACGCGAAAGCGCGCGGATATTTGTCTTTCGCACCAGGATTGGTAGGTGAACGCTTGTACAAATTGGTTAGACAAAAAATGTGAAAGACTCGAACCTTGATCCCCATTATTATTTTCGTTTTCGGCTTATGTAAGAAAAAGCCATTTCCCGCATGCCATAGCTAGCAATGGAAAACAGCAATGTTCTTTTCCACCAACGACCTCGTTTTCACCAAAACTTCGTGTCACCTGAGCGATCTTCTCAACTTTGAGCGACTTCCACATACACAAGCCAGAGCGCGGTGAGAGATCTTCTGAGGGTTATGGATAACGCGTGACTCTTCAAAACTTGAACTCTATTGGTCGTAACGTAGAATGTGAATGCCTTTGGGCGGATAGATGAGTGAAGAAATAGAATGAAAGATGTGACGAGGACTAGAACGAGGTGTGCAGTACTAGGGTTGTTTTTCAACTTCCTAGTTTGTTCTTGCATCAGCTTGTTCCTCCATTTTTTAACAAGCCTTCACCTTTTTGTCCACTCAGCTACTGGCACTGATGCATCTGCAATTATTTCACCACAAAAGCATGGCTCCACGACCACGAGGCATCTGCTGATCAAAGTCGGCGGAGAGGGTGACATCGTCTCACAAACCACGCAGCTACCAGATGAAGAAGAGCCAAGAAGTGCCCAACAGCTGATTTCTCGCTTCGACACACGCGAAAGTCTACGCGTGATTGTAGACCCATTTTTCAGGCCAGTGCAATCTACGGCTAATGGAGCGACCGCCAGCAGAGACGGGAACAGCAGCGAAATCTTTCATAGAGTCGATTCTCGCACCGCTATTTTCTCCGGATTGCTAAGACAGCGGAATTGGCCTGCACGCCTCGTATTTCTACAGCACGCCTTCTCCCAATGTTCGGGTCTGGTGTTGCCAAGTGGTGGTGCTTGTCATGCTTATGGTTCTTTTCAAGAAAGAGAACCTCAAGAAAGAGCACCTGAGCAGCTTTTGGAGAGCAGTCGCGCGTGGGCTTTTGCAGATTTGGAAAAACGTAGGCAAGAACGTTTATTGGGCCTACAAAGTGCTGATCCAGAACTCAATAGAACCTCCGTTGTAGCCTTCCCATTGCCCCGTCACGTCACTAGCTCATTGCCTTTCTGTTCGCCAGAAGAATACGCCCAATTCGTTCGAAAATGGTATGACGTTTGTGAAACTCTAGGGAAGCAACTCATCAAACAGGAAAATAAAATCCTGTCTCGTCATCCCAGTTTGCGATTTCTTGGGCTACAACGAAACTCCAATTATTATCGAACACATTTTCGATGTCAGGACCCGAGGAACATCGATTCTGTGCGTATGATAAGAGATGTGAGCGATGCCAATAAACCTGGCCAAAACTACAGTCTTGCTCGTAGTGCTCCTCTACTTTCCATGAATATAGATGAGTTTTTGCAGGACGAAGTGCCGAAACTGCTGTTACGAGATGACGTCTTTGAGCCTGCTGTGGATGACGATGGTTCATCTCCAACGCGAAAAAGAACTTCTACAAGTATAATATTTTTAACCCTCGAAACGGACATACAGGGTTTGGATGTGGATTTAGTGCATTCTCTTGGAGACACGGGGTTTTTGGCTGCGAAAGGATGGCAGGCGAAGATGCAGGCAGGTCATGGATCGGGACAAACGGAAGAAACTTCTGTCTTTCGAATAGACCGCATAGTTCTGGAATGTCAATTTGGCGGTGGCATTTCGGAGTTGGAGGAGTTTATGAAGACGCTTAACAGCTCTTCTACATCCGAGGTCACTACGTCCAGGCATGATCGAGGTAGCTATTGGCTCTACAGCAACTCTTTTGTTGTCCACGAAGATAACCAGAGCGCCACTTCTTCTGAAGGAGCAACGAAATACCGCGAAGGGATCTTGACGAGCATGAAGCGGAAAAGCGAGCCAAGTGTACTTCCAAATAGTTGTTCAGAAGTGACTCAATACTTGCGAAAACATGGATTTTGTCTAGAGCAGTCAAATGACTTTTCGCCGACTGGCCTCAGCTGTATCAATCTTGAGACCAATCTGGTCTTTGAAAGGTGTGCTTGATAGTCGGATCTTCACAGGAGATGCGCATCTCATCCTATAGGTGTATTCTATTGCCAAGTTGTATAACCCACAGGTTATTCGGTTGCCAACTTCCTACTTGTGAGATGCTAAAGGAATCCTGTGTCATCAAATGTCTGGCCAAAAATAGTGAATAGAGAGAATTGGTAAGCAAGAGAGAGAGAGAGCATTCCACAGATCTTCTAGGAAAAACATGGAGCTGAGTAAAGTCTGTGCAGTCTGATTCTGTCTTCAAAAACTTGAGAGATGCCTAGAGTGTCCGATTGTGGTTCCAAACCATCTGTAGAGTCTCTCTGTCAAGACGTTTGTCTGTATAATCTCATTCAGCGTGAGGAAGAAGAGACTGCCTTGATCTAGGATGTGCCTCATCATTCAGAAAATTTTTTTGTAATCAAAAATCTAAACAGTGACTCTTCCCTACAAAACCCCTTGATTACAAGGATAATTAATGATTTCGACGATATTTGAACCTCACTGGTTCTTCGTTTTAAACTACATGAAAACCTTGGGAAAACTTTAACGAATACTGATCTTCGCATCCACTAGTACTGCTTCTATATGATAGATTGTAATTGTAATTGTATCCATTAATTTCAATTTCTTTCTTCCTTACTGAATCTTCAGTCAATCAGTCCTTCTTTCCATCATCAACTTTAAAAGGATGGTGCGCGGTCCTCGTCCTCCTCGCCCTCGGGTCACACCCGTAGAAAAGCGCAAAATCATCGAAGACAAGAACCGCAAAGAAAGTGACAAAATCAAAGCCTTGGAGTTAGAAGCTGCTAATCGTTTGGATGACATCAAGAACTTCGTACGGGACATAGATAAGCAAGATGAAGAGGATAAGGCAGCAAAGACTGCGAAACAGCTGGACGATTATGGCGTGCCGATCTCCAGTGGTTCGGACGAACCAAGTGACTATGAGTCACCAGGAACGCCGCCGAAAGTGCCCACGCCTGAAGGTACTCGATATGCATAGGGTTCTATGTTCTCACCTCTCCTGTAGTAGTTCTTAGTAGCTTGTCATGTATTACTAATGACCTGTGCTTTATTTTTCCGAAGAATATGGGATCGTCTGTTACGTAGATAGTAGTACGTTATGATGTTCGTCACGGTCACAGATTGCCACGTACTTACTTAGAAGTAGTGTATGTTCGTCTCAGGTTGCCACTGACCCTGACTTCAAGTATAATTTCACTCTTTTTCATCCCATCAAACTACAAACAGGCCTCTCCGAAGAGGAGATCTACCAGGTTTACCGCAAGCGGCGACGAGATCAGGCCATTCGCTTGCATAGACGCGCAAAGCGAGCTGCGAAGAGAAGGCAGAAGAATGTCACCATGAACTACCTTCAGTGGCAAATCGGTTTCACAGACACTTTTACCGAGGTCGCAACTGCTCGAATCAACAGCCCTATTATGCGCTTGTACCGCTTGACCAAGATTAGAAAGGCAGAGGGTTTTCTGGGTGCAGATCTGGAGGTGTTGAGAAACCCGGGAATCAGCGACAAAAGGATCCATGTGAACACAACCTGGGGAGAGCTGAGGGAGTGTGTGTTAGACGGAACGAAAAAGCCAGAAGGGGAGAAGAAGAAGGAGGTACAATTGAAGATTTCCATCGTGTTTGTTTTGTTGCTGTTGTCTTTATTGAGTCTTCTAGCTAAAAATAAACGGATCCTAATATAAACGTGGCCACTAGACTTTTTTGGTTTTTTTGTTTTCTAGTTAGGTGTGCTCCACCGATTTTATTGGCGGGTCTTCTAGCTTAGTCGTGATCGAGGACCTTCTTTCTTCATCTCAGTTCTTGATTCATTCAACATGCAAAAATTTTTGGACTTTTACTTCTGGAAATTTCTTTTTCTGTTCAGGTCCTGGAACCCACTGGTCTAAAAACGATGGATGACTTTTTGAAGTCCCAGATGGGTGAATCAACAGACTCAGACGATGCTGCTACTCGAAAAGAACGTCGCAAGGAGGAGGAAAAGGCGAAGGAAGAAGCACTTCTCCAAGAGGCTGATGAAAATCGCAAAGAGGCTGAAGCCGACAAGGCTCAAAAGACAGCGAAACTAGCAGGACTAGTCACGGGTAGTTCTGTCACCGGTTTAATGGGACAGCACGCAGCAATGAAAATCCGAAAATTCTCTTCCGGCCCAGCGGCGGGCACAAGGGGTGCGAGACTGCTCGGAAAAGTCGGCGAGCCGCAACCCAAGATCGTGACGAAAGCGATGTTGCGCGGTGAGCAAGCAGTTTTGGATGCTGGGAGATCGATAGGTGACACGAAGGGAGACAAGTCTCTAGCCGACGAACAGCAGGAATGCTCCCTCGACTTCGAGGAACAAAAGATTCGCGAAGAGCGAGATCTACTCAAGGCAGCAGTCTTCGGGAGCAGTCTTCTTGAGAAAAAGAGCAGAAAAAGAAGCAAGAAGGGAAAAGCTTCTTCCAAGAGACAAAAAGGTGGCTCAGCAGAAGAGCAAGAAGGAGGATCTTCTAGGAATGGGCAGCCTGGTGAGCAGGATACGGGCACTTTGGACCAGCTTAGCCGAGCTGGTGACGATGCCGATGAGAGCGATGCTATGTCCGAAGATCATGACGATGCAGACGAGTGGTCACGACCAAGGGAAAGAAGAGGGTCGAAGACAAATGTTGCACCTGCGGCGAAGGCGAAAGATGAGCACCTTGTTCTAGAAGATGAATCAGTGGTTCTAGTTGAAGATGCACGACAGCAGGACGTCGATCTTCGAGCTCAGGTTGAAGAAGACACGGCTTCTCTTGCAGCGGAAGATGGCGTGGACATTACTCTCACACTTGGCGCAGGCGTCGAGATGGAAGGCAGTGTCCCTTCTCTTGAAGCAGGAGAAGGTGTTTCCTCTGGCTCCCCTATCGGCCGAGTCGATACGGCCTTGTTAAGTCTCGAGAAACAGAGGGAGCAATTGCAGAGCGAACTCCAAGAGGCGGGAGAGATTGGGCAACAGATTCAGGCATCGATTTGTACAGCGAATTTGGCGGAAGATGGCCCGCTTGCAGCTGATACGACTGCGGGAGCTGCAGAGCAGGATGTCGAAGGAGAGGAAGCCACCGAAAAAGTCGCACCGGCGTCTATGTCGTGGATGAAGAAAGATGAAGCTTCCGAAGCAGGAGAAGGTGACGCTGCGGAAGAGACGGAGACTCCCGTGAGAGAAGAAGAAGTGCCGCTACCTACCGCACCACCGCAACGTCCCTCTCGTCCAGTCTCTGCCATGAGCACGACCAGTTCACAGCGCATCAAAGCTGCTCTTCAAGTTGCTTCGGAAGCTGACGCGTCGTCTTCGCTAGCAGGTGCTAAGCCAGGCTCCTCCTCCGACGCAGCAGCTCTAGAACAGCCACGCGCGTCTCCGTTCTCGTTTGCTCCTCGGAAGAAAAACAAGTGGGACGCCAGCGACGCCTTTGCGAAAGCGGAGGCTGAAAAGCAGGCTCGCGAAGCAGAAGCGGCCAAGAAAGCCGAGGAGGAGAAGACGCGAAAGCAACGTGAGGAAGAAGAGTTGAAAAGAGCGCATGCTGCTGAGGTGGAAAAACGACATCAAGAGGCTTTGGCGAAGGACAAACTGAGGCAAGAAGCAGAGCAATTTTGGAACGAGAAATTGGAGGAAGAGAGACTCGCACAAGAAGCGGAAGCAGAAGTGCAAAGAAAGAAAAATGTCGAGGAAAAGGCAAGACAAAGAGCAGAGAATGCCATGCGAGTTAGGGAATGGGAACGCATGGAAAGAGAAGACCTCTTCAGCAGGATTGTCGAAGACGCCTTGAAGGCAAAACAGGAATTAGAGGAAAAAGTCCGAATGCGCCAAGAGCAAGAGGAGTTGGAAGCGAAAGAACGCAGGACTGCTAGAGAAAAAGAGAACGAGAGGAAAAAAGCAGAACGTTTGCAAGAGAAGTTACGCCAGGCTGAGGAAAGGCGACTGTTAAACGAGGAGAAGCAAAAGGCAGCCGCAGAGTGGCGGGAACATATGCTTAAGGTGGAAGGCAAAAATGTCATTCCAGGATCCGGCAGTCGTCCGACATCACGGCAGCATCTACAAAGGGCACTGGCAGTAGCGAAAGCAAAAAGCGGATTGTCGGGGAATAGCAGAATGTCAACGCCAAAGCAGGAGCCTTCTGTAGAAGCTGCTGGCACAGCTTTAAGGGAGGGACAAGTGGAGGACTCGCTCGATCTTGCAGCTGCAGATACGGCGCGACAAACACAGGTAGACTTCGACGCATCTATAGCCACTGACATGGATATGATGTCAACGAGTGATGCTCCTGCATCTCGAGAGCAGTATTCCGCATTGCAGACAGAGCTGCGAGCTGCACAGGCCGAAGTGTTAACACTTTCTCCAACAGGAGAAGGGTTGGCGGACATAGAAGCTTCCACAGGTGAGAAGCCACGATCTCGTTCTCGACCACACTCTGCCGGTTCTATGCGTCCGCCACCCTACTTACCTAGTTGTCGCAAGGACGGGCTGAGGCCAGGATCTCCTATGGTTGAGGCCAGAATTTCTCAGAAGAAGCGAGCGCGTCCCAAGTCGAGTCCGGGAACCGTTAAGCGCAGCGACAAGCCTCCTCATGTTGAGAAAAACGATCCGTTGACGTTTCAGCAGTTTCAAGTACGCGAAAGAAAGGCAGAGCAAAGGCGTCGAGAGGAAGAAGAGCGTGAAGCACAGCTTGTCGGAGAACGCAAAGCCGCAGCGGCTCTACAGTATGGCGACAAAGGAATGCCACCAACACCTCCTAATGAGCGAAGCTCTCAGGATCAAGAGACACTTGGTGTACAAGAACGACCTACGTCAGCAGGATCTCGGGATCCGCTGTCTGCGAGCTTCACCGTCGTGCCCCCTCTGGCAGATGCAAGTCTCGCTGTTGGATTAGACGATATCAGGGCAGCAGCGGCTGAACGAGGGAACCAGGGACCGGACACTGAAGAGCCTGTAGTTGCCAGTCAGCAATATCAGATCTTGAAAGATGGGCGCAAGGTGTTTGGACCTCCTATGGCGGGTAGTGTTGTTCTCTCCCGACCGCAGAGCAAAGTGAAGAAGCTAGGACAGCGTGGCGCATTAGCTGTTTCCGCAGTCGCCGCAAAGTTCTTCAAGAAGCATTTGTATACTTCCAAACAAGGTTTCGGTGCTTTCGCGGGAGCCGAAGAGAGCGCTTCCGCGACGGATCGGGAGACCATGAGCATTGCTTCTACGCCGCTTCCTTCTGCGCGTGGTGGCCGCCACAGGATGGACAAAGTCGAATCCTCTGCTGCAGGCTCATCAGCGGTTTGTTCTATGTCCGAAGCGGAAGGGGCGGGTACTTCAGTCTTTGGAAGACCCTCAGCTGAGCCTTTCGCCAGTGTTTTGGCTGCGGGATCGGCAACAGATATTGGCGCAAGTGCAACAGATGTCGATGATGCTGTCGTTGCTGGTGCAGATGAGGAAAGAAGAGGTGGTGATGCTGGTACAGGTGCTGGGAAGAAAGCACGTGTGCCCAATTTCAGCGCTATTCCAGAGGAGCAAGAAGCCGAAGCCCAAGAAGCCGAGATCAAAGCGAAATTGCAAAGAGAAAAGCTGTTGAAAGACCGGCAAAGGGCTTATGAGGAAGCTGAAGAAAGCGGCGACTTGGACAAGATTCTCAAAGCTAAAGCGCGTCTTGACGAAGTCACTGGTTGTGGGAGCGACGCAGAGGATGCTAATGTTGATCTAGACGAGGAAGAAGACTCTGACGAGGACGACCAGGAGTCGTCGGAAGGCGAGTCCTTTGTCGATTTCTGCGAGTGGACCCCTGTAAGTTCCGTTTTTGACACCGACGAAGAGGAGGAACTCAGGGAAGACATGGCAGAACTTGATGTGATCGTGCAAAGGGAGTTGAAAAGAGCTCGCGAGGCGGAAGAGCGCGCTGAGAGGATGGGGCGGCCGATTGAGCGCATGGAAACGCCGAGGTCGCCGCAAATCGAAGATATCGAGGTTTTGGAATTCGAACTGGATCATGGAACGGCGAAACCAGGTGTGGATTTGAAACTCAAAATCGCGCAATTGAAACTGATCCGGCATGAACGGAAGCAAGCAGCGATGCTGCGGCGCTCAGTCGCGACGCCTTATTCTCGCAAGAAATACCGCTTGGGTGGAGACGAAGGAGTAGAATCTTCGGAGGATGACGTGACAGAAGAAACGGTTTCTGCAGGGACAAAGAGCACGGGCACTAGACTGAAGAAGTTGATGGCAAGTGCGCTGCCGACTAGACGAGCGATATTTAAGAAGATGGACACGATCGTGCCGGAAGAGGCAGAAAAAAAAGTAGAAGGCGAGGAAGACCAAGATGAAGGAGATCAAGACGGCATAGAGGAAGGCGTTCTTGAGGGTGAAGACGCTGCTTTTGATAAAGCTTTGCTAGCTGCTGCGGCACGCACGCAGGAGGAAGAAGCGGAAGCGGCAAGACTGAAGACTTCTGCGGGGGACGAGAAAGCGCAAATTCGAGGTTGGATGAAAGTTCAAAAGGTCATCAAGTTCGCTCATACACTTCGAAAAAAGGTAGATCGTCTGCGAAAAACCGAAGATGACGTGCAATTGCCAGCGCACGAGGGCAAATACGCCGAACTGTTTGAGCCGCCGCCTCCGCCTCCGCCTGAAAGTTCGGATTCCGACGTCGGACCCACGGTTGAAGAACTTCGGGAACAGCGAAGGGCCGCAAGAGCAGCTGCAACGGCAGCTGCGAAAGAAAACTCTGTGGTTTTAGGGGCTGGAGCAGCGGAGCAAGCTGGAGGTGCGGAAGGAGCTGCTGCTGAGGGAGAGAAGAGAGAAGAGGGACAAGCTGGGTCTCCAGCTCCAGCACCTGAAGGAGAAGCTGTTGCACCGAAGGCAGAAGTTGACACAAAGCCAGCAGATGACTCAATTCTAAAAGATGTTGCTGCTCCTGACACAGCTGCAGCTAGTCCTTCCACTGGGGATGTACTATCTAAAGCTGAAGATGAACCCCAAGGAACAGAAGGAGAAGCACTTGCTGTCAAAAGCTCAGCAGGGTCAGGCAGTGGCGTTCCGGGTATCAGCGCAACTGGCTCTCCGATTCCATCTGGCAGCAATGACGACGAGGATCAAAAGTCCGACCTTGCTCCGAGCGAGCACATGCGACAGCAGATCCGACGTACCAGCGCTGAATTAGAGGAGTTGCATGAAAAGCCGCAAAAGACAGCGAGGGAGAAACTCCGGTTGAGACAAATCCTCGCTTGTAACAAGCATGAACAGCTTCGGTACGTGATGACGAAGCCAGAGTCGATTCCCCATGTGGCGACGATCTTTGAGTGCACTTTCGATGTCGATATGGAGAGGACCTTGATGCACGAGTTGGACCGTTCTGTGCAAAGGATGGCTTTAGAACGAGAAAGGTTAGAGGAACTCCACTTGAAGTGGATCTGCGTGAAAGTGAAAACCGCGATGTCTTTGGTCGAGGCACAAGCAGCCTTAACCGCAGCGCAAGATGCTGCTGGAGAAGGAAAGAACAAGAGCAAGATGCGCAGTAGAGCTCAAAGTGGAGCATTTGGAGGTCCTGGCGGTGCTCCTTCTCTAGGCCAGTTTGGTTCTGTCGCAGCGGGAACTTTGAGTGCGCCAGCGGATCCAGTGAAAAAGTCCAAAGATCCATTGGCGAAGTACTACAACATGACCCCTGAGGCTGTTGCTGGAACTATTTTGCAGTTGTCCTATCCCAAAGACCTGCGGATTCCAGCCCTGAAGGAACGCGTCGAGACCCTGCAAAGGATTGCCAAAGACGTGGAAACTCTGCTAGAAGTGTTGGATCGGAAACATGCGGAGTTCTACCCAGCAGAAGCTTTGAGACGGTACTTTTTGGATGCGGTTCGGCATATTAGCGGCTTACGCCCAGACGCAGAATGGATCGTGGAGATTCGGCATCGTAGTTTTCTAGAGGACGAGTTAGAACCCGACTACTTGAACCCCGATCGCTTCATCGTGGAGATCATCGATCCTTTCCGCGACACGCCGCCAAAATGGCACTTTCTAGTGAAAACCGATATGCAGAGAACAAACATGTACGTCACTGAAAAGCAAGTGGAAGAAGCCTTCCGTCTCCACCACTTGACCGAGGACGAATGGAAAATCGAAAAACAAAAGCGAAAGGAACAGGAAGAAGAAGAAGCTTTGTTAAAGAAGGAAGAGGAAGAACGGGAACGAGCTAAACAGGCGAAAAGATTAGAACAAGAAAATGCAGAGATATCTAATGCATTGGCTGCTTCTGCCACTTCTCAAAATCCTGGTGGCGCTCCAGATGCCAATAACTTCTTCGCAGGCTTGAACGAACCAGAAGAACCTCAAGAAGAAGAGGAGCCTGAACCTCTGCGAAGACCTTATCACTTAACCGATCCTCAAAAGATCGTCCCCGTCTATCGCTTAGACCCGTACCCTGTGTCGAGAGTGCTCAGTTCCTATGGAGTCAAGAGATTCCACGCAAGCGAGGCCAGACGTAAAGCTAAGGAAGTTCGAGCAAAGCGTAGACAAGACCGCAAAATCGAGAACGACTTTCAAAACTCTCTCAGACGGGAGCATGGGCAACCAGAGCTTCCGCCACCCCCAGACACGCCCTCAGACGGCGAGTCCGAAGCTGAAGCCCTTGCCGCCGAAACGGACCCAGCGAGAAAGGCGCTGAGAGCGTTTTTGGCTAACCCGGATCAAGCCAGAATCGAATTCCCAGGAGATGTCCTAGCGGCTTCTGAAGGAGGGGCGACACAGTCGGAAGTCGGTGCATCCAGACCACAGTCCTCCGCGAGCAGACAGAAGACGCCTCCTGGTGTGCAGGTGCCGGTGCAAATACCAGGCACTGGAAAAGAGGTGATGATGACTGTCTAGTGATAAGGACAATGAAGATGACTGTTATTAGGTAAGAACAGATGACTGTTTATAAGTAGGTAAGAACAACTACATGTCCCCAACTCCATAGCTTCTGTGCGATATTGTCTCTACTTAGGTAGTCCTGTAGAAACTACGACAGGGACACACACACATGACCAACCCCAAGTATATTGCTGAAAACCAAAATGAAAATCCTTGAACCAAGAGAACAGATGATTACTGATTATAATACCGACTGCGTTCCATCGCAGATTGTCTTGACTACACAAATTTGTATTTCGATACACAATCACATTCACACGTTATACCTATGTTGAAATGAAGCCTATGTCTTTTTTTAGCGTTAAGACATCTTGTTTGAATACTTGTTACTAAGAGCGTACTTGTTGAACTTAATACTTAATACTATTCATCGAATAAAACCAAAACACGACTTGTAAAGATAATCAATGTAGTGTGGGACTTGATCTCTTCCGAGCAGTAAGAGTGAACAGCGAATACACGCACCATATAACACCGAACTTAAAGATCACATATGAGACATACTAATACTTGTTAAATCCTTATCTACATAGAGCAACTAGTTGAATTCTACTTATCGACAATCACGAAACAACGAAAGGGATAATGAAAAATGAATCTACTGGGAACACCGATGATATTCCTGCCTAGAAGATCAAACGTTGATCTTCATCTTGGGAAGAAAAACTGCCGAGAACTGCATCCACATCGCAGGAAGGATCGCTTGTATCCATCTACTGCTTGCAACGCCATGCAATACTTGTTCGCCCACTTTTCATGTGAATCGTCCTTGAAGGCTGTTTCTCATCGCTGTTGTCTCCTTCTGAAAGCTAGATACAACAAGAATCATGAGCTTACAGCATTCAGAGTGTCCAATTATTGTAGACCATTGAAAGTCTTGATTTTGTTTCCCAGGATGGTGTGAGAGATACCTTAGTCCTTGATGCGTTGTGGATACGTTTGATCTTAATTTTGATTAGGAAGAGACGACTTTATTCCAAGATGGCTCTCGCGGCTACGACTAACCGCGGGCTTCTGTTGGCCGCCCGGCCAGGGCGCGCATCACCTCTTGCGGCACGAAGTTTTGCTTCTTCAGCGACTCCCAGTAGTAGCAGCAATAGCATTCCAAAGTCAATAGCGTCAAGGAGGGGCACGACGAGGACTGTTGCCAGTTCTTTGCCGCACGGTGGTACTTTGTCCTGCAGTTCTTCTTCTCCATCTAGCACTTTTTTTGTCCCAGGCGATATGAAGATGCGGAAATCTTCACCAGGTTTCACTGCAGGAATGAGGAGCTTCTACTTCACATCAAGCAGGTCGTGTGGTACAACTCTTAGCAGAGGTACTAGCACGAGCAGCACCGTGGGCACCCCCCTTGATCCAAAAAAGCCCACACGACCACCTCCTTCCCGAAACTTCTCCTCCCGAAGCTTCTCCTCTTCTTCCCCTCCTTCGGGTCCTACTTCCACCGGGCGCCGCGACGTTGCTGGCGCAGATAGCGCGATGTCTATGGCAGACTTCCACGAATTAGGCGATGCAGCGTTGGAGAAATGCATAGATCTGCTGGAGAAAGAGTTCCCGGACCTAGAGGACTTCGATATCGCGGATGGTGTCTTGAAAATATCTTTGCCGAAGGGTCAACCGGACATCGTTGTAAACAAACATCAAGCGACGAAACAGATATGGTACGAGATTTGTACATTTGTACTCTAGAACAAATACATTCGGACGATACAGATCATTTGGAATTTCCTCATCTTGTGCAGCTATAGTTATGAGAAGAATTATGTCAGGATGTCAGGGTCTGGGTTTTGCGAATGACGCGACTTTGATTGTGAGCTTTCTACTCACGAAGGACGATAACATGATACAGTCTACCAATGATCAGCTTTTCAACAGATACTCACTGTCATCAAAGGTAATCCAGAGGACAAAAGGAACAAAAACTTGCTAATTACAGAACTTCTCTCATACCCCATGAATGGGTCCACGACTTCTAATACTACTACCACTGCTTACGTTATCCACCTTTCAGGTACTCTTCCCCTTGCGGAGCACAGTACTTCGATGCACCCTACGCCACGCTTGCTGCTGCACTGAGAAAAGATCTTGAATCTTTGACATGATGATGCTGTACTTCCTCCAGAAAAATTGACTGCTTTTGAGTTTGTGAAACCCACTGCGTCAGTCCATGAGGATTGCTATTGTATTTGTAGTTATCGAATGATGCTGGAAGATGCGTCTCAGTAGATTCAAGGCGTTTTGCCTGTGTTCGAGCAGGGGAATTAGCCAGGTGGCAACCTGATTTGAAACACATGACCAAAAGGAACTACGTGGTCTTGTATGCTGACGCAAAATACCGAGAGAAACCGAACTTTATCATGATATTGAAGCGAGAAAAACTTTTCAAGCTAGGTGGGGTTTCTATTAAAGAAGGTCTCGCACCTACCTCCGTGAACTTGACAGTTCGGTGACACAAAGACACACTCACCACCACACAATCGCGACACACAACAAGAAAGATACCTCGCGGCGAAGTCTCTGTCTCCTGTCGCATGTATTTCTCCGCCACGGCGAGTCTAGCCACTGAGTGACAGCAAAAGTAAGATGAGGTAGAAGGACTGAGTGGATAATTTGTTTTTGTCACAGGAGCGAAAGCTCAAGATGCTTCTACGTGATATCCATATCGTCCTTGATGACGTATTTGCTTTTTCTCTTTGACTACGTACGCACGACTACGAGTAGGCCGTTGCACTAGTTCTACATCAATAAACTAAGAAGTCCCGGCTTGTGCTTATCGAACTACAACAGTTCATTTGTCAGAAAAAATGTCGTTCTCATTGGAACCGCATCCGATTGGCGTGAAATACTGGACCAACATCTGGAAGGAGTCGAAGGATGTTCCTTTCGCAGAAGCCCACTCAAAATTCCAGAGCTGGTACCAGAACACTATGAAAGGGAAGGTAGTTGCAAGATCTCGGCACTACTTACTGTTTATCGTCTAGATCATCTAGTAAGTTTGGTAATCATGATGATTGGGATCGGTCAGCTCTTTCAGGAGTAGAGCTTCAACTTCTACTGACGGGATAGATATGCGTGAGTACTAGAGCAGCTCGAATATCATCACCAGAACCAGTGGTCTGTTTCTTTGCTAGTTGTATCCTAATCCTTGTAGAAATCCTCTTTCCTCCACCTCGTCGTTCATATCGGAGTTCTACAAATCGTTTGGTCGATTTTACTACCGACACCGTGCCGGCAGCCTCGGAGCATTAGCTCCCCTTGTGGTCGGTGGCTTGGCGTTCAAATTCGTCTCGAGCTACTATGGGATCCTACGAGATAATGCGGCAGCGATCGAAGCAGGTAAAGCCTACGGCCAGGGAGGCTACAAGAGCAATCCAGTTCCGAAATAGAGGAAGGTTTTTGCTCAGGTGTCGTGACATGTGCGTTCATGTGGAAGAGGGTTGATTCATTCTTACAAATATAATCATCTTCTTGGGGCGGTGGTTTGTTGTCGCCAGGAGGCGGACGAGGAGGTTGATTTATCCAACAATTGTTGTTCGTTCTTCTCGGGATGATTGGTGGTAGTTGAGACTGAGTAACCTTGTTGAAAACCCCTGACGGGGACTAGTCTTCAAGTGTGCTGCACGAAAGCGCTGTCTTCCAAATGATTCTTTTTCCTATCATTAACAAACTCAAACTGCGTGCCTTTTCTTGCAAGCATGGCCGTCAGCTCGATGTAAGTGTAACAGACACAGACCGTAACTACAAGCACAAGAGGAGGCAACACAGGCCGCAACTTCTACGCACCCTTGATGATTTGCAGGGTGACATGTTTGCGGTATTAATAACTCAGAAAGGATTCGGTATAATGATCATGTTTTTATTGTCTTGCTTGCTTCCAATCTTCACTCTATCATCATTTTTCACTCAAACCAACACCTTCTAGTGGAGTTTTTTCAAAGAGAGACGCCACTAAGTGTGGTAAGAAATTTGTTGTCTGCAAAACTGAAACGTATATAAATGACTCTTTGAAAAACCGAGCACCGAGGCAAAAAATTTGCTTGTTTTGTACTGTTGTCTGCGAAACGAAACTTCTTGCTCTTCCACGTCTTGCTCACTCATTACGACCTCTTTATCCGGCATTTGAATTTCGCAGAAGTTGCCACCGGTTTTGTTCACCACAACGGCTTCAATATTGCTTCATATAATCCGGAAACACCTTCAATTGCAATCGCCGCTACATTGCCGCTACAATTTTTGGACCCATAACATACAAGTTGGTTCGACTTCACCAGTGGTAGAACATCTGAAAAAGAACTTCTCTGCACCACACCAGAAGCCCAACCTCATCGGCATCCCCGCGGATCGAAGAAAAAGTCCAAGACTCTGTATCAAACATCGATATCGACCGACATAAGAACCCGGCAAGGAGCTACTCCAGTAGAAAGGCGAGATACAATAAGCATATGCAGAAAGAATCCAGCACAGCCACTGCGCTCATATTTTGTTGCACCACGTCGACTGGCACCACCGTCAATCTCCGTCTCTTACATTGACTAGCGAACGCTGAAATCTCAAGTGAGATAGAAGCACTCACATCAACACTACGGTAACGACTAGTCCAAGTGCTCATAAAACGCTTCTCAGAAAGATAATCACGACAAGAACTTCATCTTCAGTTTTCGGACGGAAAAAAGAACAATACTAAGCACCACATCTTCTTGATCAAAATCAAAAATTTCGCTTCAGTAGTCCGAAAGCCACTAGCTCTTCGAGAAGAACAAACGGCTCTTGCGTCGAGGACTGAGTCCTAGTTGACCATCCCCATTGCAGTATATATCGTTCTTGCAGTACGTGAACACAGTGCGACAAGATGATCGCTTCCCCAGTGTCCCCACAGAGGGGTGGAGGTTTTGGGAAGTTCCTACTCCGTTTTGACTCCTTCCGAGAAATACCGTCAGACTTGACCGAACCAACACTCTTGGGCAGTGTCTTTACGCTCTTTGGATACTTTCTTTGTGGTACGTTTTATCAAATTTTGGTTCTGGCAATGTCAATGATCTTGTTGTTGTTTGTTATTTGTTTGTTTCGACGCTGTCAATGACTTTGTTCCTAATGAGAGAATTGGTTCTCGTCAACATCATCTTCGAAGATAGCATGAATTCAAGTCTTCATCCCTTTTCATGATCCTTTCACCTTCATCAGGTACTCTCTTCATGTGTGAGATGTGGGGCTTTCTTAGTGCAGAACACCACACCAGAATAGTAATGGATGGAAACCAGGACAAGCAGTTGAGGATAAATTTTGACGTACTGTTGCACGACTTGCCCTGTCAGCATTTGACGGTAGGCGTCTGGGATTCGTTCGGGAATGAGAGACTCAATATCAGTTCAAACATCGCAAAAACGAGGAAAATGCATGATGGTACTACTACCACTAGAGCACCATGAGTTTCAAAAATATTGTGAAAACGAGGAAAATGCATGATGGTATTACTACCACTAGAGCACCATGAGTTTCAAAAATATTGTGAAAACGAGGGAACTGTATGATGGTAGTCTTCTGGATACTACTAGCGCAACCACTAAACTTAAGTTCTTGATGAACTAGAAGACATCTTCAAACACAACAGGAACATTTCACGAATACACCGAAGCGGAACTGTTATCTCTAGACAAGAAGGAATTTTCAGCGGCAGAAATGGAGGAATACAACAAGGACTGGGGGAGCAGTACTGAGAAGCACACGTCATTCGATAACGTGATCGAGAGCCACGATTTCACATTCATCAACTTCTATGCGGGATGGTAGTTTGGAATCTCCAATGAGTGATCTAATCGGATTTTTAGATTAATCCTTGCTTCTGGACACAATGTGTCTGATGTAGTACTACATCATCACTCCTGAGTGCTGAGAGTGATGCAGAAAAACATGCAAGTGTATGCCTTTCCGACAATATGTGCTCCAACATGTGTCCGTCTGCTTGTCCTGTGTTTCAAGATGAAGATCAGGCTCTGCGAGTTCCTCTGTTTAATTAAATATCCTGTCTTTGGTCTTCCTCGGTTCATCAACACATTAACCGCATCCCAAAAGTAGAATACCAAGCAACGTTTGGGGTAGCAAGAAATCTAGTGTAAAGATCTTGAGACAACCACAACATCATCGACCTCATCTTGATAATCATCTCACATCATCTCCCTAACCCTACTCTGCACAGGTGCACGCATTGTCGAAATTTTGCACCCGAGTGGGACAAGTTCGAGAAAAACACAAACGAAAAGCCAGAAGAGTTAGTGGATAGTGCTGGGCAGCAATTGTCTGTGCGTGTGATCAAGATCAATTGCGTCGATTTTGAGGATACATGTAACAGTCAGAACATCATTTAAGGCGAGCAGCTGTCGTTCACCTTGACAAGCAAGCATCTTTGCCGCCCTTTTCTTCATGGGTCAAAGATGAGCTTCAAGATGGATCTGGGTAGGCTCTAAATTATGGGCTTTCCCACAGTCCGACTGTACAAGAGGAGCATCCAGGTAAAAAAGCAATGGAAAGAGTACCACGGACAGAGGAAAGCTGATGATTATGGTGGAGGATGGTTCAGAGTAGTTGTAGTAGAAACTTCTACAGCTCCTGTGTAGTCCAGAGGATAAACGTGGAGTTTCAACATCTTTCTCGCGCTATCATCTTAATGAAACTAGAACAACTCGTGTATCTTCCTGACTCCAAATACAAGACGAATAGATCTTCACTCTAAGGAAAGTTGATCCCCTGGGTGAAACAGGAATTGAAGTCGCAGCAGCTGAGACTCCCCGATGTGCAGTTTCACGACTTCTTTCAAGAAGGATGCAGAGCAGAAGGCTTCGTCGAGGTCGCAAGAGTCCCAGGTAATTTACTTAGAAAAAGCTTTTAAGAACAAGAATTCAGCACTCCGATAATTTTGACTTTCCTAGTTGAGCTAGTGGATGCTGTAGTTGTCGTTGAGTTCTCGTAGAACATGGAGATGATGAGTCCTAGCAGATCATGTAACACAGGCTTTGATATGTTGAAAGATCATGCTCATCATGTGCCTGCGTCACCGATGACGATTTTCATAGTACTCATCGACGCTCAGGCACACTGCATTTCGAGGCGAGTCATAGTGGGGAGACGAGTCTCAACTTCGCGTTTACCAACGTGAGTCACACCGTTAACCACCTGTTATGAATGGGTTTAAAGTTGTATCAGTATCTGTTATAGAACTAAATCTACAACTAGATAACACGTTGTGACTCTCAGTATATATTTACCTAGGAGCGTCGACAGCAAGAACAAGAAGCAGGTCACTAACTCCTCCTGTATTTCTTTAATGAATGAGCTAAGTCTATCGATTCCCAGATCATGATGTAGCAGCATACTGTCAGAGAACATCCCTGAGCATCAACTCCCCATAGAAGCTTATGTCACGTTCATTCTTGAGTTTCACCACCGCTGGAGAGCTGAGCAAATATCCGACAAGGGTGCCTCGATCCTTTCAGGAGCATGTTAATATATTAGACGGACGCACTTTCCTCACTAGCGGATTCCATCAAGCGCCACATCGTATTTCCTTCTTTGTTCCGATTATCGCTCGTAGCTTCCTGCCGTGTTTCTTCTTGCACCAACCTGCGCGCCAGCGGTCACGCTGTTTGCATTTCTAGGGCGGGGCGGCGGTCCGCATGAAGTCAGCAGTCCTACGGGTGCGAAATTCCTACGCAAACGGGGCAACGGCTCTCGCGCAGCTCGCCGGCGTGAGGACTTTAAGGGGGGCAGCTTTTGAATGCCATCCCGCGCACCTCTCTACTCGAATACCACGTCGCTGCCAGTTGCCGGGGAGCAGCGTGCTGAGCCCGTTCAGCGTCGGTTCGTTGAATTATGTGCCCCGCCCCTTCGATTGCCGCCAGAGCCTCCGCGTTTTTCTCAGACAAACAAGGCGAAACAGCCTGACGAGGCGCCCCGGCTCGGCTCTCGCTCTTTTATCTGGTTCACCAATGTAGAACGCGGGCGCGGGCTTGGGGATATGGCATCGCGGCGGGCGACCTAGAGGCGCCAAGGGCTGCGGCGTGCCCATTCATGCCAGGGCGCAGCAAAGGGAGCCCGCCCGCAGCCGGGTGCTCATCAACTACGAACAGGACCAGTCTGGCGCGAATGCGGTTACAATGAATACCACACGAAGCACCGGCGCGCGGAAGCCAGCAGCCTGTGAGCGGTTTCCTTGCTAACATTGATGGCGACGCGGGTGACATGTCTCGGGCATAAAGTAGATACATGGCACGGCCGGCGCCGCTCTGCAGGCGCGGACTGCTCGGGGAGGCTTTTCGCTTGTTGTAGATACCAGCAACACCCACCACGCTACCTCGGGCGAGAAAGTAGACGCGGGGACGACGGAAAAGGGGAAAAGAGGCCGGAAAGGTTCGGAGCCGATGCGCCTGCTGCCCAAGTGAGGCGCAAAAGAACGCAAAGAACGGGCGCGCCGCGTGCTGTCTTTGTCGTTTCTTCTCGCTTCTGCTCTGGGGGTCGCTTCTGTCTTGGAGGAAGCGGGCCAGCCCTTGGCGTTGATACCTTTCAGCCAGATGGCGGCGGCAGACGCCTGCAGCCTGCGCCCTCAGAAACCTGCTAGCGCCCTCAGGCGCTTGCTGTCTGTATCTTTAGCCTCAGGCACCTGCTGTCTGCGCCGTCAGGCGCTTGCCGCCTGTGCATCAACAACGCGCACAGGCCTCAGTGGTGTGCAAACGCTTTTAGCAATCCTGCGAGCGGGCTGCCTCTTGTGGGGGGTTAGTGCTCTGGGCTTGGGAGGGTCGCTGTTGGGTTGAAAATCAGGGACGTGGATAGGGCCAGCGGAGTGGCCTGAGAAGGCCGGTGAGCTTTTCCCGGCTCTAGCTTGGAACCATTGCCTGCCGGCGGACGTCTCGCGTGACACGTTGCGAGGCCAAGCGCGATCCACTTCTACCGCCATACGGCCAAAGCGCTCGGCGGCTCGCAGGCGTATGACTTGGCACAGGACGCGCGTGCCCTCTTGGTCTGGATCGATGGGGGCGCCCTCGTCTCTGCGATGGCCCTGGCCTAGGGAAAACGGTGGCCGCGCTGGGCGTCATGGAGGATTTTCGTCGACGCCGGCGCTGCGACGTTCGGTCGTGCAGCTACCTGGGCACGCTAGGCTGCTTGCTCTGCTCCATTGTGTTTTGCACGCTGTCGCTGTTTACCACGCACCGCGCCCTGGCAGTGACCGCGAACCAAGTGGCGGCGGCTTTCGTCGTTTTCTGTTGCTCTACACCCGCGCCGCTTGGCATGAAGGGAGTAGGGGGTGCTTCGCGTGCCAGATTTCTGAGGGCAGCAGGCGCATGCCCGCCGAAGCTAGCTGGCGCCTTTGGGCGTGTGGTAGTCTGCTCCCCTGTTGTGGTTCTGCATGTTGTGGCGTGCTGGGAACGAAGGAAAAAAGAGAAGAAGGGGTCGGTGGTGCTTTTGCTTTGTTTGTTTGGTTGCTTGCTTGTTTGCAGGAGGCAGAGCGCGCTGACTGTGCACAGACTTGGCAGGCCACCGGTAGGCCCGCCGCAGACTGGGGCGCCGGAAATGCCTGCTGGAAATGCCCACATCTGAGGGCTTTGGCCATGCTTGCCCCGTGGTTTCTCGGCTTGTCTTTTGTTAGGTTCGGCCAAAGTGGGGGCTGGCCCCGTCTCTCTCTCCTAGCTGGGTCGCCTATGAAAAAACGAGTGCTGCTCGCCTTGCCTAGGCTAGTCGCTTCACCCAGCAGAAACGGCAGCACCCAGCTGACCCAGCCCCTCCTTCTTCTTAGAGAGTATTTTGTCTGAAGGACCTACATTGTTACGCACGACCTGGGGTCATCAATTGCTTATGTATCATCGATCTGTACTGAAATGCTGACAACAGAAAATCCTTAATCAGTGTCGACGCCATCTTTCTTCTACTTCATCTTCATCTCTCTACCATCTATCAATCACCATCAACAGATTACATCCAAGTGGTATCAACCTTTTTCGAGAAGGAGAAATCGCGGTCGTACCAGTTAACGCATCAGCAGAGGCTCGCAGGAGTCCAAAAGACTGCAACGCCGCAAGCGAAATTTTCGTACCAACTGTCGCCGGTAGAAGTTCGTGTAACCACTTCGGGAAAAAAGTGGTACGAGTTCCTCACATCATTTTATGGCAAAGGACTCTTGTTCTAAGAAAGTACTCAGTTGGAGATAGTCTGCTGGTCTCCTTGTTAGACACCGTCTAGTCCATTCATCGTCATGCTTAGTTGGCGAATTCTTGTTGGATTTCATTTTGCAATTTTAGATACGTTATAGAACAAAGGGTAGCCATCTAATCTCCGCTGGCCATCGTTGGCGGTGCTTTCACGGTTACGGGAATGCTTCAGGCAAGCACAGCAGCAGCAAAGAGGGCTTTGAAGAAGGGGTCACTCGGCAAAATGGTGTAACGTTCCACGAATTTGTTAGAAGATGGAAGAGGATGGAGGATTAAACACCTGTTGTAAGCTGTAAAGATTCTAAGAGCTAAACTGCGAATTTGAACAACGTCAAGAAAACAATGTATAATTTAATGAAACTCCAACGACACTTCTTAACTTAATATCCATAACGAGTCATACGAACTAGAACTAGCACTAGGTTGCAGATTGGGTATCTTTTTGGTCTGGTACGACGTAAGCGTGATTGAAGCAAAATAAAGGTTAAGGTCGTTAAGAAAAAGATTTACGTTACTGCAGCTTCGCTTGTGGAATTTTTTTGACTCTCTCAGTTACGTTACTGCAGCTTCGCTTGTGGACCTTTCGCGTGGATGTAGGTTTTTGCTTATGAAGATGACGAATATGAATAGCTTATTTGTGACAGGTCGGTGAGGTTCGATGTCTAGGAAGATGTCAGCATCCGTATGAATAGTCGTATTGATAGTCGAGTGAAATTAAAAAACATGATATGCGGCAGTGGTGATCGTGATGAATGAATGAAAGTTGTGGATGCTCTAATTTTGCTGTTAATAAATTGTATTCTTAAGCCTTCTACTGTAGTAGAGTCAGCTTGCTTACTATGTATATTGATCGGTCGAAATCCAATATGTTTATATTGAGGCTAAGGCTATGCTGGCTATCTACTTTACAACAATTGTACAATGAAAAGATGTCAAGATTCTGGTGATGTGTGTGGACTAGATCGAAGATGTAAAAATTTCAAGAAGATTCCAATGGCACGACTGCGGACTTCAACCAACCACCTCCATCTTTGTTGAGTAAAATTCCTTGAGCAAGAAGATCAAGGTCAAGGTTCACAAGAATTATCACTTCAGAAACAAGAATTATCACTTGCTACATGATAGATTCATCATGTTGTTCTAGCTCTGCCCACGTGCACGTGCGCTGACTTCCGTAATGCTGGCGCTATACTTCGCGTCGTCGACGAAAGCCTTTGCAGATGTGTTGAAGGCAGCAGTGCGATGTGGATGTTTGTTGTTAGCAGCGCCCTTCAGATGAAGATAGAGAGCATAAAGAGATCCTCTGAGGCGAGTAACATCTTCAAGATTCGATCAGACTACAAGTAGATTTAGATTAGCTAATGAATAACCAAAATTTTTGAAGAATCTTCATGAGAGAACATACATTTTACAAATCTGTCAGGTTAGGTAAATCCTAGCCTATAAGGTTTGTGCCACCTTATAAGTGAAAAGAGGAGCAGGATACTAGAAGATGAACGTCGTGAAGCCAGTCGTGCGACCCCCTTGTTGGGTATCGCATCCCGCTGTGAGTGCCTGCACGGCGTCGTCCAAAAACAACACGGGCTCTGATGGGGTTCGGAGCTGGTGGTGGCAAAGCAGGCGGAAGCACGATAGTCGCGCGGCGGAGGCAGGGTCGTGTTCCGTAGCACGGCGGAAGGAGCTGCGAGCAGGAAAAGGCGTTATTTGTTCAAATTCCCATAGAGGTACAAAACCACTTTTGCACTCAAGCTCAACACGAAGTAGCCCCTGTTCCAACAAGTTCCAGCACACACGAAGTCCTACTTGCTTCCTCTTTCAGCACTTCTACGTTGCCGCTGTTCGAGCTTTGTCACTAGCCTTTTTTGCGCTCCTGTCGCAGACTAGTTTTTGTTTTGGGCTCGTTTCTGTGGAGAGGGTCGAGGTGACTCATTTTGGACAGTTCCAGCAACTGGAGGAGAGGAAAAAGGCTCAAATGTTCGCCAGGAGTAGAAGAAGTAACAGAACAAGAACTTCCGCATCTACTTCTTTAGGAAAAATGGCGTGGGAACGCGAGGACGACAGCGCTGTGTTCCCCGTGGCTTTTCTACTTAATGCTGCCCTCTCGCTACCCTCCAATTGCAAGAAGAAGACGTGTGGCGGGGCTCCTGATGGCAAAGCGACGTGCTTCGGGGAATTAATGCCCTTGCGTATTGGGACCCGCTCGAAATTCGATTTAATGGAAACACCGGATAATTCGTTCACAGGCATGCCCAAGCAACAGTCGGCAGGCTGGTTCCCATATCCTTTGACGGTTGGGCTTTGCGCTCAGATCTGTGCTGAGACCTCCGGTTGCGCTGGAGTGGCTTTCCGAGAGAACATCATGGATGATCGCAACTGCGGACTCTTGGCGTCTGCAGGCGCGAATAGTGACGACAGTGAAAGCGATTTGACGCCAGAGGATGACACGCAAGTCATATACATGACCGTAGGCGGCTGCAGCGACCAGCTTCTGGATCGGAATAAAGGAGTACAGACGTTTCCTGATACAAAGCTGAAAAAGAAGTGGGGCGTAGATCTTCAGCATGTGATAGACCATGATTTCAATGCGGGACTTGACGAAAATTGCGGCGCTGCGAACCGAAGATGGCACGACTCAAGTGTAACTGTAATCTCAAAGGAAGAAGCGCGGCCGATTCTTGGTGATCAAGACGAGGTGCTTTACCGCCCATATACGCCTTGTGCCTGCTTACGATCGTGTATCCAATCACCTGACTGCATTACTTGGCAATCGCAGGAGGAGAGTCAACATAATGTCACGTGCAAGCTTGCGAAGCAACAGCTCAACGAGAAAAAGGTCGCCAGAAAGGTCGCCTTCAGGGGCGACAGTAGCAGTACTGGGAAATTCCGAGCAGATGCCCTTGACCCAGCTGTCTGCAACGAAGAAGGTCATATGTGTGAAGGCCGAGCATCGGGCGCTTCGGATACATTCGACTACATGATACACCTCTGCGATTTGTCGCTCTCGGATTATCTCATGGGCGAGAATTCGGCCGAGCACCACATCGGGTATGTGCCGGGAATAAAGTCTTCACCTTCAGAATGCGGAAGGATTTGCGCTCTCATGGAGCCAGTCTGCGAGGGTTTCATCGTGGGGCACAAGGACAAGACTGCAGAAAAAGAAGATCGAGTGGGCTACTGCTTCCTACTGCGTGATCTGGGGGCTGATCGGCGAGGACCGCGGCCGGCGGTCGGCGAGGGCCAGGCGTTTGCGCACAGAGAGGATACGTCAAAGAACGCAGCATTCTTCCGGCTCACAGCTACGACACGAGACGGAGAAAGATGCGGAGACAAGTTTCGGGTTGCGTGGATGTGTACGTGCGAGAATGGGCATGCGGCAGACAGCCGGGACGAATCTTGTAGCGTTCCTGGCGCGACGAAGTGCCGCGAATGCTACTACGGATATTCGCTGAGTGAGGGGAATTGCGAGCGCGACGCAGCAATCGCTCTCGCCTTCGACAGCTTGGATGAGGATGTCGAAGTGGATGAAGACGAAGTCAGGGTGACATCGGTGATCACACCGAAGGGAGACGATGAGCAAGACGTGGCGCAGCTGGATATGACACAAGTGCTGATCATGGTCGGAGCCTGCACCGGCATTTCCTTGCTAGCAGGCTGCGCATACCTGGGAGCGCAGTAGTAGCGGACCTAGGTAGTACTACCTAGTAGCGGTGGATCATGATGTTCATCGTTGATCCCGTATTATTGGAAGAAAGACAACTTCATCCGCCTAGAAGACAAACAAACATACTTTTTGAAGAAACATACCAAGAAGCGCAACATGAAGTGGAGGCGTGGTTGCGGAGATCTGCTAGACGTATGCGTTTGACGGCAGCGGTACAAGTATGCGAGTCCATCTCACAACCCTGGACTCACCACCCTTCCCCCTTCTGATAGACTTCCAAGTCTTCGTATTCTCTTAGATTTCCAAGTTTTCTGTTGATAGCCGATAGGCTTACACTGGTCTCACTCCTCAGGTGGACATCATGAAGATGAAGCAAGGACAGACGAGGAGAATCACCTAAGCAGTAGCGCTTCTACAACATGGAATCGTCCGTATAAGTTTTTAGGAGTGTTGCACCAGGAGCCTGATTACCTTTGAGGTATTTACATATGAGTTTCAACATCAATCATATTTGCTAGAATCGTACTAAAATCACAACAAGGCTTAGACCAGGTGAAGGTCAGAAGAGCTACAGCTGCATAGCGAAGTTTACAACAGTCTACCAGACTGAAGGTTGTGGGTGTTCGTGGCATTTTGAGCCTTTCATCTTGTGTCAAATAGAAGCCACAAGTGAGTAGCAAGCTAGTATAACAAAGTAAGTAGCTCAGTAGGTACTTAAAGAAGAAAGCGCAGTCGGTACTTAAATAAGAAATAAAAGAGCCTTAGCTTTTTTATTTTTCTTTGCTTGTTTTCGAACGTCAGTCGCAGGCAGATACGTCTGCTCTGCAGTAGTTCAAGGAAAACAGAGTAGGTAGGACAGTTTTTAGACGTCTGGTCGAGGTGAGAAGTAAGTGCGTGGTTTGTGACTCTCTGTGTAAAGTCTTCTGCTTCCATAACTTACTCATTTACCCTTGTGCCCGGATAGGTTTTCCAGGTTAGAAGTTAAGTCAGTCGCCGTTTTTCACGAAGTCTTGATTAGGTTGTAGTCGTTGCTAATACTTTTCGCGTTTTCAGTTCAAAAACTGCGTCGGCTGTCACTAGAAGTTGAATGCGAGTTAATATAGTTGAGTTCTGCGCTTTCCTTTCCTGGTTTTTACTAACTGTTTGAGTAGTTCCTACTTATAGGGCTTCCGCCTTCGGGTTTCTGTCTAAAACTACTACTGTCGGCTTAGTAACTTGTGCGTAGATAACTTCGGCCTTTCACTGTCCCTAGGTATTTGTGCTTAATTAGTGTAGTTGAAGTTTGCGCTGTTTGCTGTGGCTCCATGTGCTGAGTTGTCTAGCCTTCAGGCTTTTTAGGTTCGTTTCAATCTTTCATTTCGTGGCATCTCTTTGTCTCTGCCTGTCTGTCGCTTGTAAAACGAAACGTGCCCCATCAGGTGGCCAGAGGCCGCTCTTTCAGTAGCCCCAGGATACAAAAAAAAAAAAATTTTTTCTGAAGTCTCCAAATCCCAATCCAAGTAAAAAAATGAATCATGACTCAGATTGCGTCTCGCAAAATGGAAGAAACGAACTCCGTGGTTCCTATTCTAGTGGGTACTGCTTTCGGTGAGACGCGTAGTGTATTTCTTTTGCAGTTGGATTGCGTTACTGGACTTCTATCGTACAAGCAGTCGTTTTCGCTACCACACGCTTCACCAGGATGGCTTTTGCATTCTACTGTAGAAGTCAAGGACGGCGTCGAGGTTGGAAGGGAAAATGCTTCATCCTCGAAAAACGATTCTTGCAAGATCCTAGTTGCATACGAAGAATCACCTGGATTGGTGCAGGCCTTTTACACTTCAGTAGACGAAACTTCGAGCGGAGCTAGTGACGGCGCTAAAGAAGGTGTACTGGATTTCGTGCCTGCTTCAATTAGTATTCCTTCTGAAGGCGACGCAGCTTGTCATTTGAGCACAGATACTACGGGAAAATGGATTTTCGTGAGCAACTACTGCTCTGGAAACGTTGGGATCCTGTCTTGCCTCAACACACCGGAAAATGCCGGACTTGCGTTGCATTCGGTATTTTCGATTGGTAGATTGCTGAATTCGAAGTTGTAACTGCCGACGTGTCTTTTTCGTTTTGCCTTTCAAACGTAAGACCTGGTATTGTATTTAGATTACTGCATCAGTACATGCTGTAGAAGTCGCCAGGAAAATCTTAGGCAGCTTGCCGAATAGATTCGCACCATCTTCGTTCTATGTTTCCTTTCCTTTCCTCGTCCTACTCGAGTATCTATAGAAATATGCACTCGCTGCACCCTTTTGACCAGGTTATCCGACACCCACCATCTGCAAATTATACCCGCCAACTGGACCCGGCTTTAACCGACCGCCAAGAGGCCCCTCACTGTCACTGCACAGCAATCCACCCTTCAAACAGGTGGGTAGCAGTCGCAGATCTTGGGCTGTCGATCGTTTCGCTTTACCCCTTCGATAGTCAAACCGGGCTCGTCGTCGAGGCAGAAGTAGCTACTCAACACTTGGAACTACCTATTGATGCAGGACCTAGACATCTGTTGTGGACCAAAGATGGCAGATATCTTTTCATCCTGAACGAGTTGAATGCGACACTGAGCTTGGCAGAGATGGCACCTACTAACGATGGTTCCACCTCCTCCACCCGCCTCCGCATCGTCCAAACCATACAGACGGATACAAAGAAGGAAAGACGACACCATTTGGGCAACTCAGATTTGCAGTTGCATCCAAATGGCCGCTTTTTGTATGTCGGAGCTCGAACACACACGAAGATGGAAGAAGGGATTGGGTGTATCCTGGTTTACGAGATTGTCTTTCATGAAGAAACTGGTGCTGTTGTAGGGGGTGAAGGATGCGATTCGAAGAAGGAGACGGCCATTGTCCAAGACCTGCGTCTTCTAGACATTGTTTCAACGCAAGGCTTAGTACCAAGGAATTTCAAAATTTTGTCCATACCGAACACCGATACAACTAAAGCTTCATCCAAGATGAAAATATTTTTGGTTGTTGGGAATCAGGAAAGCTACAATGTGGTCACTTTTCATGTGGACTCCGAAAGTGGCATGTTGAGTTTCGCACACAAACTAGAGAATTTACCGAATAAACCCTGCAATATATGCCCAATTTTGTCATGACTATTTTGATGTGGTCAGTGGAAGATGCCAATATAGAGATGAATAGCGATCATGTGTAGCACAAGTTGCAACATGTGGAAGAAATGTGCAAATATCTACCATATCGTGTTCCTGAGAAACATTATTGAGAGGCGTGTCTGTGTAGTATGCATAAATGTTCCAAAGAACGCAGCATCCCGGCTACAAAATGCAACAATAAAATTATGAGGGTCCTGGAGAAAACGACAAGAAGCAAACATCATGGCATCTCTTCTCCTCAACCGTACTTCTGGCTTTCTCGCTACAGCCTGTAGCTCCTCTATGCGGTTTGGAAATGCTGCGAGGTCGGGCCTTGTGCTCCCTACATCGATTTCATCGAACATGACAGCTCTACTATGTTCAGTAGACGGGACAAGCAACGCCACAGGCGCTGGCATTAAATCTTCCTCTAGTGGAAGCCTTGGAACGAGTCCTCTGTTCGACGGCCACCTGAGTCCTTTCTGTCGTCAGCAAGTGCGATTTGGCAACACTCGGATGTGCACGAAGACGCAACTCCAGCAAGTCTATTGTAGTTTGCCACTACGACGACGATGGCGAAAGGCGTTGCAGAAAGGCACAATGAAGTGGGATGAAAAGGTTGGGCAGCTGCTAATGCCAACTCTGGTGATAGAAGGGCATGAAAAGGGGAAGAAACCGTACAAGGGCAGACTGGAAAACTGCCGCTCACAGCGAATTATGTTTCAATACTAGATGTAATTCGGAGTCGCAGAAGATGCCTCTGATGATATCTCATCCGTCACTGTGCGGATGCGGCAAGGACTATCACTACAAAATCGTAACGATGTGACTTCTACATGCAGCTTGAAATTTTGTCCGTAAAAGAGAATCGACAGTTTGTGCCCGCAATTTTTGCTCGACACTGCTGCTTCGAGTATTGAGCGGCATGTCGCCGTTGCTTATTAGTGGGCGACTTTTTGTTCTACTACACCCCGTGTCGCTTCCGCCTCTCGGCGCTGCAGAAGCGGAAAACGAGAACGACGTATGTGAAATTTGTAGTGTAGGGAAAAAGACCAATCATTTTCCTCAGCAAAAACAATGTTCCACACAAACAAGGTGCAAACGAAATGTAGTAGTTCTTGAGAACTCTGTATGGATTGGCTTTCTTTGTTTTGATCCTCTTCGAAGAATTGTGAATGAACGTAAAGCAAAAGCGTATGACTAACTGTCACTAACAGACCATCGAGAGTTGTAAAAAATGATCATGACCTCTCCCGCTCCTCCTGTGCCTTCTCTGCCATGCACTTGTGGCGCAGGAGACCTCCTGTCTCAGGAGAAGGCTATCCTTCTAGACCGCATGGCTACTCTAGCTTCTCGGAGGGAGGAGTTCAGCTTAGCGGAGGCCGAGTTGGTGCGTGAAGAGACACTTACCGCTGGCATGAGGCAAGTGGATTTGAAGGAGTTGGTATGGCGGGAAGAAATAGATTACTAGGATTCCTAGGTCCTTGAAGATATCTCAGTTCTTCGGTCTTCGTCCATAATCAACTGTGCATTCAATTTTGATCTCGGAACTTCAATTTCTTTCATGCATCGAAGCTGAGTTAGCCAATTTGGAGGCGCAAAAGCGAGAGCTAGATTGGAAGCGAGCAGCGTTAACAGCCGTTGTCGACGAAGGCAATGTGATCGCAGGTGAATACGAACGTTCTTCAGGAGGCGGCGACGTTAATAATGGTCAAGCAGATTCAAAACACGACGACATCAACACAACCAGAGAAGAAGAAACCTCCGCAAGAACTACGCATGCCTTCTCTTCGCAAGTTCTTTCCGCTACAAGCACGCGCATCCGTGAGCAACTTGTTTCTGTGTGCGCGGCTGAGAGTGAAGAACGAACAGCCGCATTAGCGTTCTCGGAACGCAAAAACGCCGTGGCACAGGAGCGACAGCACGTAGATCAAAACACCCTACAGCCACTGCTTAAACAACTGGATCTGTGCGTCGCTGCAGAAGCTCAAAGGCGGTCTCTCGAAAAAGCGAAGGAGAATGCTAAACAAGCTTTGGCAAACTTGTCTGAGGAGTGGCAACAGTTACAGGATATGGGTGAAGAAATGCGACAGGAAGGAGAAGGGGGTGATGTTACGGCTACTTATCTTCATCATGTTCTTGCTTAAAAACTATCTCTGTCATCGTCATGAGCAGCTCTTGCTCGTATCTTCATTTTCTACACGAAACACGGCGCCAACAGATTTATATCACCACTTCCCGTGAAGCTCACGACGCAAACTAGTTTTTCTTGTACCCCTGAATCTCTAACCAACAAGACAGTCTACCTCAACAAGTCGCTCTTCGCGAGATGGAACTTTTGCTTCGTGCGGAGACCCAGAAGCTTACGGATTTCACTGAGACGCGGTTGGCTACTAGTTGTGGGCAGTTAGAACGTCTGCGAAGTGAGGAAAATGGGTACAAGCAAGAGTGGGAGAGACATTTATGAGGAGTATTTTTTTAGTTTGGAAGAGCAACTAAATCAAGTTAGTAACCCTTATGCACTTTTTTGTTCTTAAGGCCGGATCACTTTTACTTACTTTGTATAGGTTGACTGATAATCTTACTGCTATCTCGTATGTTGCTATGCTGTGATGTGATCACATGCGAAGCAGCTACCGACACCTAGCTCATATGATGATAAACATAGAAAATTACCAACTACGTCCACCTACTTTTCTTTGCTCACGTCTCCCACTCTAAGCTACCAAGCAGAAGCAGAAGCGCAAGCTTCGCGGGTAGAAAAAGCCCAAATACGACTAACGAAAAGAGAAGAAAGAAAGCATCATTTTCTTTTGAGGTGGGCGGACTTGTTGCAGACACTGACTTGTACTTCTTCTGGATCGGACCACCACAGCGATGCAATAGACGGCGAAATGCCTGATCATCCGGAACAAGTGCTGGAGTTGCAGTTTGCTCGAGGCTCTCTTCATGAGAAAGCGACTCCTAGTAGCGCCAGTGAAAGCCACAGTCCCGAAGATGGCCAACAGCTCGCTGACGTTTTTGACCTCCAACATGGAAGAAGGGAAAAGACCACTGAGCAAAAGCACTTAAGTCGCAGCGATTTAGAAGCTTACTTGGAAGCCGAAGCCGCTTGTGTATGTGTTGCGGAATCAGAAAACCAAGAGAATCCTCAGGATCTCGAGTTCGATTGGCAGGTGGACCTGGTACCAGCGCCGAATATGAATATTGCGGAAGCAAACGAGCGCAAAGCACCTTCATCACAAGGTGGAGATAACCCGTCTAGTACTGGAGAAGCCGTAGTAGATGATTTAGCTGCTCTGCAAAGCGAGCATGCTGAATGGGCTAGGAAGTGTGCTACACTAGAAAAGGAACTGAAACGCTTACAAAGAAGACTTGATAACTAACGATTTGTGAATCAAATATGTCATCTGGTTGAAAACCAAAACTGTTTCGTTTCATGTAAGACAAATATTTATATGATAATACAGCACTACATGGTTGTAACCATTGCAGCATTTCTTGCGTAGGTGGACGCTGGGGAGATGCCGACTGGCGTGTTCTGCGTATGTCTTCCGATACATAGACGTTGACCAAAATAAGCTGAGTACATGAACGAAGAATGAACAAAGAACTTTTTTTGGGTACTGAAAGTAAGAGTATGTGCCTATTCTTGAATGATTCTTCCACCTGTTTGCTGCTTGTGAAACGAACTCCGCCCCGTCTGGTGGCCAGAAACTTTTTCTGATATCTCCAAATCCAAATGGGTCACTGAGTGAATTCTTACCGTTAATTCTTACCTTTCTGTCCTGCAGTAGGTATTTGATGTAGGCATCAAAATGGCTAGCATCGAATGCAGTTGCATTGTGGAGGTATACGAGCTTCTGTGGCGTTGGGGCAACCTCATCAAACCAGCGACATGTGATTCTAAATCTTCTGCTTATGGCTCTGGGTGGGAAATGTTAACAGAGAATTCAGCTGCTTAGTTATTCTTCAGCTATTTCTGATTGTGGGATAGCCACCTTCCTTGCTCTCGCTCAACTCCCTACTGGCCACTATATTAAAATCCTACACAGATTCAGACTCGTTTTCTCTCTCTAACCCCCCTCAACAAGCGATAACCTGAAAAGTGGCACTGGCAACCACGACTCGACGCTCCGATCAGAAAAAGGCAGCACGAACACGCGAGTGACGTGTAGAGCGTCCTTTTTCGAGCGTTTTGGGTTTACCTTACCAGAAACGGTGGTTTTCCAGAATTCCAAGCCCTACGCTTGGTACTTTATCTCCAAGCGTGACGGCGCATTACTGCGAAAGAAGAGCATTTCCTTCTCGGCAATCGAGAAGACCTTCACAAGTGCTGCGTCTCAAGGATCTTCACGTAGTGGAGCGTCAAGCTCTGGAGGAGGGTCGTCAGGTGGACATCAAGGTGGTGGTGGCACTGGGCAAGGCAATTCTTCTCAACAAGAAGATGGTGGCGGTGGAGATGGGAGTAATTCCAGTTCATCTGCTGGTGGCGGCAATTCCACTGGAGGTGGACAGCATTCAGCTTCTAGGAGCAACTACGGTGGACGAAATCAAGCTCGGTCAACGTATCGCGATGTAACGTCACTTCAAACGTGTGGCACGACGATCTGCGCTACGTGGTTGCCTACAAGAGCGACCGATCGAAAAAATGTTGCGATTTTCCTTTCCCCAACTCTGTGTAAGACGCTGCTGAAGCTGTTAGAGGAACAGCAAGCCGGCAAAGCTATGATAGGCACTTTATGATAATGATAGTCTAGTAGATTGAATTGGTAAGAGTCTACGCTCTTCTCCTTGCATGACAGCTTCTAAAAATAGATAGATGTAGTTCATGTACTTGTTGATACACATCCACTTGTTGTCAATTCTCGTATACCGAGGAAAGTTAAAGCTTGTTTATAGCATACTTCACAAGCTCCTTTCATATCTCGCATGCGAACTTGCATACCTGCGGATCTCTATGGGTTCGATCCAGTGAATGCTTGTGGCGTACTGCAGCAGTTCTGTATTCCAGATGGCGTGGCAAATTTTCTGATGAGGTCGGTGCGCTATGACGACCGCGTGGCTGTCGCACTACGCACAAATCGGCACAAGTTTCATCATGCATTGCCCTCAACATTAGGGGACAAGATGGCTAGCAGAAGATCGTCAGGCGGAGATCATGAAAGTGGAAAGTCTGAAATTCCGGAAGACAAAACGACAGCTGCGACGAGGGAATTGTGCCGGAAGGCTGGCATTCACGTCCCTCCAGTTACCGTGTTTGACAGGTACGAAGATACACACAGATACTGTGCTCCATGTTGGATGCCCGTGCCCTGACGCGTGTGCCGTATTAGTCGGCCACCCTTTGTGCCTTTGCTAAGGATCCAGGAGCTCGCCATGGGGTTACCGATACCGCGCGCGCCGTGTGCCCTTCTTTCTTTTGACTTGCAGGCACCGAAGTGAGGGGGGCCATGCTTGCGGCGCTGCGCTCGCAGGACGCCTCGCAGCCTGCCTGCCTGGCTATCGCTTTGGCGTCGCGACTAACTTACTGGCTTGCGGGGCTCGCCCGGTCTGGCCTTTTGCTGCAGTCTCTCTTTTTTTCTCGCCGGGATTCAAAGAAAGCGCGAGCCCTGACATCCCTGACTAGGACCAATACGGCTGCCGACCTGGCCAGTTTGGGTGGACGGCACTCCCCCGCTGGCCATCATAGCTCGAGGACTCGCAAGACAGGCGGGCAGCGCCAGCCCCTAGCGGGGACGCGACAGAGGCCCCCCGCCAAGGCTCTCGGGGATGTGCTGGGCATCTTAGGGGACACCTTGGCGGAAGCGTCAAAGGCCCAGGATGGTCATACCGGTCGACAGAGAGAGCCGCTTGATAAAAAAGCACCTTACCGCCGGAGAGTTGCTCGCTTTGATGGGGTGACTCGGTCTGGGAGACTGACTGGGGTAGCTGCTCGCTCTGTGGACTCTCTTCAGCCTGGTCAGCGCAACGCAAAACGTGGCTGGAACTGTGGCGAGATGAAGGCGATGAAGGGCGCCCCTCGGACGTGCTTCGACTTAATGGCCAAACCCGTCCAAAATCACACAAATCCGCAGCGGAAGAAGACGGGCGACACAGGAGCAGCCACATAGTGCGGCTGCAGGTGCCACCAAGGCGCAGGAAACTAGACCCACAAGACAACGAACGCAAGCAAAAGCCGCGGCCTTCTGCTGAACGGGCAGGCCCGAGGACTTCGCGAGCACATCGGTAGAGGCCCTCGTTAGGCGCTGAAAAAGGGCCGGGCTCTCTTACTTAGTCTCTGCTCTTTCTTTGGTTGGCTGGTGCTGGTCAGTGGAATGGCAGGACGCTTGAGTGTTCCACGCGTGTGAATTCTGCGCCGGCTATGTCGGAGATAGGGGGACTCTGAAGCAACGCCCCGCCAAAAAAGGTGGCGGGGCGCGGGGTGGGATGCCTCTGGCTGCTTGTGCGACGGCCACTCCCATAGCGACATCCTCGGGCAGTGGTTCATCCACTAAGTAAAGCGGCAGCCCAAAGCAGCGCCTTGCCCCGTTAAGGCGACAGGTGGTGGCTGTCGGCATGGGCTGGCCGGGTAGATAGTACGTAGGAGCGCAGAGGCCCCGCTAAGCATTTTGATTCGTCGCGGGGCAAGGGTTTCCGTCCACTCCCCTGACAGTGCGCAAAAATTGCACTAAGGTAACGCCGCGGTTGGCCTGCAGACTCCTGCTGGTCTCGGACCCCTTTCCGCTTGCGTCCGCATGTTCTGAACTAGGTCCAAGCACGACGCTGCTGAACTACGCCATTGTGCTGGCTAGCAGCTTTTCAGCATTAGGAGGCATAGGGCTTCGCTTGTGGCGTCACTGTTTCTAGCCTTTGAAGTATTTCAGGTAGTAGCGGGCTAGCCGTTCTTTCATCAGCAGGAAGGCGTCGAGCCAGGTCTAGCCCCTGGATGGTTTCAGGCGCAGACGGGGGCAGCGTCTGGGCATAGCATCAAGAACAGAGCAAGCGACCCCCACGGATTTACTAGTGCTTGGCTTGTCTCTTCGGTTTCTCCTTCTTGTCGGTCGTGTGTCGTGGTCGGCTCTCTTCGGTTTTTGGTCGGTTTCAGTGCTCGGCCTGCTTTGGTTTTAAGTTGAAAGTTTCGGAGTTCCAGGGAGCCGCGCTCGTCTTGCTTCATCGCTTGAATCCGTCCTGCTTTCCGCGCCTCGTTTCGTTGTTTGTCATGTTTCACTTCACTCGCGCGCATAGAATCTCATTATTTAAGTAGCATCGCTGTCGGCGGGGAGGCTCATAACATTGCCCCCTTTCGCGGCATGCATGGCAGAGAGAAGGCAGAGCCGCCGGGAGGTGCTTGGCAATGAATCCTTGCGTGGCCGCGTCTTCCCTGTGAAGTTTCTTTTAAGGGAACCGCTCCGTTTTCGATCTTGGCTGCGTGTGTCAATAGTGCTAGATAGGGCAGGCACGCAGCTGCATGGCGTAGGGGGTGCCGTGTTTTCTAGCCGTCAGTCTATGCAACGCACCCGGCGCTTTTTTCTTTAGGTTGTTAGACTTTTCGGTCGCCTTCGGGCTGGGGCTTGGGCTTGGCGGGTGGTTGGCCTTCTACATCAAGTGTGGGCTTGTCGCTTATCCTTGTGCGTCTGTGCTTCGTTTCTTTGTTTTCCAGCTTACTTGTCGTGGCAGTAAAAATATGCTTTGTATACGTATTTTGCTATGGACTTCTCTCTTACTCCGTGCGCCCCCGCACCCCTTCCCCACACAAGTTCATGTTTAATATGATCAGGTCCTCTTCCTCGCAGCAGCGAAGTTTGGCGGCCGGTCGTACATCGACCACGCCACGACTATCCACACCAGAAATTTTCGAGAGTAGTGTTTCCCGGAAACTCTTTCTCAGAGCCGCAACTTTTGAAGGTGAGGAAGCACTCAGTGGAGTCAGCTTCGGTTTTGAAGGGAAAGTGAATCTTACGGCTCCAAAAAAGGTAGACTCGACTTCTGACTCTGACTAGACAGGGTAAAGAATCAATCAGCTTCAGCGCAAACTAATGACATAAGTAGAAGACATAATTGTTTTACTGACTAACAATCTCTACTGAATAAAGAGGAGCGTCTACGTCGGTTTTCTTATGCTGAGGGAAAATAAGTACTACTTGATATTGATAACTGTGTAGTCATCTCTTCTTCAGCATCTAAGACAGGAAATCGTGGGATGGATGACGTTATCGCTTGCTCGCGCCCACTCTTTGCAAGGATAGAGCAGGAAAAGATACGACAGATGCACTTTCTAACGGATGACGAGTACATCGCACTGCATTTCAAGGTATTAAGCACCTTTTAGTAGGGATTAATGTTAAATGTTATAGATCGTAGTTTTCGTTTTCGCATTTTGATTTTTTTGACACATTGATAATTCTTGCCACGTTGTTGCTTAGTATTGAAAACATGGGGTTGACTGACCGTCGATGATTTTACTGGTTCTTACCGAATAGAAATAAGAACACTTCTGAATAAGAATGCCAACTACTAGCCTGCTCAAAAATGAAAAGATCAGAAACCTCCAATTATTATAGATAGACGGGCGTACTCATCGAGCTGCGTTTATCTTCGCGGCGGTTGTCTCGGAGGAGGAAGCGAGAGCTCAGTGTGATAACTGGCTAGCGGGTTATAGGGAGAAGCTTGATCCACTACGACATGAGCCCTTTCTCCATGGTGGCATAGTACACACAGCGGGAGGCAGACGCGTCCATCTTGGCGGAGTGTATCAATACCCGATAGCATCTTCTGTCGCGTCTGGTGGAGGTGAAATAATACCTGCTGTTGGCAGTTGTACTAGTATATTAGGGCTTGAAAGTTGGCATCTCTATGCGCGTCTCTATGTCTTCTTCAAGGAGGAAAGCCCTAGATATGCGAGCTAGAGACGCCAGCTTTCAATCTCTAAGTATAGGTATAGCAGTAGAGGACGCCCAGGAGAAAGACGAAGACAATCTTAATGCTCATGTTGTAGTTTCTGGAGTCCTTGGAGCTGCGCATCAGGACATCGGCAATGCACAACAAGTAGGACTCGTAGACCAGAAGCCTGTAGGAAGCACCCTTCTCGAATGTCAAGATGACAGTACAGCTAAGCGTAAACCACCTCAACATCTTCTAGATCGTAGTACAGAAAGAGTTGCTGATGATGGAGATGGAGGGAGTATGAAGATACCACTAGACGCAGCTTGGAATAGCACTTACGGCACCACCGATAACATGAACAAAGAAAACACGACAGCAACCGCGACAAGACGCGGCATCCGCCCCCAGGATAAAATGCACTACATGTTGGAACGTCGAAGAGTGCCAAAGAAAGATGCCAAGAATGCTGTCGAGGCTTCTTTTGCCAACAATAGTACAACGAAAGGTGGAAGTGGAACCCAAGGGCCTGCAGGTAGTTGCAACAGACAACAACAGCCTGGAAAAATCAATCAAGGCAACACATCAACTAGTAAGACTCCTGCCAGCTACATGATAGATGAAACTACAGGTAGAGAAACAACTCTTGTGTGTGTACAAGCACCTTGGAGCCATCGGGACACCGAACAAGTAGACCCTCAGGATGACCCGTTTTGCGACGACTACAATGACAGGACGAAACAAGCAGGAGTCAGTGTAGACTCCGCGTTTGTCGACAGATCGAGTCTGCGAACCATCATGTCCGTGAGTACAGCGAGGTCTACGAGACATACCAACGTACAGCATGCTGCATCAAGTGTAGCGGGGTCCACTGGAGTCCTGCGACGCAAGCCGTGGCCTACAGTTCCAGGTGCTGGCTTTCGCGCTCAAGCTGTGCCTCACGTCTGCGATCAGGTTGGCCGGTTTGAGTATCCACCGCCGTATCTGCTTCTAAACGACGATGGCAGTGAGGAAATCAAACACCCGTTGGTGTATTTCGATCGATGAAGGGGTTCTCTTAAAATGATTGCACCGAAGCGGATATTATTATCTTCCGAAATATTTGCATTCGAATAGGCTATCATGATAGTTTTATACGACCATGAAAATGAACTAGTTTTCTTTGCAATTTGAACAGGATGGTAGTATATGCTAGAGTGATCATCTTCCTTTTACCAATGAATAGTTGCACGTGCATACAGATGTGAGCAAGCTACAAAGGAGAAACATCAAGTTTTCTAACAACTCGTGTTTGGTTTAGTAGATCATAAGAATGCACTTGAAACAGACTGGTATGCTGAGTGTTGATAGTAGACCAACAAGCTTGATCCGAAACACACAAATGGGCTTCTAAGCAATGCATCTCTCAGAAAAGTGAACTCATCTTGCCTCTATTTTTGAACGACGAACGAGGACTGATTTTTCCAACGATTCTCGATTGCATCTCACTCCTTTTATAATACGGGCTTCGACGGTCGCTGTGGCACCATTGGAAGAAATTCCTCCTACAGCCTGAGGACGATCAGCAGGGAACTCAGAGAGGTTCGTGTGGTCATCTAGTAGGCGTGTTGAGCATGGAAGCATACGCAGAACAGCCTTGGCGGGAGCGAAGAAACCTTTTACCTCTGACGAAAATACAAATAAGTAGTTTGAAAACGGACTGCCTCATTAAATCTACCATAAGTAGATGAAAGCGAAAGTACCCAGACGGACTTTGTCGCAGCAAACATCTTCGTTAGATCTCAGTCATCTCCCACTTCACAGAGTAGAAAAATTTGAAATTACTTTTTCAAACATGTTGTTGTCAGTCTCCACTTTGACTCCCTCCAATTGGCAGAAGCTTTCTACCCTACCGCTTCATGGCTATGCTTGTGTTATAAGGCTACTTACCCTAAACCCTAAACTTCACAGGCATCCTGACACCGTTTTGAAGGGGGAAAAAGTTCCAGGATGCGTGGCGAGATCATGGGTTTCCGGTAGCTCTAATTGTAGTCCACGGAAACGGCGACGCGGCTCAAAACGCAGTTGTTGGAGATCTGATAGCGGAGAATGCGATGTAGAACGGAGTAGTTGGGTTTGTAGCAATAGGGAAAGTCCGGGATAGCGCAGACAACGACGACATGGATATCGGAGTCAAGTGTCTAGGTACGCATCCACGGAAAACGGAGAAACAAAACGCAGGACGCAAAAGCGAGACGATAGAAGTGTCGATTTGCTGTGCGCCGAAGAGGAGTTTTATGGTCGTGTTGTAGTGAGTGTGAAATTCTGACTGTCGACGTGATCGCCATGCCGATCGGATAGCTCACAATTACACTTAAGACTTACCTAATTTGCTTAAACTCTTATTATACTCCTCTAATAACACCGTCAAAATTTCACACGGCGATTACAACATAGTAGCTGACATGGATGGCGTTATTGTGGTACCGCGGGGAGCCGGCGCAAATTTGTGAAATAAGGTGAAGTTTACATCTTTGCGGCTGTCGCACTGGCTCTATTTTCCGAAAAAGAAACACAACGACACTATGGCAAAACTTGGAGATCAACATAAATTTTTTTAAAATTCTACTCCCTCTCTTGTTAGGAGAGATGCACAGAGATAAAACAAGAACAACCTTCCAACGCCCAGTGTGGCCATTTTTCAACAGATCTCCGAGGCTTGTGGTCTTTGCCAAGAACGCGACCCTGTTTTCCCATCGGTCGGACTGAGAAGATGATAAGAGACGCGACAGTTTCTGTTTTTTTCTTTTCAACAGTCTAAGTTGTGCTAAAGCGGTTGAGGAAGAATAATGAAAGTAGCGAACGTTATTTTCATCTCACAGCAGGTACTAATCTTCAGATTGCTGGATGAAAAAAGGTGCTGACCAGTGATGGACTAAAGTTGTTCTGCAATCCAACTCCTACCATACATGAAATCGCTCGCACTTCTTGGACACAAACGATAATAGATTAACTCATTCATATTTAATAGAAGCAAAAATGCAGCCATCTTCTCCGGACAGGGGAACAGGAAGAGGTCTACTTCCCTTTCTCACCACATTGCTGAAGCTCTCTGCTACCGTTTCAACGCTAGCAAGTGGAAGCAAGGTGTCGAAATATGAGGAGATTTTATGCAAGTGCAGCACTGGATGCGACTGCGGTCCGAACGAGGACGCTTCGAGGCAACAGCCGAGGCAAGAAGACGCTGCAAAAAGCCCGTTCCTCTGGACCCGGACACAAGGGGGCTACTTCATCCCGAAAAGCGCCTCGTCGTCTCAGAAGCATGCGCATCTGCAGCAACTAGTATCTGTTTTGGCGCAGCTTCCACCCGTAGAGAAGAGGATAATGAGTCAAGAAAGAAAAGCAAATGCAGTAGAGCGAGACGAAACGCATGATGCTTCATCCGTTGTGGAGCTTTTAGAAGCTCCGCCACAAGCAGTTTCATCTTCGGATAAAGCTGCTACCAGTGCAACGATAGCACCAGCACCTCAATTGATGGCTGGAATGATTCCTCGAATATCAGCAGCACCAACTTCTTCTAGTACAACAGAGAAAGCAACAAGAAAAACCTCTCAAGTAATGAAGCTGAGAAGAACGCAGAAAGCAGCAGGTGAGTTCGGCGGATCAGCGACTAGAAATTCTTATGACTAGATATTTATGGGTTGCGACTTTCAACTAACATTTTATTTACAGTGACACATAAGCAGCTAGCACAGCTCCCCTCTAACAAAATAGAGGATTATTCCCCTCAGAACTGCACTAGAAATATTGCAACCTCCTCTAACTACCACGACAAAAAAATCAGCTGTCCACCTCCTCCGCTGCCACTCTTCTGGACCAGCAGCAAAGCAACATCTACCTCGAGCACTTGAAGAACGTAGCAGACGCGCAGTATATTGGAAAAATTAGCGTGGGAACACCAGGCTCTGACGTGGAAGTGGTGTTCGACACGGGAAGCAGCGACTTTTGGGTACAGCTCAAGGACGTCGCAAAACAGAGCTCAAGCTTTACACGGCTTAGTGACGCTCCAACAGTGATCAGCTATGGCAAGGGCAGTGTCATTGGGTTCCAGTCGACGGATGTTGTACTTTTACTGTTCTTGTTAGCTATTCCATTTGCATGAATTTCTTCTTGGTCGTCGTGCCTCATACTTTCTCAGCTACAGCTACGCATTGAATGACCATAAACGTACTTATATATATATATTAAGTTGTCTCATTGACTTTGCTTTCAGACAAGAACTGTGGTTACTCAATACAAATACCCTTATACCGGTACTAGATTACTGGTTGGCCTCGCAAGTAGACGCTAATAGCTACACAAGAGGTACCATGACGTGACATGTGTAAGTCACATTGACAATGCTAATCTTTCCATCTCCCTCTCCACAGGTGAAGCTCGCCAACCGAGAGCTCATTCTACCAACACAAGAATTTGTAGCCGTCGAGCACACGAGGGATTTGTCCAACGCTCAATTTCAAGGCGTAATTGGGCTTGCGTTTCAGGGTCTTTCGGTGAACAAGGAGAGAGGACAGACGCTGTTAGCGAAAATGACCCGCAATGGGGTTCCAGGGTATTGAAAAGCTTGACAATGTAGTAGGATTGCAAACACTTCTACAACTACCTGATCAGAGGATCAATAGTGAATAACGACCACGACCCTGTAGCAACAACACACATCTTTATTTAATTGTAGATTTCGTTCCATTCCACTCCACTAGCTTCTGCGTCCACCTATCTGGCATCGGAGACGGAGATAGCGAACTCGCCTTTGGTGTAGAGATTCCAGATCATTGGGGTTACGACCACAAGTCACTGGCTTTCGCACCAGTGGCTTACAATGCCAACCTGTGGTGGGCCTTTCCCGGCTCTTTGACTGTTGGAGGCGCCACCTTCGAGTCGAACCTGGTATTAGACACAGGGACTTCGTTTATCGCGATGCCAAGGTCGCTATTCGTGGTGTTTTTGATGTTAAGGCTGCATGGTATTAAGTAATCTACTTAAGGCTGCAAGGGGTCTCATTTCTGGCTGCAAGCAATGTCGTAAGTTGAGGCTGCAAGCAATGTCGTAACAAGGGAAATGAGAGACACCTAGGGATGAATACGATCTCGTGGATACGACCTTGTGGTTTGCTCTAATCCGCGGCCTCCTCGGTGAGGATGCGTTTTCAACGTGTGCCTTGACTTTGCCACAGTCTTTGTGGCTATGTCCCTGTGACGTTGCGGCTACGGCAAATCCCGTGTCCGTCAAGCTCGGAGGAACAGAGTATCCTCTGGAACCTAAAGACTTCTTCCAGCCTATCCAGCGTAGTGAAAGCATGAGCGACGCCGATGACGAGGAGATGTGCTTGCTGGAGGTGATGCCGACAAATGAGCATTTGCCTTTTCTGCTTTTATGAATCTCTTACTCGGGTCGGGGTCGCTACGGAACCAGGCAGCTCTGAGTTGCTATGTGGTTCGAATGAGTGAATGAATGACTTTGACATTGATTAAGTACTTAACTACAACTGCGCTTCTGAATTCTGTGCGAGATTAATTGCATTGTATCGTAACAAGGAGAAGAGCACGTGAGATTGATGACTGTGCTTGACTTTTTTGAATCAGGGACTACGATTGTCTTCAAGTGAGTAATCCATCTTCCCTATGATCGCTTCAAGGGAGTGATTCAAATTCTTGTGAAGATTCTCTTTCTAATCTCCGGCGACACCTTTCTCCGACGCGTAGTAGCCGTATTCGATGCGGACAAAAAGCAAATAGGCCTCGCACGGCGTCTCGATGTCAAGGGAGGACCACCAGTAGTGGAAATGCAGATCACAGAGGATGACGATGATGGGGGAGACGATGGATACGGAGAAACGGTAAGCAGCCGTCTGGTACAGGTAGTCGTGTTTTGATTTAGAGGAAGAAGCATCTTTACCGTGCCATACACCTGGAATATGGATTCATCTACTGTGACATTTGAACTATAATACTTGCTTTCTTGTTAGTACTAATAGCTACTTTTGTCTCATTCTCACCAACGAACATCATGAAGGTAAGTAGTAAAAGACACTGATGCAACAACACACACTCATGCTGCTCAGGCCTCATATGGCGACTCCGACGATGTCTTCAACGGTGACAGTAGCCACTTCGGTCGCTTCCTATTTTCGTCAGCTCTTGGCGGTGGTTTGTTTTCTAGCGATTTTCTGTGGTTGGCGCTTCCTTCCTTCGCCGCTTTGCTGATTGTGATTGTTTTTAGCTTCCGACAGAGCCGCGCCAGCACAAACGAGGGTGACGGCGTCCCCTACACGCGAATGGAGGAGCCTCGGGGATGAGGCGTTAGCAACATTAAAGATTAAGATTTTTTATAAGACATAGGCATAGTCGTTTTGGTACCTTGTAGTTCAAGACTGATACTCTTGGACTGAGCAAGAGAAGTAGGCTGAATGTTTGATACATGATTTTCCTGGACGTCGTTGCACCATCTGACTGATGAATGATCCGCAGACGCTACACGATCCCCAACACCCCTATGAAAGTATGTCATTCCTGCGCGTTGCGGGTGTAGTAATAGATCGGGTTCTTAAACACATACAAACGCCATGTTCATTTTTTGAACTTGAAAATTGAAATTCGAGGACGATCCCGAAAATTTTTTATCGCAGATCACCTCGAATATATGAAATCCAACATGTCAGCCTAACACGGGTGTCATCTTCGCCACATTGAAATGACGGAATGAAAATGCGGCTGAGAATTTTGTTCTTCCTGTGCTGATCTTGATCTTCATCTCGCTGTTGCCACGACGAACTCCACGCGTTATCTTCGCGTACAAAAGAATTCAAACTACACAAGCGCGATCATTCTTCGCGGTAACAAACAAAGGAGAAGCCACACCGATCAGGCGTCCATGTCATTGAGCCGATTGATCATGATCAGACACGCTTGAGGTTCCTTATGGAGATCCGATGATCTCAGACCTGGATCTTCCATGCTTCTGCACTGTCACGATCATCCTCTCACGGTCCGTGATCTGTCTCGGTAACATCTCGGTTACGCCAGGTTCTAGGGATCACGCGCAACGATCAGCATCTCCTCCCCTGTGCAAATATGGCTTTGAATCCCAATACTACTTTTCGCTGATCTGTGTTTCCAAATCTGTTTCTGAAGCAGAAAAAGGAACAAGCCCTAATTTAAGAGTAACCTTGTGTGATCGTGCCAACTACTTAATCACATCTTGCAAATACTTTACGATTGACTATTGGGTTTCTATTTTTCACAGGAGACAGCATTAAAGCGTTGTCGTACAACGATTTTTGAATTCTTCTGTTCTGTGAAGATTCATTTTTTTGCACCTCCACCTTTGTTACAACTACTTACCCGGTTTTTACCACAAAAACGGTTAAATTGTGACATTTTCATCAAACTACAACTAGAAACATTGCAAATAAGGTGCATTATCATTCTTTATCAACAGTAGAATCTACTCCAGCAATAACATACAAAATGAGTGCCTCCGCCAACATGAAGAAATCTAAGTGGTTCGACGCCAGTTCGTCGGACAGCGATAGCAGCTCATCCAGCTCCGACTCCGACGCTGGTCCCAGCAAGACCCAAACCCTGTTGAACAAGAACAACAACCGGTCCATTGCTGGTCGCACCGTTCAGGTATCCGACATCGACTCTTCTTCCTCCGACGACGAGCGCACTCGCGTCGTCCGTAGCGGCAAAGACAAGCGCGTCGACAGCGTCAAAGCCATTGCGGGAAAGCTGAAGAATGCCTGCAAAGTCGCGGATTTCGCTTTGGTCACCGAGTTGTACGATGAGTTGTTGTTGAAGCAGTTGCCCAGCTTCGAACGGTTGAACGAAACCGTGCCACGAGCGTTGTTTCGCGCTGTGCGAGAACTCGAGGACTGGGTGGAGGAGCAGGTGAAGGACAAGAAGTCTCTCAAGAAGACGAAAGCCGTGGTTTTGAACAAGCTGAACTCGAAGATGAAGAAGCAGAATGCTGGGCTTCGAACGGAGTTGGATGCTGCTTCTCCTGTAGCGGGTGAAGAGAGCTCCGGAGAAGAATCCGCTAACAAATCCGACAGTTCCTCGTCTGGGTCCGAATCCGATGAAGATGCTAAGAAGAACAAGGGTTCATCTGACTCCGAGGACGACTCATCGGATTCCGACTCTGACGCAGAAGCCAAGACCGGCAAGAAGACCAAAAACGTGAAGAAAATCCTTGTGCAGAAGAAGAAAAATAAGTCTTCTGAGGACTCCGATGATGATGATGAGAGCACCGGATCCTCTGGTTCCGACTCTGACGATAGCAGCTCCAGTTCTGATTCCGACGATGATTCCGATGACTCCGACTCTTCAGGCTACAGTTCCGGTTCTTCTTCCGATGAGGAGGTCGACGATAAGGAGCACGCGGAACTGTTGCGTGACGAGCGCAGAAAACGTTGGTTGCTCACGGACAAGGACTTGATCAAAATCCAGAAGGAGAAGGAAAAAGTGCAAGCAGAAGAACAAAAAAGAAAAGATCGTGAACAAAAGCGAATCGCCGACCGCATTGAGAAACAAAAGAATGTCGTCAACGCTGATGAAGATGCTGGTAATATAGCTACTTACTTACTACGTCGAATAGTTATACTTCATATAATCATGATTATGTCCTCAACATATTAGACATAGTCATATTAGATACTTACTTCCTGAGAAGGCACCAGAGAACTAAAACCGCGTATAGTGCTTGTCAATACATCGACTCAAGCCACCTGTCGCTCGAAAACATTGATCTTCAAGCAATCGATTTCGGTAACTCACTGCAAATCTCCCCACTGCGACGTACTACCACAGGTTTCGACATGGATGGTCCCAGCAAATCAGTGACCGAACAGCGCCTCAAGGCTTGGAAGGAGCAGATTGATGCTAAGGAAGTCCAGAGCGTCCTCGAACGCGTCTTGCAGGAACTTCTAAACCCTGCTGTCGCCGAAAAGATGTCTCGGACGGAGCGCAGACGTAAGAGTCAAATCTTGAGTGACTTCCTCGAAAAGCTCGAACTCCCCAATGTGCAGCTCGCTCTGTTGCGCCAAGAGTGCAGTGAGGAGCTTGCGCGTAAGAAGGGCAGCCTGCCGCGATTGGACACCTTCCGTCAGACCTTGGTAACTTTGTCGACAAAAGTGTTTCCGCTATTCAAACAGTGGATCAGCAAGCGTGGAGCTGTCGAAGAATCGATGCAAGGATACAATGCCGGAAAAGGATTGGATCGGGAAACGGTATTTCCTTTTTCAGCTACTGCACTAACTTCTAACAGTTAAAGTTGAAGATTTTTTCAGCACTGCACTTACTTCTAAAAGTTCAAGTTGAACTTTATGTTTTATCTTCCGTGCCACCCTAGTAACATGTGGAGGGGCTTCAACTTCACATCTTCACTTTCTAACCAAAAAACTAAACAGATCCTCTTCCCGCTCTCGCTTTCCAAACAATTGGAACAACTCGTTGCTCTACTCGAAATGGTTGATGGTGCTTGCTACAAGGGACTCCAGCATCCGGACGATGAGGGTGAACGCATTGAGAACTTGGTTCGCACTATCCACTTGTTGCGTAAATCTGTTGACTTTTTCACTGAAATCGAAGGCTGCGCACCGCAGATCTGCCAGCGAGCAAAGGCCATTATGAACTTCCGCTTGATGGGCAACCTGTACTCGATGGCGCATGGGGAGAACCGACTGGTACTTTTTCTCATTCCAGAAGATATCTCATTTTCTTCAGCTTGTTTCGTCTGACAACTAGTTCTAAGAAGACATTTTTATACTATGTATCGCTAGTACACCTACAAATACCATGATCGTTCTCAGAAGGTGTTGTTGGTTAGCGTAGACAAAGAATTTTCCGTTACAACGAATCAACACAGGTTTTCGCGGCCGTGATCGAGCATTTCTACAAGGAGCAACTGCCCGCCACTTCCGCCTACCCGTACACTGCTGAAGATTTCAAAGCTTGTGAGTTGCCTCATTCTGATGCGGAAATTGCTGCCTACCTGGAGAGTCTTGAGGAGAAGTCTCAACAGCAGGCTGCAACTGGTGCTTCTACCCAACAAGGTTCCATCTTGGGCGAGACCTACCTCGAACAGCAGGAGATGGAGACCAGCCGACGCGGACTCCAAGCTACCTTGATGCATCTGTACAATTTGTTCCTGACTGGCGAGTACCGCCGAGCGAAAGGCATGATGCACTACCTGGATTTGCAAGCACAAGTAGAAAAGACCACGCAATCGCCGGAAACGGATCAGAAAATCTTCGTTCTCTGGAACCGCATTATTGCGCAGATGGGTCTGGCAGCTTTCAAGCAGGGCTTGATTTACGAAGCCCATGTCTCCTTGTTGGATTTGAACAGCTACACGAAAGCGAAGGAGTTGCTGATGCAAGGTACTTCTGAACTCTTATATATTCTGTTTCTTATATATTCTCTTTCTCAAGAATGCATTTGCATACTACAAATACATTGTCATTGATGTAGGTGGAAACATCAGAGAATGGAACCGATTGTGGAGAATTCTACTTCTATCTATTCTCAGGCGTCAGCTTCCAGCGACCCGCTGATTACGACCGGGAAAAGGAGGAGTTCCAGCGACGCAACCAGATTCCGTTTCACATGCAGATTTCTCTTGAATTGTTGGAGTGTGCGGCTTCCGTGTGCGGTCTCCTCATGGAGGTCCCCAACATGGCTTTGATCGCCTACAACGATCAAACCGGTCAGCGACGACGCTACCAAACGATCTATTCCAAGCCCATCCGTATGTCTTTGGAGAAAGCCCAAAAGAGCACTGTGTTGGCTCCAGCTGAAGCGACTCGTGATAAGATCGTCGACGCAGCACGTGCTTTGCAACAGGGCGATTGGCGCCGATGCTACGAAATCTTTACCGAGTTGAAGCCCTTGCAGACGCACAGGGAGAAGCTGAATTTGGAAGACAACTTGTTTCCATTGTTGTTGAAGCAGGTGAAGAAGGAAGCCGTTCGCATCTACCTATGGAACTTCGCATCCAGCTATCAGACCATCTCTCTGGCCGCATTGGGTGACATGTTCGAGTTGGAGACTTCTGAAATCAGAAGTGTGCTGCACCGCATGATCTATGACAGAAAACTCGCACCACAAATCATGCTCGATAAAACAGCGTCCTACTTGGTAAACAACTACTTCTACGAGTGTTGTGATTAGAACTCCTTTTTTTTCGTAAGAACACCACACTCAATTTGGTATCTATTACTTATATATATGATAAGCAGCATTTATTATTTCGTGAAAGAAATCGGTTTGAATTCGTCTTTCGCGAGCACCTTCACCACATCATTCATCCACAACACTCTCTCCATTCCACACACCGAACAGGTGAACTCTCGCGGCGAAGAAGCTTCCGGCTTGCAACAGGGACTGACGAAACTGGCTGGTTCCCTCGACTACCGACAGGAAGGTCTAGAGCGACAGATTGACTTCAAGCTAGGCAGAAGCTTAGTCCGAGGCAACCAATTCATGGATAAGGGAGGTAACTTCCACAAAGGACAAGGCAAAGGTGGCAACAGCTACGAAGGAGAGGGTCGTAAGATCTTTGACAAGTCTAGAGATGGATTGGCCAGAGTCGATCGCTTCGAAGGCAGAAGCCGGGACGACGGCGAAAACAGAAACTTCTACCAAAAAGGAGGTAAAGATGGCAAAGGAAAGGGCAAGAAGGGGAAAGGAAAAGGCAAGGGCTTTCCTTTTGGCTTTGCAGGAAATGAAGGAGGTACTGCTAGTACTTCTTTTCTTCAGCAGGACAAACGTATAATCAAGTTTCACTCTTCATCCACTTTTGCACCTCCTTCTTTACATGAATTCTACAGCATCATGCACCTCGAAAAAAAACACTCCTTCTTCATCAGGTAAAGGCAAAGGCAGCGGCAAGGGAAACAGCAATAGAGGTGCTGAAGCACGAGGCTGGAACTTGGGAGTTCGCGCTTCTGCTGTCGCGTAGAAACATGGAATAGCAGCCAAGGGTGAAAAAAAATTTACAAGTACCCTAGAACTAGAACAACAGACAGTCGAGCATTGATTTTTACTGTATCAAAGAATACAGATAGAAAATTGATGTTTGCGTTCTTCATGTGCGACTTTTTTTTTTGGTAGGATCGTAAATAACAGCTTACTTCAAATTATTGCTTAGCCTCAATCATACAAACGAAAAAAAGGATCCTATTTTCAATTGCGTAAAGCTAAAACGCCATTATATAGTTTCGCTTCTAGTTTCGAAAACCTTAGCTGTTCGCCTTTCTTAGATTTTACTTGCACCAATACCAAATAAGCCTGCCCTACCTCTAGAGTTGGGCTCCTCTAGAAGTCGGTCAGGGGACCTTCAATGTTTCACGATAACCTACGTACTATCAGTAAATATGTATGAATATCTGTACTAAGTAGAAGAATGTCCAGTGTTTCATGCAAATGGAAATGACCTGGTTTCAATATGCAAAAAACTTATCATCTGCTTGAGCTTGACGATGATGCTGTCTTTCAAAAAGACACCATTTGGAACAAGCAACATCATAAACGATAGAAAATGTACCACGAAAGCATCCATGAGCAGACTTGATGTTGTAGACACTAAACATAATGAACAACAAGTAGATGAAATGTTCACGAAGTACAAGAATGTAGGATGAAGCACTTGGAAAACGAGTGGTCCCACCATGTGCGACCAAAAAGAGAGCATCACTAGAAAGATGGAATATTGGACCATTCGAGAGCAGAGGTGGATCATCAAGATCAACACGGACCATTCTTTTACCTCCTCCCAACAGCAACACCCATCTCGCATCCCCCAATGAAAACAACGACACAGCAGCTATCCATCGCGCTTTATTGATTACTATCATATTTCGCATTTTCTAGTCAACCTGAACCTCTCTGTTTCGTGGCTTATCTTGTCGTGACCGCCTGTTTTACCTCTTTCAGCGGCGATCTCGTTGAAAACATCAGTAAGGTTATCTTCTAAGGTTTACTGCCTTCATTTCTAGTTGACAGCAAGATTGATACCTCTTGCCAGACGCATCGCTCATCAAGCTATTTTATATATAAGCAGGCTGTCGCACTAGGACTGCGTAGAACGAAGATCAATAAACATGGTTCTTCTCCTCGGGCCGGCCGATGGCACTGAGAAAATGCGCACCTATGTTTGGTCCGACGGGGGTGAAGGTGAGCAGTCCGTGAGGCTCCGAATCATCGATCGGCTGCTAATACCATACGAAACCCTGGGGCTCGCTCGGCGCTTACTAACAAACTCCATCGGCTGGTCCTCCGTAGCCAGGATCGATTTGCTGCGCGCGCACTCGCAAGACATTGTCGACGCGTTGTTGGGCTTTGCGCGTGGGCCAGAAGAAGGGCGGCAGGAAGAGGAATTCGGCGCTAAGATGCTGTCAGCAACGCAGAAAGACCAGATCGACATGTTGCTGAATTCGGCACCGCTGGAGGACGAGGACCCAGAGGGCCATCGAGACTTCTTAAAAAATGTATGCCGTGCCCGACTGACGGCGGTGTCGACCGTACTTGCCCTCGCAGATAGTGTGCTGCCACTTGCACGAGATGAACGTCCTGTAGATAGAGAAGGACGAGAAGCTCCTGGTGTAGAAGAGGTTGAACATGCAGCTTCTCGCGATCATAGCTCATCAGCCGCAAAAGAACAGCTGCAGCTTTCGAATATCGCTTTTGCTGCGACTGTTTTCGCCGGGCATCACGCAAAGTTTGACAAGCTTGGGGTATCGTCTGGCGCGAATACCGTAATGGTTGCAGCGTTGAAGTACGCAGCTTCTGGATACACAGTGGGTATATACGATATCGATGTCCATTTCGCTGGCGGATCGCAAGACATTGCCTTCCGGTGGAACAAGAACAATAGCGAGAATGATAGCAAAAATAATGCAAGCGGCCCCCGAAGGGGGAAGGTTTACCTATCTGATGTGTACGCCGCCTTTTTCGACAAAACGGTGATGGGTGTGCGCGACATCGCTCGGCACGAGAGGGCTGTGAAGTTCGGGTCTGCAAGTAGGCAGGCAGGTCGAGAACTCGACGGGCATTTATTTTTCGACCATTGGCCAGAAGACTTCACTGATGAAGCGTTGACTTCCAATACGCATGACACGATAACGCACTTCAGGGACACGCTGAAAGTGGACATAGTTTTCGTGTTTCTCGGGCTGGATGCCGCAAAGGGAGACCTGTTTAGTGCACAAGTAACCCCACGCGGGTTTGAAGCAGCTTGCGCTTTGTTGCGGGAGCAGTTGTCGGGAGCATCTATACCATGCGTCTTTGCATTAGGAGGCGGGTACCGCGTCACACCAGAAGCAGGATGTGAAGATACTGATGATGTTGGGACGACGAGTGTATTTGGCAAATGCATTCAAGGAGCCCTGAAGGGCCTCTGCACCGCCACAGCATGTTGAGAAAAGCTTGGATAATTCCCGATCACGAGTACTTGACTCCTTCATGCTGTCTTCCACCTGTCTGCTGCTTGTCAAACGAACTTCGCCGCCGGTTTGCGAACTGGATAAAGGTGAGGCCGCTCTTTCAGTAGCCCCGGGATACGAAAAAACATAAGAAACTTAGCAATGATGACGAAGGGGCTGTCTTGGGCGTGTCGCCTGGCGGTCGCTACGTTTTACTTCGCTTGTGCCTGCGTCAGGACCTGTTAGAAGAGGCGGATGGCTGGAATCCGGTGAAGACGATGTTCAAGCGAAGCTTTACGGCAGAGGCGAACAAGCGAAGGAGAAGGGACCAAAGGGACTTCCCAACGGGTCTGGTGGGAAGAAGATCCGTTTTTGGGGGTCTTCTTTCTGCCCAGACCCGTTTTTGATTTGGGATTTGGCCGACAAGTCTGGTGGAAAGAAGATCACCTTTGTTACAAAGATCCTGTTTGCGTGTACGCAGCAGCCTCCGAGACTTCAATACCGCCGCAGCGTTTCCCGAGCAGCGGCTGAAAACCCTGCTCCGCGAGATGTTCGCGCAAAATGACGCATACGAGACGAAAGTCGAACAGAGGCTGCACCCAGCATGGAGGAAAAATGGGCTGCATATGCTGTTGCGAACAAAATTTTCTCTCGGCGAACCGTGCCACGTTCCCGCGTCCACATTGATAAAAATCGGCATCGAGTTAGATGACGAAATTACCAATCAGGGGACCAGTGGCTCGTCATCTAAAAATCCATCTTGTTCATCTAAAACTTCCCTAAGACAGAAAAGCTGAGAGACAGGCGACCACCACAAGATCCTTATCTACAGCATGCTTATGTGGATCAAGAACGAGACGATTGCGCGACGATTGCGCGTTCGCCAATCTTATTTCAAGTCGTGTGCGCGTGATAGATTGCCCCGTCTCCCAGTTCGTCGATTCACTCAGTTCCATCCCAACAACACACGAATAAAAGTTTTATTGTCGATTCAGTTCGACTTTGCGTATTAAGAATCAATTATTGGGCATCATGTAGTCCGTACTTATTTGTGCGAGTTTCCTTCACAATTGTTCCACGGCCGCCCGAAAGGACAGACTGTTGGAACTACGAAATGAGCAGACCTCCACCACCTGGAGTGCGAGTGCTCGCAAGTTGCTAAGATAAAGAGGTGTTCTACATTCCCAGAAGCAGGTCTCCTTGGTGCAAAAGAACAAAGACCACGACGTGCTCCGAACAAAAGAGTTCTGCTTGAAAGAGGGAATATCAGAAACGGGAAACTTTCATGAAAGCCACGTGCTAAAAGAAAAAGTTGAAGTACTTACTTTTACTTAGACTTCCTTGATTTTGCTTGGTACAACTTCACTGAAGGTTGAGATTGAAGATCTGATTACTCAAGCTTTCTTCCTTCTCCTAGAAATTTAGAATTAAGTAAAGAACGAGAACATGTTCTCTGACGTCCAAACGGGTCCCTGCGAGCAGCTCTTGCTGTACAAACAGGGGTTAGACTTCCGATTGACGGAATTCAAGGAAACCCAAGCGCGCATACTGCAGACACAAGAGGCTCTAGCAAGGAAATTTCACGAAGTCAGTGCGGAACACATCATCGCGTTGGCGTCTCTGCGAGGTCCCCTTGCTGCAAGGGAAGGCGTTAGCGGAGATAACGATCTGGATGAGAACTTCGAGGCACAAGATGAGTATGAGCAAGACCTTGTGGTAACTGGTGCTGGAGAAGCCAGAGAAGCTAGTGGTGACCAACAACAGAAGGGAACGAGAAGTAATCGAGAAGCACAAGGGAGAGCTAATAGACGAGCAGCCTTGATAACGCAATCTCGCGCAAAGCGACTGAGGGAGCAGACGAAGGAACTGACAGAACAGTCAAGGGCGTTGGAGAGGGAGCGCGCGGACAGAAAACTTCTGAAGTTATGCAGCCTTGTTTTGTAAAGTAAGTACAGCACTTATCTCTGCGATTTGTGGCCGAATGCACGGTCTTATGCGCCCCCAGTATGTAATTTGGATGGCATTAGTTTGAGCGTGTTAGTTAATTGTTTGAAAGGGCGGTGGCATATAGTCCTAACGCAAAAACAAAAACTCTGCAGGTGCTAGGAACAGCATCGTCAGGGATACACATCACATGCCATCCTTCTTCTCCCGATTCTTGCTCGTAGTTTTGATGTGATCTTCTGTTGCTTCTAAGAAACGAAGAACTCGTTCGATTGAGGCACATTCTCGCCACCATGCCAATCCGCGACGGCTTGGATACGACAGGCTTTCGAGCAGCGACGAAAGAAGACTTCTATAAACAAGTGAGAGCCGTTACGGTTACATCAACAGGAGCTGAAGGGTGCGACAAGCCTGACGTGGGAACAGGCACCAATTCTATTCCCGCTCGAAACGGCAACCGTTTTTTCGAAGTCGAGAAGAAGATTGCAGATAACGCACGAGCTGGAAGTACGAAGGGTATGCCGCAGTTTTTACGCAACGACGACCAGAACAATAGTACAACTAGTACAAACAGAGGAGACCGACGTCAGCTCTCGCCTTCGCGGGTACCCCTGCCAGCGACACCTTTTGATGAAGATCTGTGACCTTCTGGTGAAAAAAGAATGTGAATTCTGTACAGGAGATCTGCAACAGCAATGTACAAGAACGAGAAACACTACAGTCAGAACATATGTGGATCTAAACAAGTTTTAATCTCTGTATAGATCCGCTCCGTCCTCGATTGGGACGCTCTTGAAAAGAAGATAATCATTCATAATGATGAGTGTGTCGTCGTCAGTCTTGATGAATTATGAACAAAAACACTGCGAGAGCATCTACTAAAAATCCAAATCAATGTCCTAAAGAACTCTTGATCCGCGGCACCAGTTGTGTATCTGAGGTTTGTGGATTATCCTCTCTTGCTGTTCGCCAATTTCGCGATTGGTCCGGTCACAAAGACCTCACGCGAAGAATCAACAGAATTAGAATACAAAGAACACGAATACGAAAAGAATCTTCACTAAACAGGGTTCTTTGTGCACGAACTATCCGTCGAGGAATTGTAACCGGCAATTGAATAGCACAAGTCTAGCAGTGCGCACCAAGTGCCGTGCTCCACTCGTATCTTCCTACTAGTGCTACTAGCCAACGCCAACAAGTACTGCGCTAACGCTAAAAAGAGCAACAGAACGAAGAACATTCAAATGTCTGTACAACTGCAACTACTTCTCATAATTCCAAGATGAAACAATGACGAGCTCAAGAACATTTCTCTTGCTTATAAAGTTAATACCACTTATTTATTTCATCTCTACCACCCTACAAACCAAAAAACTTGGACAGGGGCACAGTGAACGTGTCACACAAACTTAAAATAAGTGAGGTGGCTAATAATCCTCTCTCGGTGCGGCAATTTGAAGTTAGCTACAACCGATTGAGACAGTTTGTTGTAGTTCTCTTCATACCTGGCTTTCGGTCATTTATTTTTTAGAACAGGGCAGAGGTCTTGTCTCTGATAAAAAAATATTGAATATTTTTTTAATCACGACCTACACTTGTCTTGTTACTTGCAGTCGTTCTTATTGACAACTACTAGCACTACGGATATACTACATGCGCCAGTGGTATTGCCTGTTATAGTTTTTAATAGTACTTGAACTTGATCCCACTTTTCTTCGCGACGTTTCATCTTAAGGTTCATAAGTTCTTGCAGTTATCTTTTTTTTAAATGATTTCTCGTTGTCCTCCGACGAGGTGCAAAAGGAGTGACTTACTAGTAAGGACTAAAAAATGAACTAGAATCCGATTCTTATCAAACAAAAATCAAAAAAATGTATGTCTGATTCATTACTTATTTAAATAGAATCGTGTAATTCTTCTAGCATAGAATTCTTAATGCTCTAAATAGCACTTTTGACGCTAGTATCCTCTGTTTGATTGACCCTGTTGAATTTCTGCTTTCGTTTCTTTCAAATAGTCTATTAACAAAAACCAGTAATAGTACAAAATTGATTGTTGACCCAGTTCGTATATCCTTCTTTTTTTCCATGAATCTAATCCTTTCACGTAAGGTCGTATCATCTTCAGGGGTCTCATTCTGCTCGTCCAGTAAGTACAAGTCCTTCTTGTGCTCGTCTTTTGATACAACCTACCCTAGTTCTACTTTGTGGGCTTACAACAGTTTTTCCCCTACAACTTCTTTTTATTGTCCAGGAGCACCTCTAGGTTCGAACAAACAAGATGTCCAAAAAGTTCTCGAACGTGAATTTAAACGCGCCTAAGGCGCCAGCTAAGCGTGCTACCATATTCGATACTGTGGTTACCTCAGCCAAGACAACGACCACAGCTGCTCCTGCGCGTACTATAAGATTCTTTCAGATAGAAGGTTTATGGTGGTCAGATAGTGACGAAAGGACGTGGACTCGTTCTCACTCCAGTAGGCACGACAGTTGTGGCACGGCCACGAAAGCTTCTGTCAGAAGCCGCCGAAGTCGACCATTGAATTGATAGAAGATTTATGGATACATGATTGCTTAATCGAATTGAAAATCAATCTAGTCGTACAATTGCGAAGAGAAAAGAACACCAACAAGCTAAAAATTGCTCAATACACCTCGAATGGGTACACTACTCCTACTACTACTATGCTCTGCCATCGACTTGGCCACCACAATAACTACAGGTTCTCTCGGACGTGCTGGCGGTCTTACTGGTTTGTCATCCCTTGCCCCCGCTGCACCTAAGAATACCAAGAAACGGGGTCTCTTAGACAGTTTAGCGGAAGAAGCAAAGGGCACAAAAATTTTGGAAGAGGAAAAGACTAGGGTAAAAACAAGTCATCTACTTTTTGAAGTTTTGCGTCATCTGATACAAAATATCTTTTGTTTTTTTAGAAAGATCGTCTCTTGAATTCTAAGGCTCTCGAGATCATCTGATACAACTACTAGTGATCTTGGCTCCTGCTCGAGACCTTTTATCAAATTCTTCCCACCTTAGGCCGACACAGATGGAGATGCTGAAGCTGAGAATGAAGAGGAACAACAGAAGGAACAGAAAAGAAAGGGACCTTCTTGGGCAGACCAGTCAGAAAATGTCGAAGATGAGCCACTGGGGACACTGCTGGGATCGAAGCCGGTATCTTACTAAACAGATCACTATTTCTTCTACAGTTTTTCTTCTACACTATTTCTTCTACAGTTTTTCTTCTACATTATTTCTTCTACATTATTTCTTCTACAGTATTTCTTCTACACTACTTCTTCTACACTATTTCTTCTACACTACTTCTTCTAAACTTAGTTTGTTCGCTTCATCTACTATAAGTAAATAAATCTCGTCCAACATTTATTTGATTTTGATCTTCGCCTTCTCAACAAAAAGCGTAGTTGTATGATAATGAAGAACTTGTTCCGCACCGACTCAGGCCGCCTGGACAGCTCCAGCTCAGGCTAAGAGCATGCAGCAAATTATGGAAGAAGAGAAAGCGGAGGCCGACCGCAAAGCAGCTGCAAAAGCCGAATTCGAGAAGAATCCATGGGGAGGACCCGGAAATTATCCTGCAGACAGCGCTTGGAATAACAGTGACGCACGATTCGAACGTTACTACAACGAATATCGTAGTAACAATGGAGTTGGCGAGGGCTACCACGGTAGAGTTAAGGGTACCAGGTTAAAGTAGCTTCTTTTGTTTTTACCGTTTGTTATGCCTCTCGTCGTAAGGGGGACGACCACGGCCATAACAAACGGGAGAACCCACGAACACCATGAGACGCGATGTAGAACGAAGTAGTCCGTAGTCGTGTCTTTTAAACCCCTGGAGTGGGTACATTGATTCATTCACTCACCTCTAATAGAGGAGGCCATGCTGGAGCAGGTGATGGCTCCTTCTATCCTGGCAACAGTCACGATCACTCGTTCTACGGTAAAGGGGGACAATCTGGATATTATGGAGGAGGAGGCAAGGGTAATGGATCTGGCTATTATGGTGCTGGACCGGGTGCCTACAATGCTCCAGCCGATCCTAGTGACAATGATTTAGATTGGCGTCGTGGAGCCGAAGCTGGCAGAGGGGGAGGAGAGCAACACGCTAAGACGAAGTACTTTGTTTATTTTGTTATATTAATTCTTCGTCAATCGTCAGAAGATTTGTTTCAAAACTACATGAAGTATTTTTGATGAACAACACGAAGTATTTCCGACCTGGTTTTTTAGAACATCCACACTTCTACTACATAAGTTAGTATCCACACTAGTACAACAGAAGTTTTATAGTATTGTAGTGTAAGTGTAATCTTCTAAACCCCTGGAGTGGGTACATTCATTCATTATTCCACAACTCCACTTTTTCACAAACAGTGAACGCTACAGCAGTCAACGGTACGAAGAGGAGTTCCATGCTAGGTCGCAGGAGAAAATCATGAAGATCAAGTTCACGGCGGACCCGGTGGACCGAGCGTCATTATTCGGCACTGCTAAGCAGGTCAGTCCCACGAAGGAGAAGGGTGCCGACAAGGGAGCGGACAAGGAGTCCAAAGGCGACAAGGCTGACAAGGACTCAGCAACCAAGGACTCAAGCGCTGGATATGTTGGTGGCAAGGACCAGCACTCTTCGAGTGGAGGTGGCAAGGATAAAGACCATAAATCCTCTTCTGAGCATCAACAAGCTGGTTCTTCCTATCATCATCATGGAAACAACAAGGACACAAACAGTGCCTTGAATAGTAGTTTCCAATCGAGCAAGGGAGGCGACAGAAGCGACCACGGAACCTCATACTCGAAGGATAGCTACCACAAATCAACAGAGTCGAATAAAGGCGGCGACCGAATAAAGGCGAATCATGACAAGCATAGTTCTCAGCAACAGCAGGACAAGGATAACTACGCTTCTTCTCAACAGGAAATCAAAAAAAATAACTACGCTTCTTCTCAATATGATCGCGAGGAGAAGAACTACAACAGAGGCGGTGGAGGCAACAAGGGTGGCGATACTAGAGCAGATAGAGATAATATGGATAACAAATCTGCTGGAAGAGGACTTGGCGGCAGCACGAAAGGCGGCAGCTATGACGATCTGCATGGATCAAAGGGCACCAGCGGAAGTGTTGAGCAGCAGTACGGAGGCGGCAAGGATCATTCCTACAACAAGGACTCCCTCTCCCAGCATTCATCTTATAACACGAAGGAGCATGCTAATGCTTCTGGAGGAGGAGGATACAACCAGCTGCACTCGTCCTCGTCGCACAGCAAGGATCAGCACGGAAAAGACAGCTCTCATCAACAGCACGGTAAGGATCATGGTCGGGAGCCTTACGGATCTTTAGCTGTGTCTGGAGGCAAGGATCATCAACAGCATGCCAAAGACCACGGCAAAGACCAGCACGGTAAAGAACAGCACAGAGACAACTACGGCAATAGTGCTGCTACACCCGCTGCTGCTGGCGGGACCTCTCGATTTGCTTCCTTCGGCAATACTTCACAGCAAGAGCGTGTAAACATCAGTACTAGTGCAGCGACGACGACTAATATCAACCTCAATGTGATGAATGTTGTACAACAAAGTGGTGGAGGCTCCTCTCGTTTTGCTGCGCAACCAACCGCCGCCAATAGCAAGGACCGCTCTTATGCTTCTGAGCAACAACGTGGTGATCAAAGTGCTCCTCAGCTGGGTGGAAACAACATGATTAAAAACCTTCGTGGTGGAGCAGGAGCAGGTCAGAATTCTCGTGCTTTAGAGCGCAGAGACAGCGGCACCCCTGTCTATGGCAGCCATGCGTCAATGCGCGACAACCGTGGCGGAGATCAGAATTGGTCCAAGCACGACATGTTGCCTGCGCATGGAGGATCTTCTTACAAAGTAGATCAGAGTCAGGGTTACTACGTCGGCAACCAGACGAAAGGAGCCATCTACAACTCCCCCAACACCTCTCGTGGTATGAATACCACAGCAATGCTCGACAGCGGAGGACCTGGAGGTAATTAACTATTCTTAGACATCGATCACGCAATTTTTTTGATAATAAAATATTCTCTTATCCATTTTACAACTTACTACGCACATCAGGTAGCGACACCAACCTGCCCTCACCAGGTAGCGACCACCTTGACTCTCAGTCCACGAAAAGGGGGCACGGACATTCAGCGATGGATGATCATGGGTACTTCAATTATATTTTTGGTAGCTTATTTTTGGTAGTTTTTTAGTGTGTCATGCAGCAGAGATCACTTTTCATCTTGCTGTAGATCATAAAACGCAAAGCCCGAACGCAAAGCACTGCAAGGGTGCCCATTCTTGGTGACTAGCAGGCGCCTCCTGCACGTGTCTCACTTGCGTAAGGTAGGGCCCTAAGCTGTTGGCCAATCGTATGCGTAACTGCGCGGCCAGCGATGGCAGTAGCAGCTGCGTCTGACGCAAGTCTTGTCTTGAATTTTCAAATACGAGTGACATTACCCCGCTAGAGCAGTAGCATTGATCATGTTGAAGAGAAAAAGTATTGGATCCATCATGTTGCCATCCTCGATCAAATGAAGGAACAAAACGCCCCATTATCTTCACCTTCGTCACCAACTACGTTCTACAGGCGTCGCCCGCCCTACAGTGCACCACCACCACCGCCTGTCGGTCCGCCCCCGTCGCAGGTGCCGACCGCAGCGTTGGTCACAAATGTTCGCGAGACGTTGCGACAATGCGGGCACATGTCACTGCAAAAGTTAGCAGCGAAATTTCCCGGCACAAACGAGACTTTCTTCGCACAGCATGCTTCAGTCTTCTGCCTGGACCGACAGAGCCGTGTTGTGACTTTGCTCGAAGAAAGCATGTATATGCCGAATAGAGAACCGAATATCTACCGTTCATTCGGAGGCAACGCAGGTGGCGCAGCCACACAGACGGATAGCGTACTTATTTCTTTTTCAGCTTATTTTCTTTCTTTGTGATGTTGTAGATGTTAGTAGTCGACGTGTAGCTGACCACAATTTGCATTTTGTAATTCATCTTGGACCTCCACTTTCTTCAAGCTCTAAAAACATTATCATGGCGGAAATAGAGTTTGATGGAAGATGATGCCAACAAGAGCATGAGAAACTAGGACCACATCTTCATCTCCATCTTGAATACTCTTCACCTGATGCGTCCGTTATTTGCAGCAGGTTTATGCCCAGTTCAACAGCGAAGGAGGACGTCCTGCTGAGGAAGAGCGTCACGAGGGCTCCGAAAGGAAGCGTAAGAACAACAAGCATGAGGTGGGTGATCACAGCTCGAAACACGCGACAGCAACGAGCAACAACTCTACCACAGCTACTTCGGCTGGTGCATACAAGCCGCCAGCACGCGGCGTGGACCTCAACAAGAGTACTGTGAAACAAGATGATCAGTTCGTGGACCCCGACAACAGTTGGGTCGACGAGGACTGGGCTGCAGAGCAAAATGACCTCTATGGCAGCGAATATGATGCCGGATTGGGAATTCAAGGTCCAGGTCAAGGTCGTGGTGGTGATGACCGCAAAATGGATCGCGACTACAGCGACCGCAAAATGGACTACAACGCGACTGGATCAACTACAGCGACAACTACCAAAACATTGTCAAACTCGGCCAAGAAAGCGTACAAAGACGACCTGACGACATCATCCAGTAAGAAGAATAAGAACAAGGACCATGGTGCTCTTCAAGATGCTGGCGACGAAGAGCATGTCGAGTACACCGAAGAGGAGTGGGCAGCATGGATTGCAGAGCAAAAGGCCCAGAAACGTGCCAAGAGGGAGAGCAGGATGCTCGCAAAGCAAGCAGAACAGGGTACAGCAGGCCAAAGTCGAGACCAAATCATAGGTACAGCGAATCAGAAAAACTCAACAACATCTGCTGGACAAGCAGGCTCTTTGAGTACTCGGGGTGGCGGTCGACATAACGTTAACGGACCAAACAATAACATCATGGGCGGAGGAGCAGCCGACCAGTCTTCAGAAGCTCCAGTGAATAAGAATTTGGTCGCTTTATCAGCGAACGGTGGGGCAGGTAACTCCTTCGCTGCAAAGAGCAAGACTGGCGTAAAAAAAGCCGTTAACTTGAACTCCCTGGACGACTTCAAGAGTTCTTCTACTTCTAGAGGTGGAGGCAATAAGCAACGTGGTGGAAACAATCAAAATCAGAATCAAAATCAGCCGGCTGGTGGAGACCAGAATGCTTCTGGCGGTTCTTCTTCTGGTGAAGGAGGCCAGCAGAAGCCCAAGTGGCAAGGTTGGGGCAAGCCAGATCCCGATACACCGATTCAAAAAGAGAGCAGACCTCTTACTGGTGGAGAGCATCAACATCAGCAACAACAACAAGGTTCTTCTATGAACAACACTCAATCTCAACAACAGCAAGGTTCATCTGGCAACAATAACCCCAACAGCATGATGAACAACGCTAATCCACCCAGTGCTTCTTTCCAACATCAAGGCCAAGGACGTAACAACAATAAGGGACGAGGTAAAAAGGGAGGCAACAATAATTCTGCGGGGGCAGCAGGAGGTGGTCCTCATGACCCAAGAAGAGCAAACGGTGCCTCATCCGCAGGATCACCTGGTGCTGACACGGAAAACTCTGCCTCTGCAGTCGAGGGTCAGGCTAATGGCGCCAAAGGTGGTAGCAAACGGGGAGGCAATAATAATAAGGGTCAAGGCAAGCGCGGAGGCAAAGGACGCAATCGCGACGGAGGAGGTGGTCAAAAGGGAGCACAAGATGGCAGCAACAGCACTACAGGAAACGGTGCTCAAGAACAGGGTGGAGAACATCTTCAAAATCAGATGAAAAACAGGAACCAGCATCTTCAGAAGACTCCTGGCAACCAGCAAGATCATGTTCAAAACGGACCGCCAGGTGGTAAAGAGAACGGAGGAAACGCTAGTGGTAATACAACTAGGAATCAGGGCGCGGGTCGTGGTATCGGCAACAGGAACGATGGCGGAGCCAATAGAGTTGAGGAGAGAAACAATAAGCCCAACATCAAGGGAGACAAAGACAACAAGATGAAAGGGCAAGATCGTGGTGATAACAACAAAGGTGGCGACGGTCAGCATCAAAGGTCGAACAACAAGGGCGAAGGCAAGCGAAGTCGTCCCAAGGGCGATGGCTCTAAAGGCGGTGAAGGAGGCAAGCGCCAAGGCCCAGCTAAGGGTGAGGCAACCGGGAAAAAATAAGTACTAGTACGACATTTGCTCCACTCGACTTACAATAGAAGACAGTGTTGTTCTTGTACTATTATAAAGTTGTTCGACTCTAGTAGTAGTAGTAGTCGCTACTATTACTGAGAAAGAAAAACAGTTGTTCCACCACTGCTTTTGTACCAATGACATGTCCATCATACACACAGATACACACAGAGACACGCTACAACTACAAGTACTTCTTCACCTAGTGTTGCGTAAGCGTAACGAACTTTTTACTCCTTGTTTAGTCAGACTTACTTAGTCTATTTGCAAACTATATGCAAATGATCCTCGTGTTAAAGGACGAAGGAATACACAACTCCTGTGTAGTTTGGGCGTCCACCTTGCTCCCTGTGCCTGTGTTTAGGCGAAATATAGAAAGTAGCTCTTCGATATGTAATGGAAGACGAAGCACGATCTGATAGGCAGTAACAAAGTTCAGATCGTCCTTCGTCTTCCATTACACGCATAGGGGGTCTTTCGTCTTCTATTTAGGCCACTTGGCGAAAGAGAAGAGTCAGTAGGCAAAGGCAGAAGTTGTAACAACCTTGTGGGGAGAAGCGACGAATGTTCTAAGAAAGTCATTTCTTTGTGGACACAAATAGGGGGTAGAGTAGTAGGCTGTCTTGAATACTTCTGTATCTTTGCTTAACATGTTGATTTCGGTTCATTGCTTTCGGCTGTAGTTCCTTTGTTTTGTGAAAATGTTGCTGTTCTTGCTGATCATTTGATTTTTTACTATGGATGGATCATATCATGGCCAATGTCTTACTGCAGGAAATAAGTTGTGAATTGATGTTATTTCTGAAATTTCTAAGAACAAAAAGAAAATGGTGGTCGTAGTACGAGAAGAGATGTTGGCTCTGCTTCAGATTCAGTCATACCTATATTGAGATTCACATTTTATAGTCCACTTCGTTCTTCTACTTCTATTTTTTAGAAGTCCATCTGTGTATCCGTTGTCTGTAAATTAATGTTTGTGCTATGTGCAGATGCTTCTAAACCGTAAATTCTTTCTGCTCATATTTATGTTCAACATACGCACTCGTACCTGCTTCTCTCCTTATAGGTAGACGAGCTCCTGGCGCCTTTTGCTGCATCGAGGATATTGTTTACTCCTTATACACAGACATTCTTATAATTTCAGCATGATGTTGTTCGACGTTGTTTTGTGCTAAACGTGAAGAACAGGAGAAGAATATTCGGTAGTAGAATGAAAAGGTTGCAGGTTGTAACTCGTACCAAAATAGAAAGGTTGTAGGTTCTATTACCAAAATAGAAAACTTGATGTCATTCGGCTTGCTATTGTTGTTGGTTATCTAGTGGACTTATCTACCTCATCTATCTTCATCCAATCATGTAGTCGTAGTTCGTTATGTTTCATATCTATCGTTCGTTGTAGTTATTGAGGTACATCAAGGTCTAGAAGATCAAGATATTTCTATTTCATACTGATTGTAATTGTCCTCGTTCCGATCTTGATAGGTCGACCGCTTCGTGACATCATATGGAGCCAAACTCAACCACTTGCTGCACGCTACCTCGCAGAGACCTCCCATGGTCTCTGGTTTTGCCCGACTCACTTTTAAAACACCAACAAATTTTTATCATGTAGACCACGTAATTTGAATTTCATTCACCATCTTCAAAACGACCTCTTCTACCATTCGAAAAATCGGGAACTTCATCTGGTGTCGTGCAAGAGAGTAAGTCAAGAAGATCGATAGATCGGGTCACAGCAGCAGGGAAGCTGTCAACAATGACCTCACTCACTCCACTGCTCCACTGCTTGTTAAAAAAAATGTGATGAAGAGAAGAGGGTGCGCCGCGTCATTCGCTAGTCGTCGCAATACATGCGCGAGCTTGCTATTGCTATTGTCGCTTCGTATGGGTGTCATTCCAAAAAGGAATCGGAAAAAAATGTATCTACTTAGTAGCATGCTTCGCTTCGGTTTCCCTTTCCTGTCATCATGCTCCGTCCCCTCCGCATTGTTGAAACCCTCTCTTCCCTGTCCCGAGTTTGCATTTCTTTTCTTTTCATTACAACAAGCAGAATCAGCTAGGTCTTTCTTAAAACAAGCACAAACTTGATACAACTTCCTGGAAGAAAAATGTAAAACTACTGAGTTGCAAACTAATTTACAAGTATCTAAATCTTCATCAACACCGATCCTCGAAAAGAAACAAACAACAAAATGGCATCCCCAGCAGCCCGTCCCGTGTCACCGGAGGAGGTGACTGCTCCGGAACTGACCAAGGACCTTGAGGGACACTATTTGCAAGTGCCCTATGAAGTTCGAATTAGCAATGCTATTCGCAGTTTTTTCGGCTATGGTCCGGACAAGACGGACCCCTCGCATCCGAATTGGCTGGCGAAGAACCTGATTCGACAAGAGATCATGAAGTTATGGTGTGCAGTAGCAGTTGCTCTGCCCACTTCGATAGTAGAACAATCACAGTAAGTAGAAATTGAGTACGTCTACGTCGTTGATTATTTCATTTGAACTCGCGTCGGTGCCGCGTTGTACTAGTACTAGCTCTCATCTATAAAATCTTTACTCGCCTCCTGATGCATAGGCAATTTCATCTAACCATCTCCGGCGGAGAAAAAGCTCAAGGACCTATAGGACCGGATGGGAAACCGGTGATAGACCCCTTGATTGAAACGCAGTTGAAGAGAATCAAGCGGCGAAGACGCAACGCCTACTTTTTCGGTGTCTTTTTTAAGGCTCAGCTTTCAATGGTCATTGGGGTTGGTCACTGAGATCCCTCTTGAGAGAACAGGGGAAAATGAAGGAAAAGCAAAGGGAGAGGCATGGGGCCCATTTCTTTCAGTGTCAGTGACCATTGAATGCTGAGCTTTAACTTTTGGTTCCTGACTTTCACCGGAGCATTGATCTTCACGGGATTGCAGTATTTGAACACGGTCTTGCCGACAGCGAGGGATACCTTTTTTTAGGGAATTAGAAGAACCTTTTCTTGCTTCTCATTCAATAGGACGCGACCACAATGACATCTGTTGAACGATCTACTGCTCTAATTCCAACAATCTACTGCCGGACCAGCTGTCGCACGACGCTTCGAAAATTTTCTGGATGAAAGTATTTTCTCGCCTCTTCGCATGCTCAATAACGTGGTCCAACGTGGATTTTGGCGGCCTTACCCCAGTATGCATGCGCATGTTTCGCCGATTGACTTCAAGCTTTTCGAAGCTTTAGTTGGTCCAACCATCACCGCGCGACGTAGCATCTTCCGCTTAGAAGTCGGTTTTCAAGGAACACGCCTAGACACGAACTACGCCAGTCTCCGTTTTGCGCGTATTGGTCCGAAGGAGCATGTCGTTCTACAGAGCGACCTGCACCCCTTTTGCCGCGAGATCGGCATGTTTGGGTGCGTGAAGAACATGACGTTGCACTTCAATCAGTGGTTCAAGCGCATGCAGCAACAAGACTTGGCACAAATCGTGACGCAAACGAGGCTAGCACCAACGCACCTGAACCCTTTTGAAGGAGCTGCACAAGTAGTGAGTATGCCACCATTTTGCGATGTAAGAACCTCTATATTACGGTCAGCTTTATTTCTCCATCTTTCTCTGCATCTCGCTACCCGTTTCCCTTGTATTTCATGGGAGACATCAGAGGGGCCGAGATGAGGAGACCCAGCTACGGATTCAGGCTGCCTCTAACTATAACTACTACAACGACTACAACCTTGGCTGCTGCATCATCTTCTTCCAACGACCACAACAACACGTCATCAGCTACCTCAAACTCCACTTCCTCACCATCAGTTGCACCATTTACGACGGCTGCACCACCAGGCTATGCCGAACTCGGTGGACCTGTGGAGGTAGGCGACGGACGAACATTCGAACTACTGGAGAAAGAGCTGTTCTACCTGCGGTCGTACCCAAACTGCTCGGCGAGGTCTTATGGCTGGAGAAAACAACAAAATCTGCATCGTCTGTATCTCTTTTGCCTCTACTACACCGAGGCACTTAATATCTGCATCGTCTGTATCTCTTTTGCCTCTTCTACACCGAGGCACTTAAAAATAGGTAGTGGATAGACAGCGAAGATAGCAGCTTTCTTATTTGCAGCAGCTTTCATTGATACAACAACATGACTGATGCCATAGCTTCACAAAATGCGGATCTCTCATACATCTTCATCAACTTGATTGAAGCAATAAATCAAATGTCTCCAATTACTAAGGTTGCTCATCTTCTAAGACCCAAGCATGCCTTTCTCCACCTGGCTCCAGGGGAATCTGACGGCTGAGTATAACACAGCTTACGTGACGTACATCCAAACTGAGTTAGGGAAACAAGCGGCGGCTGCAGCTAATGCAAGCGCACAGAATGCTGCTGGAACGGGGGGAGCCTCTTCTAGTAGTACACCATCTACCGGTAGCTCTAGTGGTGGCCAGAGCCTGTTGGAAATCCTGAATCTCACAGCTATCGACGCCAGAGACAGACACGCACCACCTGCACAGAGCGAGTGCATCGGACCTGGCTATGTCTACGATGGGCCTCGATTATCGGCTGCGGAGATCCACCAACGAACGACTGAGAGGAAGTACTTCCTGATCAATCAGCCCATTCAAGAACAAGTCTACGGCGAATTCGATCAGGATCCAGCAGCTAGTTTCGTCGAGACCGAGTCGAGGATTTTCACAGAAACAATGCTGCATCCGTCACTGGGGTACTCGACGCCGGTCATACCACTGTATTTTAAGTTATGTCGCCGGGACTTGTTGTCCTACTTCTATCCGTTTTGTATGATCATGATACCCCTGGAGTGGGTACATTCATTCATTCATTCATTCATTCATACCATCACGACGATCGCCCAAGAACTCGAGTGGTCACTTTTTCAGAGCCTTCTTCTCACCTCTCTTCCTCTTCTAATCGGCATGGAGATTCCCGATTACCTTGACGCAGAGCAAAATTTGATGCTGGCGACTATGGGTTCCATCAACTTCTTGATTGGACGCCTAACAGTGGAGCTAACGCAGTTTGCGCCTTACCTCTTAGAGAAATGGAATGGCGGAGAAATCATCTTTGGGTCGCAGGGATACAAAGCTTATATTATGATCATGGGGACGACGACGAGTTCAACAAGTCCTACTTTGCTTGTCTAGAACTTCGAATTTGTGACATTGAGTGTCTAGAACTTCGAATTTGACATTGAGTGTTTTAGGTTTTCCACATCAAGGGTGTTGCATATCCTCATTTATCACTCTAGCATTCTTATGTACTTATGAAGCACAACGACGCATTCTTATGTATGAAGAACAACGACAACCGAGAGTCATAAACTTTGTCTAATCCCTTCGTGAACGCTCAAGGCTTGGTTGTTTGTGCCGCATATCTCAGTGAAATGCTGGAACCCATATTATGGGTACCGTCAATCCATCTTTTACACCATCTTTCAGCCAATTCCTTCTTGGAATAGGCTAAAAGATGTTCTAACAGATGGGTTGTCGGTACCTCTAACCATACCACTAGATAGTAGGTACCCCATACCAGGTGCTCAGGAAGGAGCGCCAGGCATGGGCGCGATCTTACAAGGCGAACTTCCCCCAGCGCAATTACAGTACCGAAACATCAAGAGCATAGATTCTCACTTCAGCGAAATCAGCCCAGACACTCTAGCCAACGCAGACGGGAAAGAAGAAGGAGTGTTATTAGGAAATTAAACGGTTTTTCACAAAAACTATATCTTGACTGCTAAAAAAATGATATTATAAAAATCCTTGACGGTCAACAATTATCATGGTCTCGATATCAGCTTCGAAGTCTAGGACGGAGTTCAAGTATAGCGTACTACTTCTCTACGGGTGACAAAATAATTTCTACCAAGTCCAATGTTAATAATACCCCACGAATGGGCACACTACTACTACTACTCCTACTACTATGGAACAAGAGCTATTAGAAAAGTACTAACTACAAGCGCAATTTTGTCTTCTAATCACCCTCGACGATGGCGTCTTGATTCGAGCATTAAGTACCAAGGATCCGTTGCTGACATCTGGAGACATCGCAAAGGGTCGCTTTTACGCTGTCATTTGGGCAGATTACTTCGCCTTCGCAGACACGTGGACAGTGATCAGCAGTTACATCAAGTTATGATGACTCGAACTATCCTTCACAGACTGGGCAATTGTCGACAAATCTCTGCCGGTAAAGTACAAGTTACTTACTTACCTGCTTGAAGTAAGTTACGACAGGGGTGTTTCGGAATTGGAAGATGGCCCCTCAAACTCAAACCTCTAATCAAGATCGTCCTCGGCGGCTGGCCTTTTTTTCTGTTCATCATGGTCACAGTGCTGTACGCTATTCGCGAAGTCGGTGTGCGCAACAAAGGTGAATTGCGAGAAACGGCGTTGTTTGCAGCCAAGTTACACGTCCTTGGTCCAGCGGAGGTTGAGAAGGACAGACAGAAAGGCGCAGTCGATGCAGTGCAGAAAGATTCGAGATAGGCGCGGAGGAAGTCATATGAGAGCTCCAGTAGCAGTGCAGCAAGATTCGAAGCAGGCGTGGAGGAAGTCGTATGAGAGTCTCTTGAGAAGATGAGTCTCTTTGAGAGAGCATAATGGCAGATGGACATGGAGCATGGATTCGAATTTGTAGTGCCAGAGTTTGTTTCCAATAGAGCGCCACCCCATGGTGCTGAGCGCAGCTGCGGACCCTAGGAGCACTCCATCGCCACAGCTTATCCGTGGACGCGGTTTCTACTGACTTTCGTACTCACATCTAGCGCAGCAGGCCTAATGGATCATTCTGATTCTGCAACGGCACCAGCACGGCAAAGCGAGTTCAAGCCCATTTCCGAAACTCGACCAGAACTGCGCCTCGTCAAGTCCATTTCCGCAAGACCGAGATCGGGCGCAATGAGAAAACAAGCGGCATGAACACAGAGAAAACGCAGGAATAAAATAAAAACACGTCTAAATAGCGAATTCTAAATCCTCGTAGTGAACATCGGGAACGACGAATAGAGCAGTATCTTCCAAGAAGCTCGTGTGAAATGAAAAAAATTAGAAAAAGAATGTCCTCTGAAAAAGAAACCTAGCATAATTAATATACGACTGGACGAGGAATGAACAGATGAAGTTGCAGAGCTTCTGACTCGTTGTAAAGACTTGCGCACAGGATGACAACACGAAAAACTACGGAGTTTACGATTTTGCCATGATTGCAATCGTGCAATATGTTTAGAATGTTGATGATGGTCAACATAGAAGGAGCACAATATGAACGTAAAAGATAGAGAAGATGATACAACCATGATGCTGTGTGTTCAAGCTCATACGGCCCTAGTGAGAGCCCCCTGCAAAAAGGTAGGAAGCTGTGGAAAAGATTTATCAGCCACATGAGGTTACGAAACGTCACAAATAGATTTTCATCTAAGAAAACGAAAATGGCTCGACTTGCTTAAACGAAGAAGCCGAAGGCTCTGCTAGAAGAACGAGATCAAGTAAAAGTCTTCGATAGAAGATGCCATACGAAGAATACGGCATGTCTAGAATATGAGAGAGTAATGTTAGTTTGTGATGATAAGATATTACGACCTCATGGTCTAAGCCTACAACTGGTATAAAGGATAAGGTTTTAAAAAACTTGTCTGCGGAAACATCAAGAAAATGTCATCTTATGCTGGGAGAAGACTTCTCTTCTTCTAATTCCTGCGGATTGAAAACGCCAAGATGAGCGTCTTCGCAGCTGAGGACCTGACACGCTCCCAGCGTTTCGCGGAGATGTCGCGAGAGCGCGAAGAAATAGCCAGGTTGGAGCGGAGGAGGATGGATATGTTGCGAGCTGAAGAGGCGCAGCCAGACGACATGTATGACGATGAGGACGAGCATGAGGGCGCCGTTGATGCAGTGCCTTCGTCCGGTGGAGCTGTTGCTACTGCGGGAAGAAGGTACTCTACTACCTTCTAGAAGATTCCCTAGTTCTCTCTTGATGACGTGCACGCGCAGGTCTTGTTGTTCCTTTTTGAGCTATAAGAAGTTGGTGGGTTACCGTTACAAGGAAGCAGAGCGAAGATGAATCTTTTTCTAGGTATTTTCAAATCGAAAAACCGAACCTGTCTACAATATCAGTGCTTCCAAAACGAGTGAGGTGTCGTCAGACGATACGGAGAAGGTGTGCGAAATGGAGTCTGAAAGTGTACAGGAGCTGTTAGCTTTGTCAGTGAACGATCTATCGGCGAACATGAAGAAGAAGAGCGGAGCACATCCGGAACTAGCGAGGAAGGAGCAGCTTGGCGCCAGTCCTAGCTCTCCTTCAAGTAGAGGATCACCATCGAGGCTTTTATCGAAACCGATGCTCTACTACCCTTCGGAACGATTCTTGCGGAGCATGGATGATAACGGGCATGTTCTTGCTGCTGCTATGGACGTCGCTAAAGATGAGGGAGCAACATCGCGGGAAGATCTTTCGATGTCCGGCTCGGATGTAGTTCAAAGACGTGATAGTGCTGTTTTTCGTACCGCCAGAGAAAGCGTGGAAGACGTCCTAGAGTTACGGCTTGAGGAAATCCATCTTCACAGGCACTTTGTCCCCGTTTTGAAGGGAAAATGGGCACGACGAAGATGCTCACCAAGATGGATTTCTGCAAGGTCTAATAGAGGACCAAAATAGCGACGCTAGGGAAAATTTACCACCGTCAGACGATCACGACTGGCGGTTGCAGACTGTACGTGCATCAGGCACGGAAGCACGGAGACTAGAGGAAGCTGAAAGCTTGCTCATGAATTCTTCAGAGATCGAATTTGAGAGAGGACAGATGAATACGAGTGACTTCTTTCTTGGAGGAGCTGCTCGAGGAGGAGCAATGCATCTTAGGAGTGCTGATCGAGTTGTAGGAGACTTTGAAGATACTGGGGGGTATCGGAGTTTGTACTCTTCTGCTGGTAGAGGAGACTTTTCAACGCAACTTCTTTCTGGAGGAGGAGCACGTAGTAGTTTTATTATGGAGGATGCGGCTCAGCATCGTAGCAGCATCAGTGTTTCGCGTCTACTCAGTAGAAACCGAATGGACCCTGCTCACAAGTCTCCACAACAGAGAGATAGCAATAGCATCAACCACAGCCACGCTGTCGTTCCGCTCTCGCCGGGTGACGAAGTCTCTTCCTCTACCTATCCACGTAGCTGTGCGGATGATGAAGTGTTTTCTACACCACAGCTGTCTCCACCGCCAGCTTCTACCTCAAGGCACGGCACCTCTTCTGAGCTGCGAGATTTAGAGCGGCCGCCACCGGAGCGCATACCTCATGCACCGATTCTGTCGCTTTCTTCATCTTCCTGTTCAGAATCCGTAGATGAAGACTCAGCAGAGGCCGCCCCTGCGCTACCGCACAGGAGAGTGCCAGAGGACGCTAGCAGGAACAAAGACCAGGAGATGAACTCATCTCCAGGAACATCAAAAGGACCTCCACAACTTGGTCCATCACCCACACGAGGACAGCATTTGATGAAGGCAGCAACTATCGGTGGACCCGGTGCAGCTTCGTTCATCGATCGGCGCAGACAGACTGATCCTGCTGTGTCAACGTCCTCCAGCTCTGCAGCAGTGCTGCCGAAATGGACGTCGATAGAGGAGGCGCGACGTAGTAGACAGCAGGAAAAGCTGAGACAGGCAGCTGGGGTTCTCGGAGCAGCAGGAGGAGCAAGTGGTGGAGTGAACAACTTGACCTTGTTCAATAATCACGCCACTGATCATGGCGTAGATCTAGTGCGGCAATCAGTGGAGCGGACCACGGAACCAAGTGGGAGTATGACTATATCATGTTCCGAACAGGCGCATCCACAGTTATCTTCAGGTGCTTCTGCAGTTGGAGGCCAAGTAGCACAAGGACCAGTCGTGACGTCTCCCTCTCCATCTGCACAACATCGATCTCCATTATTCAGTACCAGAATCGCGGCAGATGTCAATCTATCGGAGGTGAAAAACTCCGTAGTGCGAAGTCTATCTTCGCCGTCACCTGTTAAGACACTAAATGAAGATGTGGTGGCTGAGGATGTCCTTAATCGCCAGCCAGGTACGATAGAATCACCTCCGGGGAGCAGTGTTGAAGATGCTCATGTAGTTGGTGAGCAACAACCAGAGTCTAGCGCACCAGAAGCGCGAGAAGAATCTCCCATACAGCCTGATCTCAACCTACAAGAGCCAATAAACCTCACAGAAGCAGCACAACTGCCTCCCACAATTGCTACTTCTTTTTCGAAGCAAAGTGCTGATTCGGATACGCCTACGGTCTTGGACAATTGTCAACTAGTCGCTTCTATGGCAGGATTAAATTGCTCTCTGAGTTATTCAGCTGACGATTCGATGAAATTTGGCAGTTGCCGGAACGAGCTGGTAATGAAAGAAATGAAAAGTGCGGCTGAAGAAGTTGCGGAGGTCGAGACTACAAATGTAGATGTAGTTCCGGAAGCAGTAACAACTAGTTCAGATGCACCTACAGGCGCAGGACAAGACGAACGGAAACAAGCTGCGCAGAAGCAACAAGCAGATGCACAACAGGACCTCCATCAAGTGTCTCCGCAGTACGTGAGCCGCACAGCGTTTACTGCTACGTATCAGAGCAACGTTGTGCAGGATGGAAACAAGAGCATCAATTGGAGTGGAAACGTCAGTAGTTGTTCTGGTGCGAGGACTTCCTCCTCATCGACTCTCGACTCAAGCTTTAAAAAAAGTAGTGGCTCATCTGCAGGGCAACAACGGGACATCAAAGTCGCAACTACGTCCAGCGGCCTGTCGCAGGACAAAAAGACGACAGCAATGTCACAGTCGAGTTTTTTCCTGGGCAACAAACAGACCTCCACCACCTCGAGACAAGTTGTAAGGGGCTCGCTTCCAGACGTAGCAGAAGAGAGATCACGGGAGGTCAGGGATGAACGAATGCCACAGCTGTCGTCTAGAGGGGCTCCTCCTCCAGTACAGCTTCAGCAGCGTCAGAGATTACTGGTCAATTATGGCCGTAAGAACAGATGACTTTTATGCAAGTGCACAGGCACAGCCTTGCTGCTAAAGCAAGTTTTTCAAGAGTCTGCTGCTTAGTCATTTCTATGAGTCATAAAAGTAAAGAAGGTTGAACAGGAATAGCACAGCACAGTGTAGTATCTAGATCGTAGATGGTGCTCTTGCTCGTTCTCTAATCATAACCATCCGGTACCAGTACAACAAGTACAACTGCTGTCACAAAACCCGTTCTCGGGAAACCAGTCCTCGGTAAAAAAGCTGAGGATTCAAAGACCCATGAGGATTTAGCTGATCGTTTTGGGCTCGATTTAGACGAGAGTGATGTTTCACACGGCTCGAACATCCTCAATGGCAGCATTGGTGGCCCCAAACTGAATACTAACAAGTCGAGATCTACAAGAACGACCACGACAAGTACAACGAACACTACACGTCAAGGTCAACTACAAGGTTCTTCATCCTCGTCCTCCTCAACGCCCTCTGCTAAAAGCAACTCCAACTCAACGGCGATGGGGACCAGTCACGCGAAAAATGTGCCTATAATCTTTCCACCTAGAAGAACAACAGCTGCAGAGGAAAGTGAGCACATACCACAGCTGCGTATAGGCACAGAGCTACTACGGACCGAATATGAAGATGACTTCTCTACTACTCAGCAAGGTGGTGACGAGGAAGATTTTGGAGAATGTGTATCTTCTGTGCCGAATGAGGATATAGACGAGAATTATCATGAGCAAGATGGTTTCAACAATATCCAAAACGTCGTGGAGGTAAAAGTTGACGTCCTCGATGAAGACGGCAGCATAAGCGAACGGGAACTGCTACCTCAAGATGACCAACAGAGCACCTCTCAAGACGGATTGTTTCATCCCCAACCAGCATTGTCCTTTGTTTCGTCGCACAGTAGCTCGACTGCAGGAGGACGATTGCGGTATCTGAAGAGCGCAGTTGCTTCGATGGAGAGTCCCCTAGATGATCGTCGAGGTAACCTGTCTGGGGATTTAGACAAGCCAGATAAGATTCTTGGTGAAGCACAAGCTGGCGAGAAAACTTCGGCTCCTCCTGCTGTTATTCGAAGCAGTCTTCCTACACCTAGCAATGCCGTCGCTGGAGATGCGCCAGCTTTATTTGAGGAGCACACGTTGCCTAGAGCAGGAGATAGCTCAACATCTTCTAGTGCGCGACTAGGTCTACGAGCTAGTGCTGGCGCTTTCTCATCAGGAGGTCGCAGTCCGACAGTGATAGAAAGCACCAACAGCACCGTGATCGAGGAGCCGCACCAACTGCAATTGCGTGAGTCAATTTTGGCTCCACCTGGGACTGAACAAATTGCACGAGGAGGAGGGCCATCTTCGTCGTCTCAATCTCAGGTAGGACAAGACAAATACGCTAGGACTAGCAGTAGTACGAGTACACCGACAACAGAGACAGCCGTGGGACGTTTGCCCGATAAGAATACCCAACTGCTAGGAACATCTACAGCTGCCTCTTCTTCCTCCAACAAACCGGTTCCGCGTGTGATCACTGTGAAACGCATTGTGAAGAACAAAAACGGAGAAGTCCTAGAGGAATCAACGTCCTCGGGTCCAGGACCATCGTCGACTTATCCCTATCCCCAGCATCTGTCTGGTGGAAGTGGTGGCGCGAGTAGTAGTACGTGCAGCACTCCTATGATGCGAGGGAGTATTTCCTCATCTCTGATCGGGTTTGGGACGTCGAACCATAGCGGTAGTGGAACTCCGTCAGTAGGATTGCTAGGGGGATTTCAGCAGCGGTCCATGACACCCTTTTCACGTCAACAGGTCCGCTCTTTCGGTTCTGCAGGAGCTGCCGGTTCTGGCTCTGCAGGAGGAGGACATCACGAGGAAATAATGGGAGATCCCAAGAACGGCATGATGAAAAAGTTAGGCCACAGCGGATCCGTTTCACGCTTACTGCCTGATTGTACAGTCCTTCCTGGGTCAGCAGCGGCTTCAGTGCGGAGTACACCGTTGTTGGACGCTCGAGGCTTGCTCACGCCGGGCGCTAATGCGTTTCATTATGGTCACTCAACATGAACAGACATAATGATGATGATGTACGATGCAATGGTGGTGGCGTGCAGGTAATGAGTTTTATTTACAAAATCCCTATCCTTTGAGTACTCCGACTGGATTCCGCACCACTTGCATTTGTAATAACCGTTGTAAGTTAGTACATTCTTCACTCCATGATTGATTCATCGAGTACGCAATTCTAATGCCGGGTTCAACCCACCGACAGTCGCATGCAGGATCTTTTTAGGTCATCCGTGGAGAAGTTAGCTCAGCATACAGTTTTTCGAAGTGCCTCTGCCTCCTCAGGTAGCGGGAGCTCGTCATGCGCTGAGCAGGTAGCAGTTGCAACTTCCTCTGGTAGCGAAAACGTTCAAACTACAAAGACAGGTGTGTCATCTAGTTCTTCAATTAGTACCTCTAAACAAGTAGCAGAACAAGAAAGGCATGCAGATCCGAGTCCGGCAGGAACTACAACAGGTGCTTCGACAACTACGATAGAGCCGAATACTCTTACTGAACAAGCTTCAGAAGTTGTAGATAGACATAGATATATCTACAACAAGAACAACACTCCTGCAGAACCAGATGTGCAGCAAGATAACCAGGAACATGGTCTTCAAGTGGTCGTAAGCTCCACACCAGAAGCAACGACTAGTTCTGCCACAACTGCACCAAATCAGTTTATCTACTACAACGACAGGTATGATGCTAAAACGTACCACGCGAACTACCCCGTCAGCCTAGGAGGCACATCAGCGAGTGACGGAGGTCCGTCTTCCTCTACATCTTCTGGAGGGACAATGCATATAGTGAACAAGAGTGCAGCTACGGGACATCCTCGGCAGGTAGCACACGAACAAGATGACTTCTATCCAAGTAGTGATAATCTTCACGAATCCTTGTCCTCTGATACTCAGCAAGTAGTTGTACGAGCAGGACGACCACTAGCACCTCCACCGACAACATCGGCAAGTACTACTGCACCTTCCTCGACCACAGTTGTTCGAACTGAGGGTGGTGTCACCAATACCACACCAAGTGCGAACAGTCAAAAGCCAGAGTCCGATGCTGCGATTTATCGTCGCCTGCTTGGTCAGAGGAAGAATTCTGAAGTTGGAGGATCTACAACGCCAGTCGAAGAATCTCCAACGACGTCAAAAAAACTGTCTGTGAAAAGCAGCACCACAGATTTTGTTGCGCCGCTTCACGATGCTGACCACGTCGATCAACCAGGTGGCCCTACTAACTCTAGTTCATCTAGTACTACGACTACAGCAACTTCAACTTCGACTGTTGTAAATCCCAATGCGGCAACATCAGCAACATCAGCATCAGCTTCTTCTAGTAGTACGAGCACTACTTCTACAAGTTGTAGGCCACCACGAGAGAACTTTTGGGAAACAGGCAAAGGCAAGATTCGGACGAACTATGAGAATTCAGGCGAAGAGGACTTGGGCGAAACGAATTACGTAGTTCTTACGAAAGACCAAGAAGAACAGGTGAACAATCCTCATCTAGCACGAGGAGGTGGGCAACTACAGGTACAACAGGATCAACTACCGCCAGATCAAAGTTCATCTGGTAATCAGCTCTATGCAGCTGGTACGACTCCGCCTTTAGTACAACCTCCAGGGCCCCCGAGCAATGTTGTAAACGGAGATCAACATTTATTTGTTGATCAACTCGGACTCGCGGCAGATGAAAATACAACTGTCGTTCTTGAAGAGCAACATAGTCACGACATTGAAAACAGTGCGGAGGAGGTAGTGCTGCAGCTTGACGGGGGCGAGGAGCCGTCACCTCGGAGAGCTAGGAAGATGGAGATGATGGCGAAGAAAATGGAGGCTCTGCGGAAACGGAAGGAGAAGGAAGTTCAAGAAAGAAAGGAGAGGTGGGAACGAGATCGGAAAGAGCGAGAAAAACAACGTGGGAGCGCGGAAAGGAATGCGGCTGCTAGTGGCGGTGCGTCTTCTAATTTTTCCACAGGAGGTAATAAACATGCTGCAACTTCTCCGACTGCTGCAAATCTAGGCTCAACGACTTCCCCCGTGAACTTTCAACCCAGAACACGCGCGACTCACGAACGTCAAACGCGTGAGAAAGTCGCCAGGTCGACGGCTGCAGATCAGCATGATGCCGATAAATATCGTGGGTCCTCAGAAGTAGGAGGTGGAGTTCATCAGCCGGGTCTGTCATCATCCGGCAGTAGTAGGATTCTCAAGCCCTCAAACATTCCTGTCCCCTCTGCAGCTCGTCGAAGTCCAGCTGCAGGAACACGCCAAACCACCGTTAGTAGGCTTCTGCCGAAGCCGGTGGAAAAGAATTTGTCCTCTTCGTCTTCGAGTTCGAACTTATCGTCACATAACATCTGCTCAACCTCCCAACAGCTTGGAGCCGGCGCGCCACCTACGCTACTTCCAAAAGGCTGTAAGGAGAAGAGCAACCGGAAATTGATCCGAAACGCAATCCTTCTGCTTCTTCAGGGTGAGGCAAGTCGGAGTCTAAGGGAAACTATACTGCAGCAAATCGATTCGGTCCTGCAGGATGAACGCTTCGTCATTCTGTTTCGAGGTAGAATCATCACACTCGGTATCTTCTAGAACTATTCAAATTTAGACGTTGACCACGTACTTACGTGTACTTCTTCCCAAGACGCCAAAATTATATATAGCTATAGTTTAAGAACATTCCTTTTCCTACTACCTCTTTAAAACCAGGTATGCACAAAGGGCGACGTGATTTTCGAGCTTTGTATGCTTTGCGTGGCGGAAAGTGGATGCGCGTGGCCCACTTATTCCTGTGTCCGCAAGTGATGAATTCTGCGATGGTGGAGCATTTTTATCGCTTTGACTCCGGTACACGCACGTTCAAGGAGATAGAAGGGGCGTCTGAGATCAGTGGGGCGGTGGATGCGGTGTTTCTGAAGCCTGAATTTTTGCCAAAAGCAAAGAAGATTTGAAGTAGATGAGGTTGGGGGCTTCTTTGCTGTGAAGATGAGGTGGGTTTTTTTTTGAGGGGGTAACCTGGTTAGGGATTTTTCGACCTCTCGAAGGAGGACATTCTCTAGATGGAGCCTCGTTTTAATTTACAGTTCTTGTAGTCTTGACGTGCTGTTTCTTGTGGTGTTGAAAAAATTGATTTTGTGATGCTAGGCGCACGGAATATCGTCAAGATTTTGTGCACTTAAATTTAAAAAATTAGTCCCAACAACTTCGTTCTTATTCTCAGTATTAGTACGTACTGGTTCACCTTCGGAATACAATACCAAAATGACCACAACATCGTTCTAGATCATTAGCGAAAACCATGGACGAACTTCCAAGATATTTCACTCATTCTTCTCGAAACCAACATTTCACATTTCTATGTCTGAAGACCCCAACGAAACGAAGACGACGAAATAACAAAACAAGAACGTCATTTCATCAACAGATGATATTCCCAGTACAGCAAATTTTTGTGGCACTACGAGAAGGGTGGCCACAAACATCCAGAACTCGAAAAGAAGCGTCAACACCGGCCTCTACGATACAAGAGCGGATCACCTGCGTATGACAAGACGCATATTATAATTATCAGCTATTCATCTTTCTATTCTGCGGTACTAGATCTCGCGATGTTGAATTTCATCGTCTTCACAGAACCAAGAATATGTTGCACGGTGAGTGCGGGTTAGGAAATATGTAACTTACCTTCATCCGTTCTGTACTGCATGGACATGAAATTTTTTTGATGCCTGCGAGGACACATTTTTCACAGCTGCAAGAAGGAAAGAAAGTGATGATGATCATTCATGATGGAGGTATCTTCTTCTTCAAGACGGACTAGTACTGCTCTGCGACGCTAATGATAGCCGCTAGGGAGCTGATCACAATCACATCGTGACACGGCTACGGAGCTGAAAATTATGGCGTTCATCCGCAGCATCAATGCTACCACGACTTCACAGGCTCAGCTTGGAGAGGATGAGCTAGGGCACTTCCTGGCGCATGGTGAAGGAGCTCCGATAATGGTAGAGGATCCAGGTTCGAGTACTTCAGGTGTGACTGTAGGGTCTGCAACCGTAAATGATCCAGGAGGTGGAGGTGGTGCATCAATTATGGTGCAGGGGTGAACCAAGAAGACAGATGTACGCAGTACCAGAAGAAGTGTAGATTCAAATCTTCATTGTCACCACGAAGACGTGCTCTCACTAGGACAGGGAGATTTCCATAATTTACTCTCTCCTTCATCTCTAACTAGTTCAATCCTCTAACTCCAACCTCGCATCCAAGACATCTTCGAAGTCACCGGACGTGGTTAGAGCACAGGCAATAGAACATCTGCGAAGCGCCTACAAGGAGTACTGCGATTGGCAGAGCGAGACTCAGCAAGAATTTTTAGATAACGCGGAGCCGAAAGAGATTGTATAATTTTGATGACAAGAACTCTCAACAGGATTTTTTTGAGATATTCTTATAGATGCCGTGGTGGATATTATCTGTAGGAGGTGCGGCTTGGCCGCGAAGCGGTGGACCCTCAAGAACCTTAACCTTAACCATATTATATATCTGTAGGAGAGATCTTCTGATTTGGATTTCAGTTGGCAGTGCATCTGTTGCGACTCCCTTGGATTTGGTTGCTCTTGCCGGGGTAGGGGGAGGGTGCTCCGATTGGATTTCATTAGGTTTTCGAAATCCAGATTGATAAAGCCGGCCGGATTTGCTCTGGATTTCTCCTACAGATAATATCCACCACTGGATTTGCTCTGGATTTCTCCGAAATCCAGGTTTTAGATACCGTGGTGGATATTATCTGAATGATGACCAACGTCAAAATCAATCTATTACTTGTACTCCTTAGCGAGTTGATATTTTCAAAAAACACCACACTAAATGCAAACAAAAGAAGATCGAGATGATGAAATGAGAACTAAAGAAAGAACTAAGAACAATCCCCTCTCCCTCATGCACTTAGGTAGCCCCTCTACCTCACGAATAGGCACATCAATCAATCAATGCACAGTGTCACGATGTCGCATCGTTCCGAGAGCGCGTGTTGGTTTGGGAGGAACGTGCGTTGGGGTTTGATGAGAGGACAAGGACCATGGATGAAGAAATGCACATGTTGCAGATGCAGCAGCATGATATGGATGACGTTTTTTGCATCTCTCAGACCATGGTCTTCTAGGCTGCCCCTTTTTCTCTTGAACGTTTATAGTAATGCAAGTGTCGATTACGACACTTTGCCCCTTTTTCCTTTGAACGTTTACAGGCTAAAGGGGAGCCTCGATGATCTGCCTAGATGGAAAAAACCACATCCATACATGAGGTAGCAGAAGCAGGCCAGAAAAGGTATTTGCAGAGTAAGTACGATATCGACAACGAAATTGCCGAAGTTTGCCGCAGGAATCTCGAATTTCGTGCGGAACAAGCTGCAGAGGAGCGAGAAGGGAAATCGGGAGATGCTGGTGAAGGTTTTGTATCTCAAGTAGAAGACCAAGATGAAAAGACGACGAAGGAGACAGGGAATGGCGAAGAGGCTTCAACTTAGGGCTTGTGATAGAATTCGCTTGAGGGAAGTCGTAGGTCCAATCCGAACCATCTAACACCATCATCCGAATTCAAATTTCCGTTTTCTTGCCCTCCGTTTCCTTTTTGTTATTCTGAAGAAGCGATCTGCAGAAATGAGCTGAGCTCTAATCTACACCAGTATTTGAGCCACCATCAGTAGATGTCCTGAAAGCACGACAAGCGGAACTACTGTTGCGATTGCAGTACGAGGTACAAAGAAAGCAGTTCGAACTGCAGTTAAGAAATAAGAATTCTAGTTCATTCTCTATAGGCATACGTGCATATTGATCACCAGGAGTATTATGTCAGGTAGGAGATGAACAGGATCAGCTTGTCGAGCTAGACTTAAAATCTCTAGTAAGTTCTTGATTGTCACTAGAGAGGGTAGAGATATGATTGGTTAAGTTTTGTATTTGATATTAGGATGTTGTAAGGTATGACGTTATTATTGTATTATTGTGAGGAGCAAGGTATGTAATGATGGATGTATATTGTGATGACTAGTGTTGGTATGGGATGAGCATGTATTTTGAACTGGAGCTCATATCGTCGCTGCATCTAGAAGTGCAGCGTCTTGACATCTTCACGTTATTATGGAAGTCAGTATCCCTGCTTCTAGTTCTAACACAGGAGTTGAAAGATCTGGTGCGACGACGGGAAATATGCATAAAGCAAATAGAAGCACGGACGAAAGGCTTCAACGATGACCTCTACAAAAATTTCAGGATGCAGCAGGAAGAAGTTGCAGTACCGGGCATGGAATTATGCTTGGTTACCCGCTCAATATTAATCATGAGTGGAGGTTGATAACTTCAACTGCTTAGAATTCTCGGACTGTTGAGTTCCAAAGAACTCAGCATGCATATCCTTATGTGCAGCTGCTGAGCCCTGGTTTTGTAAACCTATCTATGAAAATACTCCTATTTTACAGTATTTGGCTGGTCACGCTGATGCAGCCACTTGCGTCTTTTCCACCGTTTCGTCTAAGATTACGAGGTATGGTGCAGTTTGTATCGGCTGGCCCGACCGAGTCAGCGGGAGCCTGGGCTATGATGAAGGAGCTGGAAACGAGGCTGGATGAGGTCCAGATTACCACAGCACAATACCAGGAAGCCTTGGCGACAAGACAGGAAAATTGCGCGTGGCTGGAAGAGGCATTGGTACTTGTCAACATCTCGTCAGGATTCGACTCCCCATCAAGTAAGTAAGTACTACCATCTACAACTCACAGAATTCGAACCAAACTGGTTTCAGAATTCATAATATTTCATCACGTCAGAACCGCGCGCGAGACTTGTCGGAGAAGTTGCGGTCTGCGGAAGAGCTGGAACCTGACAGTGTGGATGCGGAATTTCAGACAGCGTTGTCTGCTGCTGCGCTTGAAGCCGAGGTTGAAGCCCAAAGAGCGGAGGAATCTAGCACAGCCAAGCAGCAACAGCAGCTGAAGAATGATCTCCAAGAAGATGTTGAAAGCGTCGACGCACAACAGAGCAGTTTACGTAGTGGCGCAGACGACGCAAGTATTACAGCCAATGGTAATCATGGAGAAGATGCTTCAATAGGGGATGACCAAGGTGCGAGTATGGGGGTGCAACAGCCGGCTCTGCCCACCCCGAATCCGGCGAACGTGAGTCCACATGTCTATCCAACCGCAACGCCACAACGAGGCACACCACAGAGACGAAATACCACTGCAGGAGGTACTTTTTTGGTTGCACTTCGTATTTTTTTGGAAGTGTTAGTCTACTTTACAAACCGGGCTATGCGTACTATGGGGATATTGGAAATCGCCAGCATGAGGAAATGTGTTATCACAACTGCAGCTGAGCTTGCTGCTTTCCCACGACAGCGATATCACATTCAGGTCGTGCTTCGCCCAGTCTGACGGGATCGGGGCGAAGAAACTCAGCAAGAGGAAGTCGCCTATCGGGAAGTGGAGCTCCGGACTACAATTTCACCCCCTCAAGCCGCGCAACGGCGGATACAGGAGTATGTTGATTTTCTCTTTACCACACGTATTTAGCAGTAGAACATGTAACGATCACCTTGCAAACGACATTTTTCTCATTTCTAGTGTTATCATGTTCACGATTCACCGATCCACTCCAGATGACAAGGAGCGGAAGGGTTGCTGCCGCAGCTACTCCCTCTTCCTCTTCGGCGGCTCCGAATCCAGGAAAAACGACCGGAGCAGCTTCAGACGGTCGGTCAGGTGCAGCTGCGCGCGGTGTTAGCATTAGCCATCGCAGTGGCCAGCTTGCGCGAGATGCACAGGGCATCACAGCGCCGAATAGGAGCAGGAAAGGTAGCCAAAAAAGCAGTGGAGGTGCTCAGATTACATTTTCTCCAGGGAAACAGGCCATACGAACGGGTATCAACAACATAAACACCAACTTGCAGAAGCAGCAGGAGGAGATGTCGCAGTTTAGCAGAATAGGTGCAACACGCGCAGCAGCATCAACGACTCCCACAGGATCAGTATCAGGAGGCGGCGGCAGAGGCGCTTCGGGAGGAGCTTCACAAGCAGACGCATCGAGTTTCTTATGGTGTTAATTCTGGTTTGTCCTGCATTGTGTCTTTGGTTTGCAGAGGGCTGTTAGAATGGCGCATCACCAGGGAACTATAGGTGAGTACTTAATCAAGGATACGTTCTGTCGACACCTCTAAGAGAGTTATCTGCAGCTGTCACAGGCAGGAGTCCTGCAACAAAAGCGAGTGCGCGCGGACCAGCATCGGCGCGTGGGGGTGGATACGTCGTCGCGTCGAGTGCGTCTGGGCAGCGGTCCCCTTCTCAGCGGGCAAGAGGAATTACCAGAAGCAGTGCAGCGATGGCGGGTGGCGGGTCTTTCAACAGCAGCGGGAAAGGCGCATCTCTCGCTTCGTCTAATGGCACCAGTGTCCGAGGTGGTCGTTTGCAATCCTCAGCGGGTGCGAGCGGTTCTGCACCAGGGGTCGGCACTGGTCCGTCAACGGCCACTGAAAAGCTGCGTCCACCACGGATCACGGCAGACGCTGCTCCGACCATCCCAGAGGATGAAGAAGGCCAGTTAAGCGTCCCGAACAGTGCGGACGACAAACCCTTAGAGCGCAGCTTTTTGTCCAGTGGCAGCGACGGCGACCCTCGCATCGACGCGATTCCGTCGCGACCTCCACCGTTCCAGAGCTCGGATGACGAGCTCTTCCAGTCGACGGCCTCGATACGACAATCTCCAGCACAGTACCAACAGGCCAAAGTGCCTGGATCGCCCAAGGTGCAGACAATGCCGAATAGTACGGGTAAGCCGGTTCGTGCCTCTGCCCACTTCGTGATCCAGCAGCCGACGTTAGCGGTCCCTGCAAGTCCTGGAGGTCGTACCAGGAATATCCTCGGAGCAGGTCCAGCAACTGCTTCTGGACAAATAAGCAGTCGCGCAGTGCAGGGCAGTCGTGTGGTGCAGCAAGTGACTGCGCACCCTCTTACGAACTTCCCTCGTGTTTCTCGTTCGCAAGTCGTCGTTGTTGGTCCCGCGACAGGAGGTATACACGCGACGTCCGCGTCATCCACAGCGCAGCATCAGCAGCCCTCTTCACCTGCGAGCACATCGAGTAGCCACCGTCTCAACTCCGGCGATTGCCTTCCACCTGCAGACGCATCCGCGTCTCCTCGCAAGGTGAGCCCAACATTCGGCGCCGTGGAACAGATGGACGGGTCCGCGTCGGCTCCGGTCGCGCCTCTACGATCCACCGAACCTGACCGACACGTTGCGAAATATCTCGCCAGTGGTCCGTCTGCAGGCACGCCGGGGGACGGCAAGGTAAGCTTCTAATACATAGTCATACTTTAAGGGTTTATTGTTCTCCGGTGGTCTTGCGCAGTGCGAAGGGTGTTTCCAGACCCATAGAACAAATGTATTTAGCCCATGTTGCAACCGGTTGCACTCAGGAGCAGCGACGACACCAGTTAGTAGACTAACAATGAATTGAATTTGACTAGCCGCTGCAATCATACGATTGAAAATATGACCCAGCGCTCTGGCAAAGAATTCCAACTCCATCTTTCACCCAAAAACCAGGTATCCATCCTCGAGCGTGAGCTGCGAGCAGTGGCTAGTGGTGTTACGGGCGTGACACCGGCCAAAGCAGGTAGCACGGGGAAACGTGGATCCATGGCAGGCGCAGACGCCCGATTAACGAATCGCCATCGGGAGAAGACCCTTTCGCTTGGCCAAGTGGACTCAAGGCGGGGTCGCAGTCGTGGGTCGCGGTGACACGGGCTTTGGCATTTGCTGCTTCAACGGCATCTAGATGTTTCAATAATTAGTCGCTTCCTGAAACCTGCAATCGAGACATCCGACCACTTATTCAATTGAATTTGCGGAATAGCAAATGATGCACACTAGTTTCAATTACCGGTACATCTTGGAATGAGCCTTATACAACTGTCTTGCACGTAGTCCAGAATCATGTAACGTAGCTTGTTGACGTTGAATGTTTGCAGAAATTGCAGTAGTGGGAATCTGTGGGGACCTTCGGGTGTAATCGGATGAAAAAAATGAATGATGGCTGAACTTGTTCAGAAAGAAAACTCGAGTCCTCCGAAATCCGTCTCAGTGGAGAGGCAGGCGAACAGACGGAGAGTGTTTTTTTTGCGGCTGCATCTGTTGAGATCATGCACCACTTGTCTTTTGAGAAGGACTCAAATCAAGTAAATTGAAGTACATTGTGTGCAATGTTTTGTCCTTAGTGAAGGAGAATCTGATGGAACCACACGAGCAACGAGAACGAGATGGATCCATTTTTTCAACAAGCAGGGTAAGAGAACGAGATAGTTTTCAAAGTAAGCTACAGCAAAACATTCTTTTATTCACTGAACAATTTTTCTGTTTTAGTAAGTGAGTCATTCCTAGACCTAGTCACCTTCCTTCACTGCGATGTTCAATACTATTCTTATATGACACATACTACTTGTGGTTCAAACACTTTGTTTACACCACCTAGTACGACAACGAGGACTAGAGTTTTCATTCAAGCTATCTACATCTACATCTACTATCCAAACTCCATCTGTAATCTACATCTTTCTCATCTTCCCTTAAATCAACGAACAATAGGAGAATTCGAAAGAAAGAGAGTTTTGACCTCCCCACAACCTCACACAAAATGGCGAAGATGATGAAGATGATGGCCATGAAGGCCTCCATGAAGATGATGAGCATGAAGATGAAGATGGCCATGAAGGTCTCCAAGATCGCCAAGGGCAAGCGTGCCAAGTCCAGCGTCTTCAAGGGCACCAAGGCCAAGACCTCCGGTGGTCTCAAGAAGTCCGACTTGAAGAAGAACAAGCAGGGCAAGGTTGTGTCCGCCAAGGCCTCCGCTGGTACTGCTAATTTCTTGAATGTATGTTCATCTTGGTACTAGGGATCGATCTTGTTCTTGAAAGTGATATTAACTCTGGTACTTGTCATCTTTGGTTTTTGGGACCACACTTTCTAGCAGCCCACACCAACTACAACTTCTTTTTCATGTGTATTCGTCATCAGGTTGCCATGAAAACGGACATACAGGGGAAGATATCTAGAAATCTACGTAGAATGTATTACTCAAGATCTCATTCATCTCCTAATAACCACACACCTCACGACACTCTCCAGCCGCCAAGAAGCGAAAGGGATACAAGACCATCGTCGCCTGGGGCAACGCCACCGCTAAGGCCCGCAAGGCCCTCGGCATCAAGGGATTCGTCCCGGTTGGTGGCAAGACCGCCGCGGGCAAGGCCCTCCTGTCCAAGGTCAAGTCCTTCCTCAAGTAAGAAGCTTGCCTCGCAGGGAACAAAGGATGAGGATTTGGAGATGAGGTCGAGACACGGAGGTGGTCTCTCCCAAAAGACTGTCTTGTTGAATGCGATCTGCTTTTCTAGAGAGATCTTTTCTGATAGACTTTCTTCAATAAAGTTGTCTTGAAAATAGCGACACAGCAGCGGGTTCCTGTCGTGGTGTAATCTACGCAGGTGTATAAAACCCTGCGATGCAAGTCAGTGGTGCGTTCCGCGGCTTGCACTGTGCTCGCGTTCGCTACATTCGACGAGTCATTTCGTGATTCACTGAAAGACGCGAACAGCTTGAAAAAATGAAGCGTCCACGCCTTTGTTGCGCAACGTTCTTACAACGAATCCTGTGTGTTACGATAACAGACGTGAGAGTGAACGCAGTAGTGAATGACGTGATGCAAAGGGAGTTATGTAGCGACGGAGAGAGAACGAGAAATGCCTCTGTTAACTTGCCTGGATCTGTTGACTGAATATAGGCATACACGCGTTGGTTTCTCATTCCTCTGTCCAGTTCGTTTCTGTCCTCGAGAGGGCATACGCCACGAAGCCAGATTTTACGAACATCTGGTTTGTGCGGTCGGTCTTCCATTCACGAGTCTACTGCGTGTCCAAATCCAAAATGATGAGACATGTATTCTACCCTAAACGACAGCGTTTTTTGTGATTCCCCACAACCGAATGTATTTGTCGTCGGTGGTTCGTAAATAATTTTGCGATTGTCATTTTTCTCCTTTCTTGTGATAGTAAAAACGAAAACACACCATGCCTCTGAGTCGCTGCTCTAAGCTGAGACAGGACAGGAAGCGAGCCACCTGTGGTAGACGCAATGTCCTGGCCTCAGGTCTTGCAGTTGCCCCAGTCGGACTTGCAGTCCGCTTTCACCATCGGGAGCTTGATCTTCGCACAGGAAATGAAGGTATCTAGCTATAAGAATGATGGTATCTAGAATTTTTGATCTAAGTCTTACCGTGTCGTCTGATTGGATGTCGTATGTGCTTGTATACTTATGGGTCGCTCCGTTTTCAAGAGTTCTGTGTCGTTTCTAGGTCCTGATGTACCGTTTTTTTCGAAACATCCGCATCAGGTGGAAAACCCCTCACTTTGATGGAATTGACGTACAAGAGTTTGGCGGACCTGACACCCAAGATATCAGAGGACGAGGCCAAGAATATGATCCGCAACAATCTCGTGAACATCAAAGAGAAGGCACGGACAGGAATGCAGGGGACCTTACAGGATAAGACGAACGCGTATTTAACGGATGCCAGACGAACGATCGTAGGCCGCGAGAACGTGGAAGCCGGTTCTATCGACTCCCAGCACCCCGATGCTGACAAAATCGACGCGGAACACCTCAAGAGGTACGAGGACGGGCTCAAGAAATTGGAGTATCACCCTACGTCGACCACAGACGGGGTCAGCGATATGTGGGACACTTTGGAAAAGTTGCATGGTCTGGAGACGATTCTGGAGAAAGTGAGCACTCCTAAAGAGAAGGCTGAGCTACGTGGTATTTTTGAAGAATTTTCCAAAGGGCTTTCAGACGCGTGGCACAGGGAAGTCGGCAGATTTGATGTTTCTGGACATTTTTCGGCTTCTAAGATGGGCGCAGGCTATGAGCAGGCTCGTGCCAGGGAGAGAACTATGCAGGTGCGCCGGAACAGTGTCTCAGGTTTCGTACGCGTGTGGAGAAAGATCTTCGGAGAGAAGATAGCGATAGCTGCAAGTGATGCTGTGGCTCTGCAAACGCGACCGGACGGAGGTACTGAAGAGATCAAAGAAAGTTTGGCTACCGTGAAAGCAGGGGTGAAAATGTTTTTTGACAAACTCATGTTCAAGATACCAGAGTTAAAAGACAAGCTGGAGGAATACATCAAGAACTCCAAAAGTTCATCGTCGAGCGTCGCTTCTACTTCGCCGGACAAGAACTCCGAGAGGTTGTCGTCGAGCGCCACCTCTCATGGGCATGATGGTGCGGTGAACCCGAATCCGGATGATGCGGTGCGAAACTTATGTAATGAACTAAGCGCGTACATTAAGGATGAGCCACAAGAAGAGCTGGTGACACTCGAGGAGGATCGAAATCCTGAATTTGCCATGGACGAGCCACAGGATATGAACCCCGGAACTGAAGGCAGTGCGAAGCCTGAATCACGTTCTCACGAAATCTCCGGAAGTAGGTTGAAGAACACTTTGGCCATGCTCGGGAATAAATTGAAGTTGACCGGGGAAGGATGGGCGCCAAGTATGCGAAAGAAAGTATTGAATGACGAGGAGGAGCAAATGGAAAAAGGTCGTGCCCTTGATCACGCCTTTGCCGTGGGTGCTCATCCACCGGAGTAAAACATGTAAAGCACGCGCCTCGTTTGAAAAATTTTTGTGCTTATATTTAGAATTTGGGTGATGATTTTATCTCAACTGCATGCGCATGTACAGATTCTATAGAAGTAGAAAGTATAGGCGCCAATCAAGTATGAAATAATGAGCAGTAGTTTATATCCAGTTGCGAAGAGAGGTCATTCGTGCAATACGAGTCGCGAAGTGCCACAAAGAGGGCGCTCATTAATACGATTGTCCATTGAAAATTGCTTTTGAGGAGGAGCAAGAGAAATAGTGAGTAATCTGTTTGATAATTCAGGCGTGATGTGATTAACGAGACTCAAAGAGATCATAAAGAAATAGCATGGAATTATGAGTAGAGTTCTCCAACATTCTGCGTCTATTTCGTTTACACTCAGAGGACGGCTGGTGCGGCAGCGGCTGCTAGTTCTTGGGGTCGTCGCTTCAATGGCAGTTTTATCATCAGAAAAAGGAAGTGATAATTGCTTTATCATCACCTAAACGAAAATTGTATTCCGTAGGTATGCCTATCGAAAGTAGATGAATGATCTGTTTAAACTTGAAGAGATCATAAGTTGGACACCTAGAGCTACAAATATTAGAAGTGTTGTGATGTCGTTGACGCGGTAGATTCATTTTCATTTTGATAGTCAAATAAACGTAAGATGGAGCTAAGAAACTGAATAGCAGATGCGACGTGATAGAATTATGGTAAAAATGTGGATAGTTACAACTTAATATAGGAAAAAGAACTACGACGTAGACGTACCAACTTTTATTCCATGACACAGAGAACAAACTGAATGTTGATCAGACAAGCAAGCAAAACGAAATGAACCATCTACCCTCACAAAATAAATAGAAGAAAGTGCAGTGATAAAAAGGGGAGGGTGTTTTTCTAAGTTGTGTGTAGCAATCAATACTACTGACCTCGCTGTCGATTTACTCACTGGAGGAAATCTTAGCTGGTGGCTGCGGCTGGTAGTTCTATTCCTAGATTAGAATCGGTATCGGAGCACGGTCTTCTTTCAGCTTCCCAAGACCTTATATAGTGTAGCTATAGAGAGGGAGCGTCGGGGAGTTTCCGTCTTTCGCTAGCAGACTTCGGCTTAGTTATGGAATCGCGTGTCGTCTTGTCGGTCCATAGCTCGGGACGCTTACATCAGCAGAAAGTGTTTTCTTGATATTGATCGTCCAAACGAAAATTGTATTCGACAAAACTACGATATTTGCATAGAAACGAACTACGGAATGACAGTGAAAGGTTGATTTAGGATAAGAAAAAGACTTCTCGACTCGTTATCGACTCAGTGAGTTCAAGACAATCAATCATTGATCTGAGTTACAGACGATCAATCAGCGAAGCAATACAGATGAAGATGAAGCGAATCGATAGTAGACAAGTTCAAGTGTGCACCGACCATGTACTTGCACTTGACATCTGCGGCACGCACAAAAATCGTGTTCATGATGTTCTGCTCGCTTTGTCTTCTCTTCATTCATTATGGCACAACAGACGGCATTCAACATCAGAGAAGCTCAGGGAGTTCACATAGACGATTCAGGGAATGCACATCGTCAGTTCCTACAAGTTTTCGGTATCATGTGATAACCTCTGGTTCTCGGTATTATGTGATAAAAACACCCGGATGAGTCGGTGCTGTCATGTAACGTTAGGCGCCTTCATGTTGGAGGACGATCTAGATATAGAGATAGAGCTGGAGGAAACGGCCCACAACAAGTAGAAGTTCTAGAGAAGTTCTAGAGACAAAGGCAGGAATTCTAGAGAAAGTCCTAGAATTATTTCTTCTAGGACTTGCTGCTTAGTAGAGAAAGTCCTGGAGCAAGTGGTCGACGAGCTCTCTCCCTTTATTGTCGGTGCATGGATCTCGGACCATTACCATTGAGAGCTGAGAGCGATAGCACTCCGTCTAAATATCCACTATCAAAAGAAGTCAAGCTCCCTCTTTCCCTCACGCTTAAGTGGCTTCCTTATGCTTATAGAGCCGCCCTCTTTCCCTTATGCTTAAAGGAACAGGTACGGCACAAGCATCTCCCCTCTCACTGAAAACGATTTAGGTTTAGCGCTGCTTCCGACAAAATAGGCACTCGATCGACGTCATAATTCTCAAGAAAATGAAAACGATAACCGACTACATGTTAGTTTGACCTAGTTATCTGCCTTCGTTGACCGTCTAGTCATCACCAAGACACCAAGAATTATAGCAGTAGAATACAAGGACCTCCCAGAGTATGAAAGAAAAAAGTGCACTCACACTCAGAAAAAGTGGCTATTTTCCTACTTAAATCCTAGCCAATTTCTTGAGTGTGAGTGCACTTTTTCGTTTCATACAGAGTAGCAAATGCAAAAATAGTCCTTTTGACCTAGTCATCAAGAACGTAGTCACCAAGCCATCTAGAACCTACTACAACAGGATGAATCGTCCGTCCATAGCCGATCTGCGTTCGGAGCAGCAAGCTGACCGTTCTGGAGGATCAGCTTTATTCGCAGACCCTTTGGGGATTCGGTCGGAAAGAAAACTCGGTGAATCTAGAAATTCTCCGGAACCGACAGGCATGAAGCTTCAGAAGTCCTACAAGGATCATGATGCAGTTAAGATCAGACGTAGCTGTGATTCGAATCGACTAGCAGAAAGTCCTTCAAGGAAGGCAATGCAAACACCTCTTGCTAGGCACATTCATTCATTCAAGATTTGACGTATTAAGTTTAGGTATTCTTGTTGGGAAATTCGAATGATCGTCTTCTAACTTTTCCCGCGATTCCTTTGTGCAGAAACAGCGCATATTGGAGCAAGCCAACCGTGCGGTTGTCAACGTGGAGGGTCGACAAAAATTTTCACCGGTCGACCAAGTCTTGCCTCCAGGGTCAACCTTGAATCTCGCTCTAGAAGATGATACGACAGGTAATGTGTTTGTTCCTGCACTAGACATTAAGGCTCATCATCAATCTTAATTTAAAGCTCCCTCCGGTCTGAGATACTTCTCACGCAAGCTGTTTTCCCTTTACTTTCACCGTTGAAACTTGAGAAGGGAAGCTGTCTCAGATAGTACAATATAGAGAAACTTTACGGTAAAGGGAAAACAGCTCCACCACGTCAAAATGGAAGATTTGGTTGATGAACTCTAAAGATCGGAGCAGAGGCGACGGGCTGAATACATCACAGCCTTCTCGTGACCCGGTGGTTCCTGGTGGAGATCCGCAGTTAAGATCCGAGCAGGACTATATAAGGAATAGAGCACTGGGTAACTTGATGATATTGGATGGCGCTCACTTAGTTGGAAGGTCAAGTTTCACTTAGTTGTGAGTTCTTCTTATCGGGAACAAACACATGATTAATGATAAAGCACTAAATTAAGACAACCGGTTAGCTTTTACCTCTGTCACGTAGATCTATCCCGTCAAACAAAGTAATGATAATGAATACAATATATCTTGTTCTTCACTCTCTAGGTCTAATTTCGGAACCACCTCCAGGAGGATCGTTCTATTCTTCCTCAAGCGCCATTCAGTACGTACAGAGACGGTTGGACGGTTCTAGTGCCAGGTTTAGAGACGCCGAGAAACAACCTGGCCTCTTTGATTGGACCGCTGTGACGACATGTTGTGGCCTTCGAGACCGCTCGATCCCACAACCCATGGATATTACTTTATGAAGACTGGTAGGTTGTCGTAATTGTACTAGGTGAGCCTATCTAGCTTAGATTGTTAGGCTAGTAGAGCCTACTTGTGCCTATGTCTAGAGGACAAATAGGCTCCTAGATTGCGCTAGGCTCAAGAGAGACTAACGACCTAGCGAGTCTCCATCTACGAGTTAGTAGAAGTCAAGTAGAGGAAGACGAAGACACTGTGCGCGAGCAGTACCTGTTTGGTGCATTGTTTGTGTCTAATCTCTCGACCAACCATGCCTCCACGACCGTCTCGAAAAGGAGGCATATCGACTGCAGGGCAGCAGCAAGAACCTTTCGGCTCTGCACCAATGGGAAGAGGGGGGTCAGCGTCGTATCTCCAGGCTCGTCCTGATGGGGAACTTTATGAAGATTAACATCTTCCTTGAAAATTGAAATTGAAATTGATATTTTGTGCTTTAAATTCAGTTTCAAATTAATACTCTTTAGAAGTTGTTATTGAAGTCGTCATTTTCTTGCCCTTTGCGCGTGCGCAAACATTCTTTCTACTTGATCATTCATAATAAATCCGGTCCTTCTGGCCTGCTAGGATACTGGGACGATGATGACGAGTCTGACGCAGAGATGAAACGAGAGAGAATGCGGAAGCAAGGACTTCCGAGTTTTTCCTACAACACCGCTGTCAATACGCCAGCCACGATTTTTCAGGATAACAGCTATTCTTATGCATGCATTTTCAAGATAATCATAATAGCGTGGGGGCTTTTGTGTCAGCATCTTCACAGGTTGAGGAAGTAATGAAGCTCGTCACTTTTTGAGAAAATACTTTTAAAAAGAGTCAAATGAAAGCTGGATATTCTGGATCACACTGGCAGTAGTATCATGACCATGAGCGCATCTTTTTTTTGTGAATCTGAATTCTAAGAACAATCGGCTGCTGCTTCTCCGAGTAAAAAAGTGGAAGGACCCGTTCCTCCGAGCAAGAGGGGTCCTGCTGCAGAAGACGCAGCTGCTGGAAATGCTACAACAGCTTCTTCACCAAGTAAGAAAGAAAGCGGTAAAACTTCGAAGGGAACGAGCTCTTTCAACTGGCCTGCTTGGACGCTTACGAAAAAAGAAGGTATCACGATTACTAATACTATTTGGTCTTTTTTTTTTCTAGTTAGGTCGGCTCCACCACTACAGTTACTAATACTATTTGAGTAGTTTCTATTTCTATCGACTATGATGTATTGTGAAACTTTCTTCAGTTGAATTTGTTCGATCAAGAATAGTACCAACAGCACCTCAACCACCTCTTCCCAGGTGTGATAGAAGTCCTTGTTGTCGACGAGGAAGCTGATGAGGCTATCCCTAGATGGGTCGACGGTATCGCTAAGCAAAGGGTAGTGGATGAAACGGGGAAAGATGCTTACATTTTATGCGAATACGATTGGGAAGGTGAAAAATTCGAAGAAGATTTCGGACCAGCTAGTGTGCGGCGGAAAGGGGAACGAGATAGCGTCGCGGCTGTGTGGGCAAAAGAAAACAAAAAGAGATGATTTCTTCTTGTGGACTACTAACGAGTAAGCCGTTGAAGTTATTGTTGACGAAAGAATATGCGATTGTAAATGGAATCTACCAGTCGTAGAACCAGACAGATTTAGATGGCTACCAAATTCGACCTGAGTGATCATTGGGAGCGCTGACCATGCACAGCACAGGAATCAACAAGAACTGTCGATTGCGAGTGCAGCTTTGAGGCAGCGATTCTGATGACCCTGTTCAAGATTTCAATTCCGAACATTTGAACAAGGACTGTCGTCAGTGCAATGTTTGCAATAGAGTTAAAGGGAACCAACTACTCCGTTTTCGAATGATGTAGCTAGAAGAAGATGAAGAAGCACCTCTGTAGAAATTCTTTTTCTTTATCTGTAGACTCTGAAAACCTGTCTCTGACTCTGTGTGTCTCGTCTTGAATTTCGTTCGGTGATTTTCGAAGGAAGAAGAAACTTGCTGAACACTTCGAAATGGAAATATGTAGCTATCGGTCGGAGGCCTTTTCGCGTCTCCTGATGTTTCGGTTCGCTCGCAAATTATAAATCTAAAAATGCTGACTCGGTATATTAGAAGATATCAGAGGCTTGGATACAGCGATCAGCACTCGCCGACTTCGCAGCCTGTACGACAGGGTCGATCGCTCGTGCGAATATATCAGATGCGGGAGCGCAAGCGGGGAGTACCATCGATCGGATGCTGCGTAAGTCGTTTTGTGCTTTCTAAGCAACTAGAAGCCTGCATGTTATGATTTTGTTAAAACTACACGCATAGGAAATAAGGTAAAGCATGGTGTCCATACACGAGGACAGACATGAGGACTGGCTAACCGGAGATTTAAGATTGTTGCACTGCTTCTAAGCGCTTCATCTTCTACTATCTTGTTCCCCGCCGGCGCATACAGAGCGTCGAGATGCCGGCTTTCTTGCGCTTCGACGAACTGGCACATTCCTGCGTTCAGGATATTCATGAGCGGTTCGCTATTGCTCACCGCACCCGCTCTGGAGTACCCGGACCGTCCGCTCAGCTCGGAGCTAGAAGAAGTCTAGTAACGTCGTTCGCTGAAGAGGCACCATCAAGTGCCACGGGTGCAAGTAAGATCGGAGGAGGAGGAGAGGACGATGATGAAGATGATGACAGAATGAATATCTTGGAGGAGGATGATAGTGGGAACGCTGAGCTACTGCGCGAAGAAGATGAAGCAAAAGTTCTAGAGGAGGAAGGAACAGGGTTACCTGGAGGACCGGGACCACAAGTCGGAGTTGGAGCTGGATCAAGTAGTACATCAAGTAGTAGTTCAGGACCAGGTGGGAGTGGAGGCCCTTCACAGTTGAAAACCCTTTTTGAGCATGTTGTACAGGGAACTCCTCATGCTTTTCTGTCCACTTTGGTTCATGCAAGACAGACCGCGGTGAAGGCTGCACACCCCGCAACGAAAACTGTTGGAGCCTTGCGTGAAACCGCAGCAGCCAAGCTTGGCTTGGGGTTGGAAGAAGACGCATCTGCTGAAACGCTCAATGCTGATAAGGATTTTCTGATCTCTGCTCTGCCAGTCCCGTTGCGACCCTATGCCAGACAGAAACTTGGTACCATTTAAGGCTCCCCCAATGATTCATCCTCCATCTTGTTAATAGCACCATGGATGCATCCTGAAGGTTCTACTCTTTTCACAAGTGAAAAAAGAGCTCCTTCATCTCTTTTCGAAGAATTCGAAGTTGTGGAGCTTCATCAGGATTCACATTTCAGCAGGATCTTCTAGATATGCTGCTTCGATATCTTCATGGAGATCATTTCAGGATTCATATCATATGCTTCGATATCTTCATGGAGAAGAAGCTCTAAACTAGCCGTTCCGTAGTTTGCGGGAATCAAGAACAACTGTTAGCGAATCCGGTTGTCCGTAATGCGTGGCTCACCTCTGGGGTGGACCCGGATTTGCAGGCAGCCTCTGAGAACAATGCCTGTGGACGTCCTATACACTACGACGAAGTCGAACACTATATTTAAGGCTAGCAGAAATCCATCTTCACAAGCATCCTGAGACCGTTTTCAAGGGGAAAAAGGTCCTCGGATGCGTCTCAGGATGGATTTCTCTTAGTTCTAATACATGCGAGAACGATCATTCGTACCGCCAGGGTGTAAAGAGTACCTGTTGGAAGCAGCAGCATCTTCTCCTGGCAGATCTGGAGGAGGAGGAGGTGCTGGGAAAAGTGCAGGAGCTCCTTCGACTTTATCAGGTTCATTATCAATCGCATCGTCTGTAGCAAAAACATCAACAAGTAGTTCTTCAAAGCTGTCATCCTCCTCAACACCTCGTCCAACAGACGTGATCGACTCCCTCTATGAGTCGGATGAGGTGCTCTCCGACCAAGACCGCTTCAAAGCTCTAGACGAAATCGCGTCGATGCAAGAACAGATAGAACTGCTGAAGACTGATCCAGACCGCTTTTCTCGCGCTCGTGCCCTCTGCGCGTTGCTGAGTCGTGAGGATCTCCATCTTCTAAAAAGTTCAGACATGACAAAGAGAATGTACGTAGATGGGATTTGTGCGGAAGAGGGGACAACGGATGCACAATTAGAAGCGGCGATGGGCAAGGTGTTTCGCGAAAAACAAGGAGGTACGATTAAGGCTCGACAAGAACGCAATTCATTTCCACGAGCGATTTCTCCTTCTTGTTCTCTCCTTCTTAGAATTTTCGGGAGAAATGTACGCAAGAAATGAAACGTTTTGGGCTCTAATGTTAGTATGCTCAAAGGACTGAAGGAAGAACTGGAAGACAGGAAGAAATTGTTGGCTAACTCGATTGCAGCAAAAATGCCGCAAGTTGAACAAATGCGCGCCTTTGAGGCCTCAGTGTTCGGAGCGATGGGTAAAGCACTGAACATTGTCGGTATTGAGGATAAGGGAGGCGCTTCTTCACGAGCAGTCCTGGAAGGTTCGAAGGACGCGGCTGGAATGAAAAATATCATTCCATCTTCTACTCCGACTGCTGCAGGAACGGTGAATCCCAGCACGATCATGGCCGCCTCTCCTAGAACTGCAGCAATGATGAATCCCAGCATGCTGCCCAGTCAGTCCTTTTTACAAGTAGATGGACATGGAGGTGGTGGTGATGGAGGAGGAGCTGGACCGTTCGCATCATCTTTCTCCAAGTCCAGTAATTCTCACGTTGCACCAGGCTCCAGTCAAGAACAAGATCATCAGTATCACGCTGTTGGCTTCGTTGATGCCTCCGCAGAAGGAGAAGCATCTTCAACTGGAGGCGCTACTGCAGAGACTGTAGTTGATAAAGGAGCGAAGATAGACGTAGAAGATGCAAGTAGTAGTACTGCGGACGCTGCAGCGACTAGTCACGGTGCAGGAGAACAACTCGATCCTTCTGCAGCACCTGCATCTTCAGCTTCAATTTCCTCGTCATCTTCAAGCCCAACGGCTACAACTGCAACACCAGGCTCTTCTTCAGGTCTAACTCCTGCTCAAGAGGAGTTCTTTCAGAAGGAATTTGGCGTGGATCTTGCCTCCGCTTCTCCGGAGACGAAGGCAGAACTCAAAGAAGTCTTCGATCCTCGCAAGGGACCGCCGTCGTATGGAAAATTCGATGATTGGGTGGAGAGCGCGAAAGCCAGAGATTTTCCTGGAGCGCATATGCCGCCAAACAAAGCAGCGTTTCTGCACAACGCCGCATCCACTTTCGGCGCTCCTCCTTTGTCGCCGGCGCTCGCAGCTTCCTTGGGTCTGCCAGTTGGCGGAGCTATGGCTTTGGGCGGCGTGGGCGGTGCAGGAGCACTGGGGATGGCGGGCATGGCGGGAGTGCCTGGCGCATCGGCCATGATGGGAGGTGTTCCTGGCGCGGCCGCATTGGGAGGTGTGCCTGGTGCCGCTGCATTGGGAGGCGTGCCTGGTGCCGCTGCATTAGGAGGTGTGCCTGGCGCGGCCGCATTGGGAGGCGTGCCTGGTGCCGCTGCATTGGGAGGCGTTCCTGGCGCATCGGCATTAGGTATTCCGGGAGCATCATCACCGTTAGGCGGTGTGGGTAGCGTTCCCGGTGTTGCAAATCTAGGCTCTCTCAGTAGTGCGTTTCTTAGAATAGCAAGTACTAGCGCTTCAGGAGACGTTCACTCGTTTTTGGAAATCGGGAAAAGTGCATCTACTACTTCTCGCACGAGTTCTAGAGGAATGCATCATGCACAGGACCATAACGCTGCATCAGCTAACCTCTATGACAACCTCTATGACAATCTTTCCCGACATCGGCACCATCGGAGAGCGAAAACTTCATCTACAGCCACAGGAAGATGGCGTTACAATCCTCGGAGGCGGCGTGGTAGAACTGCTGCTATAGCACGCAACTCTCTACTGCCACAGGTTTTGGACGCTGCACCATCATGGGAATCTGCTAAGGACCTGCAACATGAAGGTGGCGATCATGAACATGACAAGGCATCAAGTAGTACAGTATTTGCTGCAGCTGCTCCTCCTGGTCCTGGTCCTCCTGGTGTTTTCGTGGCTGCTGCTGCTCCTCCTGGTGTTACAAAGGAGGTTCTTGAGGCGAATGCAATGTTGAAGAAGCTAGCTCCACCTGTAGTTTCATCCAAGAATACAGATATTCAACACGAAGTTCCAGAGGAAATCGACGCTGCTGCTTCTGAAGCCGCCACTCTGCGACAACAATTGCTCCAAGACCGTGAACAGCTAGTTTCGCAGATCGAGGCGCGGAAAAAAGAGAAAGAAGCTATTGCACTGTCAGAGAAGCACCTTCGTTGTGCCAGTACAGTAGTAGAGGAGACTCCACCTAATGTCGTTACGCCTTTCTTGAAGAACGTAGCAGGAATCGAGACACCTTATCCGCCTCCTGTGTGCATGAATCTGCCGCCTAGAGATTTCCGAGATCTGGAGCACTTCGTGTCGCGGGAAAACGAGGCAAGACTCAGGGACTTCAAAACATTGTATGTGCGATGCAGAAATCCAAGAGGAGGTGGAGGTGAAGAAGGCGGCGACGCCAGGACAGTTGCAGAATCTCCGAATTACTTTGCTTCTTTGTTGTTATTATGTCCATTGGGGTTGGTCACTGAGATCGAAAAGGCGACCCCTTTCGAGAACAGGGGAAAACGAAGGGAAACGGGAGAGCTTTGAAGGGGGTCTCTTCTGTTCAGAGTCAGTGACCAATGAATGCTGAGCTTTAATGTTACCACCAAAAGAACGTGCAAAGCTCTACGAAACCTACGATGCTGAGAAAGCGGCAGAACTCGATGCGGAGCAACAGAAAAAACTTGGCGTCGGTGACGCAAGTCTCCTTTACGGCTGTTTCTAATCCTCCGTCTCTATAATAGGGATAGGGATCTTCCCTCAACCATAAGCATAAATAATACAACAGGGGAAGTGAGAGTCAGGGTGTTACTGATACTGCATCTGCATGGGGATGGATTTTTACGGGTAGCGCTAATGGATTGGTGGTAAAGACGAGCTGAACGCAGGAGCCGCTATCAGTGGAGCGTCTTTGTCAGGGCAGATCGTCGATCGTTACCGCGTGCTTGTGCATGAAGTGCAACGATGTCAGGGCATAGGCGCTTACAAAGTCAGGAGCGCTCTGGAGACGGACGAACAGCGCGTAGCACACCAAGAAGCGATATTGAGGGAGCATTTAGCTCAAAAAGAGTTGGGAGGAGGAAAACAAGCGAATAATGTCTCTGGAATTCTAGTAGAAGAGGATGAGAGGAGAAAATGTCTAGCTGCATTGGACAAGCTGATTGTGATTGAAGATGGCGGCTCGGCGGTGGACGAAGGCAGTAATGCAGCTCTTGGTGGGCCAGATGCGTTGGAAGTGGTGACGGAAGTAGATCATGGTTCATCTTCATCTGCCCTCGGAAGTGGAAACGCTGTCCCTGCGACAACCAGTGGCGCATCTGCAGTAGGCAAAACCTTCTTAACATTTGAGGGTTGGATCAAAGCTCCGAAGGAGTTTAAAGCTGAGAAAACAGCAACATGCTCTGAGACGGGAGAACGGCCCATGAGCGCTGGAGGGCAGGGGTTAGATGAGTCCGTGGTGGACTTTGAGGAGAAACAGATTCTAAATGGTGGTAGTGGTGGTGGTATTGGTGACAATAGTTCATCTGCGACTGCTGGTGCTGCTGCACGTGCACCACCGGACGCCAATAGAGACGAATCTGCACCAGCAGTACTACCTGCGCAGAATGCGCCGGCGCCAGGTGGAGCATCAGGCGTGAAGACAGGCAGCGACGGAAAAACGAAGAGTGGTCTCCTGGAGCTTAGCCGCGATAGAACAAGAGAACCTTCATCAGAAGTGGCGACTAGTTTCAAGGATGAGGTGAAGGCGGGAAAGGACGACGCAAGAGAATCTTCCAGCCCTGGTGGAGCAGATGCTTCGCATTCCCCAGAAGAAGATCCTGATAAATACATGAACTACAAGGAAGACCTGCCTCAACAGAAGGCAGAAACTCTAGCTAAAGCTGGCGCATCTGGGGAAGGAGGGGGGAAGAAAGTCGCAAGTGCTGCTTCGAAAGGTGAAGAACCATCTCCCAACTCCACTTTCACGTCTTCAGAAGAAGACCAAGTTGTACCTCCACAATCAGGCTCTGCCCGTCGGCACCTCCTCAACCGTTTAACACGAGACCCGGACTCTTTTCTCCATCGCTTCGTGGATCAAGAATTCGTGGAAATCAAGGACCCGGAGCGCGACTTTCACCGCTTGCCAGCGGCCTGTGTCAGTGCCGACCACGCAGTGGAGTTCGAGTTCTGGCCTAGCTTGCCGCGTCGTCGCAGTGTCGAGCTTCCTCTATGGACTAAGAGGATCAAAGCAGACCGTGATGAAGGGATAGAATCGGAATTGCGCACTTGGCGGACGTTTAAATCCTTGACGAAACCGTTTGAAGAGAAGGCAGCCGCCAAAAACAGCAAGTTAGAATCCGAGGCAAAGCAGAAGATGGCGGAACCAGCTTTAGGCTTGTATGAAAAAACCTTTTGGAAGCGGGTTGGCGGCTTGCCAAACTTTGATGTGGGAGAGACGAAGAAAAATGCAGGTGCGATGTGTGAGGATGGAGTTGAACCTGGGAGTCATGGTGGGGATGATGAAGAAGGTAGAATGTCAAACTCTAGCACGTCTCTGCGTTGTACCAATCCCCGACCACTCGTGATTCCTGGTGTGCACTGCAAGAAGTCAGAGTGCACAAAAGGCGACCTCGAGAAGAGCTGTTGTGCAGATACGGACTCCTTGGAGCCACTACAGGATGAGATTGACCTGCAAAAACTCGTCAACTCTCCAGAAGCCACACTCGAAGATGTCTTCGGTTTTCTCACCGATAAAACTTTGAAGAAGCATCCTGCATGGGAAGATGACGTTTTTCCACCATCGTCGGCAAATGCAATGTCGGATCTTACTGCTGCAAAGGCGAAAATACGAGAGGATCTCGACCATGAAATTGAACATGAAGTCTTGGGGGACCGCGAGAAACCCGCTGATCCGTCTGATGCGGTGCGTTCACTCCGTTACACAAGCTTTTCACGCCAGTTTCGTCAGGCTTTTTTGCGTGCACAAGCGGCAGGTCGCGCAGGCCGTCTATGGGCGAGTCCTGAGGTGCCGCCAATTTCTTTCCCTGATACGATGAAAATGGCAAAAGATTGGAAGACAAAGCAGGAAGGGATGCGCATTCCCGTATCGATGCAGCAACCTTTTCCGATTCCAGAAGCCGAGAAGTCGAATATCAACAAAAACTTCGCGTGGGTCAATCTACACAAAGTGCATCACGTAGAACTCAAAAACGTCGGACAATGCAAACCGGGGAAATACTTCTTGGAATGTAAACCACGCACTGCAGAGCAAAGACCTGTTGGAGGAGCATCGTCTTCTTCGCGAGACGGCGTCGTAGGAACCGCGAACTACGAATGTCGATTTCGATTTCGAGGAGATATTAGACAAAGATCTTCGTCAAAGATCCATACTCTATCTAGAGCAAGAGAGCTCGCCACAGTACTCGAAGCAGCACCTCCTAGCGCTGATGGAACAGAAGTTGTAGGCCAAGATCCACGCTACCTGTATCCTCAGCGTGCGCCAATGATCTGTGAAGATATCGCTGAGAAGAAAAAGTGTCCCGCACTTCCTTGCGAGTGGCAAGCCGACAAGAAACGCTGTCGGACTCGCTGTGACCGACTCACCGGTCCGAGACAGCATCTGTGCACAAAAACTCGAAAGCAGTGCAGTTGGATGCCTAATCCGGCAATGCCTGAAGGTGGCGTCTGCGAAGATGCGTGTGAGCGTATTCCTAGTGCGGATAAGTGCACCAGCGAAAGCTGCACCTGGGACGAAGGACAGAAACAATGTCGAGATACCTGCAAAAATGTTGAAGAAGAAAGGTGTGGCCACGATGCGCATTACAGCCACTGCGAATGGGATAAGAAGCGTCGTACCTGTCAGGATGTGAAAAGTTGTGCAGAAACGCCAGGTCCGGATGTTTGTAAGCCAACCTGCACAGCTTGCTGGAATCGCAGGGTGAAGATAAAGGTGAAGGAGGACCATAGTGGTGAAGGTGCTGCTGCTGCTCCTGCTGCTGTTAAAGATGCTGCTTCTACTAGTGGCGACACTGTTGACGATGATCTTCAAGGCGACGAAGAAAAGGTGCTGAAACTACCATCTGAATCTCCATCGTCTTCTTCGAAAAGTGTTAGTTCCATGCTTGAGAAAAATGAAGGTGAACTCGAAGACACTGCAGGAGACACTAGTAATCAAGGCGTTCTTGACAAAGACAAAGCAGATCAACAAGAACAAGATGATCTCTCACCAGAAGAGCAGTACGCTAAGCTCGAAGCCGACCTAGAGCCTTGGGAAACTGGTACTTGCGGTAGCAAGATCATGTCTGCTTTCAAGCAGTTCAAAGACCGACGGCAGAAGATTCTGGATTTGCGGTCTAAACTCATCGCTGGGGGCAACGACATTTCGAAGCTCAGTGCCGCTGAACAGGCGCGCCTAAAGGTGGAAACCGATTTTGAATTGATGGATAAAGCGCAAAAAAGCGCAAAAGACCTCTTTCCAGACGAATGCGCCTGTCGAAAATGCACTTCTGACGACCAAGAAGAGCAGATCTTAGATGGTTACCGCTTCTCCCACTACGGGTGGTTTGACGGGGCCATGCTGTTCGGCAAAGTGGCGCACGAAAAAGCGTGTGCAGATGTCTGCGAACGTGACACGGGAGATCCGCTGTTGAGGTGCAAAGGATTCACCTTCGTACGACGAAATCATTGGTGCTACTTATATCCGGACGTGGATGTCGCGAGTGGGAAAAGTCATGCGCGGACTATCGATGTTTTCCACGCGTTTCATAAAGAGCGACACGAAAAGGAACTGGCGCAAGCAGAGAAGCAGCATGCTGAAATGAAACGACTCGCGAACGATTCAGACGCCTTCATGAAATTGATAGAGAAACAGGAAAAGGGGTACGTTCACGCAAACGGAAATCTGATTGACCGTTCTCATCCGCCGACTAGTGGCTTGTCTCCGACTTTGAGCTTGTTGGAGATTCGAAATGGCACAAAGGACCACAAGGCCCCCTCGTTGGTGTCCGACTCACGCTCGGGTCTTGTTTCATTGCCGCCACTGGTGCATTCCGAAGGGTCTGGTCGTGCTGCTGCTCTTGCCCGAAAAAACCCTTATCATCATCGAATTCTAGGAAGCGCTCTTTTCAACGGACAGCGACCGCTATCTGTTTCGTTGTTTCACGAACAAACGGCTTTTGCGGAAGATACAGCCTCTGTCCAAGAGGCTCCAGCAGACGGCGCAAAAGAACCAGAGGACGATGCGAAACCAGATAACTCGGCAACTGGAGAAGATCCCTCCGATGCACCTTCCGAAGAAAAGAACAAACGTCCAGGCAAAAGAAAGATCCCAGAACTACTTCAACCCAGAACCTTTCTGAAATGTGGTCCACGTGCGTGTGACCGAGAGTTGCGCGAGAAAGAGCCTCGTCGTCAAGCAGTTCACGAAAGCTCGACTAGTAGCCTTGGCGTGGACAAAGAGTTCACCATTGATTATAACAGTGGACTTCGTGGATTCGGTCGGTCGGGCGGGCTTTGCTACTGTCCCTTGTCGAAGGAGTTTCATTGGGTCGGCGATGCGGGGTCTCACTGCGGTGAAAAGAACAAGATGAGTAACCGTTGGTCCGAAAGATGGGTGTCGGAGAAAGAAGTAGCTGATCGAGAAGCGGAGGAAGCCGCGCTTGCAGCGTCGAAGAAAAACGATATCAAAGCGCCATCCGCTCATAGTGAAACATCTGGAACTGCCGTTGCCGATATGGGAAAACTGTACAAGCAGTCTGGTGGTAAAATGCTTTTCCTGGATAGGAATGGAACTAGGAGTAGCGCAAATAGTAAGAGGAACGAACAACTAGATCAAGGTCCGATGATGCTCGAACTAGATACCTGTCAAGGCGGAACCTTGGTCGGGCAATGCCATGCGACGTATCCTGAAGAGACGGCAAGGAAGTGGAGCAATAGAGCTGTCATTTGCGCTGCACCGAAAAGCATGGACTGGGTAAAGATTTTCAAAACGGACCCCAGCTTCGGAGCGGCGAAAGATAGTACTCACGTCTTGCCCTTGGAGGACCCGGAGATGGTGGCGGATACTTTAGGCACAGATCATCAACGACCTGCGATTCTGCGGCGAACCTGCAAAACCTGTGCAGAGCCTTACCGAGAACTCTATATTCGTGTGCACGACAAGACACTGAGTGGAACGTATTTTGCACCTTTTTGGAGAGGAATTTACCAGATGGCGAATAAAGGTGGAGTGGTAGTTGGTGAGGGTGGAGGCAGTGGTGGTGGTTCTGCTTCTGGAGATGACGATGCTGAGGAAGTAAAATACTTAGACATCAAGTCCGCCAACGGTCAGGATCCATCAGGTGCTTTTTCTGTCAGCGTCTTCAAGTCTTTCGAGGATGCACAAGCGTGTCAAGCTCCAGGCCTAGTGCGCGAGTTCCCTTTACAGGAGCATCCGTTGGGGTGTCAAGGCGCCTTCAAGTTCTGCAAACTCGCGGACGGAAAGCATGCGTTTCCTTGGGGATGTTTGCCGACTGCAGAAGCGGAGAAGGCGGCTGTAGGACTGGAGAATAGTGCAGCAGAGGCTGCAGCAGGAGGGCCCTCAAAAAAAGTCTCTTCGTTACTTGCAATAAGTACGTCAAAAACCTCGACTTCCTCGAGCAGTTTTGCTGCCGCTGGACAAGGAGATTTCGGTCCCGTGGACCCCAACGCGCTGCCTTTCAACGACGATGACGCCTTCGAAGATGACGATGGAGATGGTGCTGCGGGGGCCTCCTCTAGTGATAGCTCTGCAAGTGCTGGGGGTGCTCCTGTTGCAGGTTCTCGAGGTGGTGGACCAGGTCCAAAAACGCTAGAAGACCTAGAAAGGATGCTAGGTCAAGACGAAAACGCTATCACAGAGTGGAGCCTTTACCGCGGACAGCCTAAGAGCGAGCCTGACGTCGCCGCTGTTAGCGATGAGTGCGTCATTAGCTTCAACGCGAAAGTGAATCAATGTTATGGAACAGATGAAAAACTCAAATTTTTTGTTCCTGATTTTTTTACAACATAAGCAGTACTAGTTTTGAGGTTTGTTTTCGTCTTTCTACTTTTAGGCTATCCCTTCATGCAAGTACTTCTTGTTTTGCAGCAGTTTCTCGGGCGTCTGTCTATGTCGTTAGTTATACTCTTTCTTCCCGCCACCTCCGGGGACCTCTAATTCACGCAGATATCTCCACCTGGAGACCAGGATAAGTTGCAGCCTTACTACACCGCTGACAGTATCGGAGATGAGGGTGGGATTGGTGATGGACCTGCTGCGAGCAAAGATTTGTGGTTTCCGGTAGATTTGAGCCAGATAGAAAAAGCACCGCCACCAGCGAGAGTTGGGAGTAGTGCAGCTCAGGGCGCTGCTTCTTCTGCAGGTGGAGGTGCTGCAAGTATGAATGGGAGTGGCGTTGCTGCTGCAGCTGTGTCTGGTAGTGCGAGTCGCGCTGCGTCGGCGCCTTCTGCTCCTCCTGGTACGGAGTCTCCTGATGCACCACCGACGTCTTTGATTGAAAGGCATGACGAAGATGCTTTCGGGATGAACAATGAAGATGACGAGAGTAACCTCTTCCTATCAGTAGATGAGCCGTTCCTTCCGATCAAGAGAAGCGCAGCAGCTACGCAGACATCAACTCAGAAGCAGATAAAGGTGTTTGAAGACGAGCAGGTCGACGAAAGTGGCGAACAGATGATGCGAAATCGAAAGCGAGACACAAGAATGGAAGCGTTGGGCAAATGGCTTTTTCCGCGTGAGGTCGCATCGTCTACAGATTCATCGTCTTCAACTTCATCGTCTTCAACTCTGCCCCATCATCATCATGTTGCTACGACATCGTTCGACCCTCTCTCTCAACTTGTGGGACAGGCGATGGGAGGCAGTAGCAGTAGTGCTGTAGGAGACCTTCAGTCAGCACAGGCTAAGAGCAGGAGTATGTTATCAGGAGTTCTCGGAAAAGTAGGACTAGGTGGAATCCTGCACACGAAAATTAACCTCACTGACCTACAAGCATCAGCAGGGTTATCACCTAGCATGGCCAATGCTTTGCCTGGTGAAGTGAAGAACCTGTGGCGAAAGGTGCGAGTAAAAATCCCTTCGATGGGCGTCGAAAATGAGCCTTTCCGCGTTGTGATGAAAAGGAAGGAAGAGTATGTTGATGAACTCGGAGATGGAGATGATGGTGCAGCAGAGATTTCGAGTACAACTGCACAAGAACAATTAAGGCTCAGCTTTCAATGGTCATTGGGGTTGGTCACTGAGATCGAAGAAGCGACCCCTTTAGAGAAGAGGGGAAAACGAAGGGAAAGGGGAGAGCTTTGAAGGGGGTCCCTTCCGTTCAGCATCAGTGACCATTGAAGGCTGAGCTTTAAAACAAGGAGAGCAAGATCCAGACAAGCAGAACGCTGAAGAAAACGCGAAGTCAGTTGTTCCTATCAGTACGTCCGCAGAAGAAGTCGCATTGCGGAGGCGCATGCGGCAGGTGGAAACGGCAACTAAGACACATGCGCAGGGTCTACTGGATGCTAGGAGGAGAGTTGAAGGACGACCTACTTCGATGGAGATGGAGGAGCAGCGGTTGAAGAAACGTGCCTCACAACAAGGTGCTGAGGGTAAAGACGCAGGACCACTAGCTGGTGTTGAAGAGAAGGGTGAGGAAGATGAAGCTCTTCTACCACCTGTACCTCCTGCTGGCGAGATGGACCCGTCTGCTACTGGGATGAAGGCTCCTGAGGAAGAGACGGCCTTGTACAGCACTTGTGCGTCGCAACTGGTCTCTAGCGTGATGCGGCAGACGAGGGAACAGAAAGCCGCTATGCTCATCGCGATGGGTCGCGATGAAAAATTTTGGCAGTTTCTTTGATGTTGTGCAAACCCTACCACGCGCAACGCATAGTTCTAAGAACTTGTATTCATCACGTACCACGTCAGGACTAGGTGCAAGTGCTACTAAGAACTCATCTTTCATTCAGCAATAGAAGCGGTGTTCGCTAGCGAGCGTGAGAAGAGGAGAGGATTCAAGAAATTGAAAGTCTCACTTTTATCATTTCGGAGACTCGCGCCTCAAATTGTCACTGCACAAAAAATCCTACTAGTGACGCCGAAGATGATTTTCGTATCACCAACATACCGGTTGGCGAAACATACTTTTTTACTCTCTCTGTATTTGTATTCAATTTCATGGACGATAGCCCTCCTGTGCTTGTCCTCGTCGTCGTCTACCTGCGTTGAAGGCCGTCGTGTCTTCGGCGACTCCTTTTCCGCTTCTGTGGCCTCTCCCTTCTTCCGAGGGATTGAGATTGCGCGAGCTGTAGGAGGCAGACGCTTACGCAGACGCGGCCCTACACCTCCTCCTCCGAAGGTGGTGCGTCTTCCCGGCGAAAAACCTCCTGGATATGGATGGGGTTCTTTCCATCCTTGCTTACGACCATTCTGGTACTCATTTAGTATTTGTAAGGATAACGTATTCAAATTCTATTTCTACTGAATTGAAGGTGAAAAACAAGAACTGCTAGGATGGTCGTGGTCTGCTTGGATGAAAAAAGCGCCCCTGTTCATACTGGAGAAGATTCAGACGATGATGATAAAAGAGATGGTAGAAGAAGTGCTACGACTACTGCTGAGACGAGGGGCCGTACAAATGATGAAGATGGACGATTGCCTAGGAGAGGACCATCAGGCTTTACTACCTTCACAACGCCAGATGGTACTCCAGTAAGAGCTGTAAGTGCGAGTGCGAGGGGGGGGAGTCCAAGTCCTGGGCCAGGTGGTGCAGCTGCAAGTAATGGAGCCCGTGGTAAATCACCTCCATTGGGAGCTCCAGCACCTGCACGAGGTTTGGCAGACGAAGTACTCATGAGCATTCCGAGTCGTGCGCGAGATGGCATTGGAGAACCTTCTAAAGGTTCTAGACATGGAAGTCGCTCCCCGTCTGTGCCTGTGGAAAGCGAAGCGATGCCTGTGACCCTGCCTCTAGCAAGGTATAAACTATCGCAGTACAACAGGGACAATAATGCAGATCATCATGATGCTGCACAACCTAATCCTATTATTAAGGCTCAGAATATTTCATTTCTAGAAGTCATTTCTCGCAATTTTCTTCTTGGGAATCTGAAGAAATGAACGCAATAAATGAAATGTTTTGAGCTCTAATATTAGTAGATGTGCAAGTGCAACTCCTACTCCACGAAAAATAACAAGTCGAGACCCATTCGCCGAAGAGGACAGCTCTGATCCCGTCAAGAATATTGAAGAAAGAGTAGGGATACTGCGGAAGGAAAACCCGGCAAAGAATCACATTTGTGAACTTACTGTTGCGCGTGGGTCCGAAAATGAGTTTTCGCAGTTGATGCGTGTGGGGAGCAAAATCATCCTCATGTCGAGGACGCGCACAGGCTTAGAAGATGCTTTCGTGAAACTTGACCTCACTCTTTCTATGCGCGACTTGACGGATCCACGTGTGAACAAACGAACAAGAGACGATGTGGAGGAAATGATGAAAGGAATCCGACTGTCCTTTGTCACACTACTAGAGAATTACGTTGGAGGATCATGCTCTGCGCCGAATATGTACACGAAGGTGGAACCGAGATTGGTGGCGTCGTTATGGTTTCTGAGACTAGAATATTGAGTTCAGGTCCATTTTTGTGATGCTCGGATAGTTGCTCATCGCCGTTTTTTTGAAAGTCGTGAAGCCAGGAACACGGCTTCCTTCAGGCTGTTGATCAGTATAATTATTTGGTAAGAAGTTAGGGATCTGAGACAGATTGATCAATCCACTATCGCCTAGAAAAACTGCATTATTTGGGGAATCCATGACTTCCGCCGGCTGCGTCTGCTCTAACCTCACACGCTGTTTTGCTCCAGTTCTTCGCTCCCCTTCCCGGTTTCCGTTCTGGAGATAGTGGCTCGAAAAAACCTGGCAGAGTCGTGACAGTCCTTCACGCCCTCTGGGCTCTACGCATTTTGGAGTATCAGGAAGCTGTAGAGGCGGAGCGAAAGCGACAGGCACGTCGAGGAACTGAAGATCAGAAAGCTGCGAAATGGTTGGAAAAATTACAAGCCGAGCATCCGGTGATGTCAGAAAAGGAGAGGCAGAAGCGATTTAGAGAACACATCGCGGCATTGCGGCGCGATGAAGCAAGTAGTGAAAGGGAGGGCCACTTTATTATGGACTTACAGATTGGTTGGTTGCTTTTGTTTGGTTTGCTTTACCTGTTCATAGTGTTTACCAGTTCTAATATTCCCTCCCACGATTCTCGGCATCCCCCTATCACGACCTGCTCCGACAACGGAGCCGGACATCACAACGACCGGCACAGAGACCAAGAAAATACATTCCCACAACGTGTTTTCTCCGCACAATACGATCGTAGTGAGCTCTGTCGCATGCGTGGTGGCGCGAGAAGTGTGGCAGATAGACGTGAGGAAGACGAGGTTTTTAGTGGCTCCTCACCACTCCTGAGGGGCTTCTCGAACCCACTAGTACCTGGGTTGAGGCAAAGCTTGGCGAGGAATGGGAAATTGAAGGCAGCTTTGGCGAATAAGGAATTTTGGTTATGTTCTGAGGTTTTTAGATGTCAAGAGTTCGAAGGAAAGGACAGATCGACGAGGTCCTTCTTCGCTAGCTAGGAGAAGCAATTACTTGAGGAGAACAAAAAGCAGAAATTCAATGTGTTAACTTGACCTCAACATTCTCATTCTTCACCCCACTTGGTACCTGTACGACTACGACCACTACAATCTCGTCTTTCATCCCTCGCCGAACACCTCGAACACACAATCGATACCTTTTACGATCAGGTTAATTGGCATTTGAGACGATTGCCTGGCTTTGACCCTTTAGAAATACAACAACGCATTCAGCAGACGTATCAGACCCTCGACGAGTACTTGCCAGGTGGCAAGCGGTATAATGGCAACCTCGAGTACCGGGCTACTATCGATCGTGGCCCGAGACGTTCAGGAGGTAGTGGAGGAGGGGGTGGGTATCCGTATCCTATTCCTAGTGGAAGAATATAGATTCAGTTTTAGAGGACAAAGAACTTATTTGCAGTAGTCCTGTGGTTGATAGTGGATTTACAATTTGTGATGAACATAGCTTGGTAAAACACTGCATAATTTGTGTAGATACAAAGGCGTAATTCTCGGATTTAGATCTGGTTCAGGAGAAGATGTTGATTACTTGTTCTGAAAAAATCACATCCAAAATGCTCTGCTTGGTTGTCTGCGAAATCCAAAGATTCATTTTCATAGCCCTAGTAGATCTAAAACTAGATGGGGGCTCATCTTTGTTCGGAGGAGATGAAGTCACCAAGTCTCATCCGCGATTTTCTTTGCAAAATAGGAATTCAAATTCGACAATTTGTGTTCATCTTCAATAACAAAATTATGTCGGTATGATGCATGGAAGAGCTGCTGGAGCCTGGAGGTTCCCGTTCATGTGAAAAAATATCAAGTGTCACTTCTTTCCTCAGTTCCGTGTCGTTGTTAGTTTAGTCAAAACCTGTGTGAGTAAGCATCGTGGCGAAACACTGTGTCTGCACTGAAAACTGTGCGGGATTAATTCTAATGTATTGTATTGGATGCTGATCTCTGAATCTCTGAAGTCATATGTTCAGCGATCTGGTTTCCGTGGAGTATCTTGAATGTGAATCTGGGAAGAACGACTATGCTCTGCTGCTCCTATAAAAACAAGAATATGCTGCATGAATCCGAATTGAGATGATAGTAAGGCCTGCTTGATGTCGACGTATGATCAACCACATAAGGAGGTTTTTTTAGTTCCATACGTTTACGTCAATTCCATTTACGATTCAAACAACAGGAGCTACGACGAGAGGCACCTAGAAGAAGTAAAGTAGTTCGTCACTTATGCCACTTATGGTTACGATATGACGTTACGGTTACACAAAATAATCGATTAGAGCGGTAAAAAAGATTACGAAATAATGCCAGGGGACAATCCTCAAGTCCCTGCTGGGGATGCTCAGCCATCAGGGAGCAAATCAGGAGCAAAAGTTTCTGCTCCACCACCACCCGGAAGTAATCCCGGAAGTAATCCCTTCAATAACCAGCATCATGCAGCTCAACCAGGTGCTGGACTCGCCCTTCCAACGGGTCCGGCTCCGGCAATGGTAGGCGCACCACGTCAGCCCAGGTCGGGACCACCTCCAACTTCGACTTTTGGTGTACCATTTGGAGGCGGCGCTCCCATTCCATTCGACCAAGAGGATTTTTCGAACTCTCTATCAAATCTGCCTCCACTACCTGGTCCAGATGCTGCGATAGGCGGGAACAATCCCTTTCTAGTACAACAACAGATCATGAACATGCATCCAGGAGGAGCTCCTTTCATGATGAAAGGTGGTCCAAAAGGAATGAAAGGTGGAGGCAAAATGATGGGCGTGCCACCACAGCAGAGCCATTTAATCCCCTTAGCTCAAGTAGACAACGCAACGTTTAGCATGACAACAGCATCTGCAGTTTCGAATATTCAAGAGGCTCAACAGACGATCAAGGCAAAAACTTTTGGTCGCGTAGCGAAGGATGGAGAGTTGAACGCTTATTCGCACGTGTGGGCACGTGGCAGCGGACAACCAGGAGAGCAGGTAGCGAAATGGGCCCCGGATCTGGTAGATCACATCTACAATCGACTCCGTTCTCATCAGTTCAACCGCATAGACTTGCAGGCGTTGGAGTTCAGCGGCTTTTTGGAGAGGTATCTGTGGCCACACGTGTTAAGGGCAAAGCGACAGGACGAACAGGATGCAGATGTTGAGGAACTGAAGAGCAAAATTGCAGCTATCGAGGAGAAAGAGAAGGAAGATGCTGAGAAGCCCAAGGATGACGAAGGCAAGAAGGAAGAAGGAGAAGATCATGGAACAGCAGTGTCAGCTGAAGGTGAGAAGAAGGTGGATGCAGCGGAAGGTGAAAAGGTAGAAGAAGCTTCGAAAACGACTACATCAAATGGTGGGGATGCTGATGCAAAAACAGACAGTGAAAAGAAAGACACCTCTACTTCAACTAAACCCACGAAAGACGGGGGCAAAGGAGACGTGAAGGGTAAAGGCAAGAAAGGGAAGAAGGGATCCTTTGCTGCTGCTGCTCTCCCTATCGACGAAGCGCGCATGTTTCCAACTACTACTGTGAATGGAAACGCACAAAACGCTTCTACGTTTCACCAGCAAGTCGCGCAGACCATCAAGTTGCCGTTGATGGACGTCGATGCCCTGTGCGAGCCAAGAGCTCTAAGCAGGTCGCATGTTTTGCTGATCGTGCTCATGTTTTTGGAAAAGTTCCGGGATTCAGTTGACGGCTTTCAGACCATCGATATCGCTTGCGCAAACCGCTTTTCGCTGTTTTTTGAAGCCTTCCTAGACCAGGTGAATGCGCCAGACTGCTTGGTAACGTATGCAACAGCGACCCAACGGGTATCTACGAGAAAAGTTCGTTTGTCGAGACGAGAATACACTTTCTATCTGCAGTTTTTGACCCAGTGCTTCTCGAGCTACGAGCAACCAGCTATTCGGGAAGTGGTCATGAGCTTAGTCGGTCTGCCGTGTTGGCTGCACTTGAGTACACAGCGGCTTGAGGCGACTTTGAAAACAAGTAAGCAGTACAGAAAGTACTGGAAAGCAGTAGTCCAGAAGTTTGGATTTGAAAAAACCGATCAGAAGGCAATAACGACAACTGATTCATCTAGTACAACTGCTGCTGCACAAGGACAAGGAGCTTCAACAGCTACTTCAACAACTACACCTAGTTTGACTCGTATGCAGATTCATGCCCGTGACTTCATGGCTCGCTTGTTGGTCGAGTTCTTCGAATCCTTAGATGAACAGCGCAATGCTCCTCTGACGCACACGCTGCCAGCGTTTTTCTTGAGGTCTGTGGAACGCTTCTTGGAGATGCTGATCGATCTTTTGTCGCAGTTGCCCTTCCGCAAGTGCTTCCGACCACTGTTTTTGGACAGACACCTTGTTGTCCGTGTCCGAGACTTCATCGAGATGATGCGTGCACGAGCAGACGAGCAGCGAAAAATGGGTATCATTGGACCTACTGGCAGAGGAAAAGTAGGCGGAAAGAAAGGAGGCTGGGGAAAGAACTTCTACAACTACAAGGGCTGGAAAGGCAAGGGTAAAGGCTATGGAGGTTATAAACAAGATTTTGGAGGTAAAGACTTGAACAAGGGCGGAAAAGGCAAAGGTGGAGAGTTCTACGGTAAAGGGGGTGGTCCTCCAGGAGGTAAGGCAGGTTATGGTGAAGTAATGTCCAAAAGTGATGACGTGTGGACCGGAGATGCTTGGGATAATCAGCCTTTTGAAGCGTGGTTTGCGCATGCGACTGGCAAGAAGGGAGACATGAAAGGTGCACCAAATGGCTCCATGATGATGAACATCTTTGCAGAGGAGCAAGAAATGAATGTGCCATTCTTTACTACTGAAGATGAAGACTACAGTAAGTATCTGGCGGAAAACATCAAGCAGGATGAAAAGAACACAACCAGTGCAGAGGAAGAGCACCAGCAGGAGCAGAATGTTGTTTGGTTTCCGGATCAAATGCTGGATCCGGCTGAAGAACAAAGACTATTGGAAGCACAGCAAGGGGGAGATAACAAATTTATTGGTTTTGCTCCATCTTCTTCGGCTAATGGCGGTATGGCAGCTGCAGAATCTTCATCTGCCACACATCAGAAGACTGCTTTCGAACTCTCAGCCGAGAAGGAGGATAGTATGGTTTTCGCCAGCGGCATCTATCCGGAGGACGATATTTGGAGGTTGAGTGAGCAACTGTTGGACATTTTGGCCTTCTACGAACGATTCGAGGTGGATGACGTCACGGGGGCAGCCTTGCATCGACAAGACGTACTGCAGATGCACTACGACGACCACAACGCTTTGCGAAAAATCTGCTTCTCCTTGGCGAATGAGGCGCTTGGACTCGGAGCGGGCGCGTCGGAGCAGTTGAAGGGGGAAGAGGTAATTTGATTGAGAGACGAAGATCTTATCAATTTGACTTTCGACTGTATTAAAATAAGCAAACTTTGACGTACTTTTTTTTGTACTCATACATAAATAGCTTGTTTTTCTGCTGCAATAACAGTGAAAAAAAGTCTACTGCTACTGCTGCTCATCATCTCAGTTATAATTTGAAACAAAAAATTTCTCTTACTTGAACTACAGGCCCGTCGTGCTCTCGAAGAAACCAGCGAAGAAATGCGTGGCATCGCTCTCTCCCATGTTGGCGACTTCCAGACTCGTGGTGAACTCAGAAAAGCTTTCGCCAAGCTCCCCTATGCCGTTCTCAGGGAAATCACGCATCAACTGTGTTTCCTCGATGTACATCGCGACAGCACCTTGACAAGGATGGATGAAGCGGTGTCTTTGTACTTGGAGCAGAGAAAAGCAAGCCGAAAGCAGAAGAAGGCTGAACAAGACGGAGGTCAGGCTGACGAAGCTTTGAAGTCCTCATCAAAGGCGGACAACAAACTAGTCGCATTGTCCAAGGAGGCTAAATCGAAGTTGAAGAGCAAGTCCAAGAAGGAAGAAATCGCACTGCGCAAGATCTTCTTAGAAGTCCTCTATCAAAAGCTCGAAGCCAAGGAGGCACAGATTGATAAGGTGAACGCCTTGCCACTCTACCCAGCCGAAGACGTCATCTGGGACAAGAATCTCGTTCCCGAAGACCACTACCAGAACGAATACGCCTTAGCTTTGCCCAAACTCAACTTACAATTCTTGACCATTCACGACTACTTGCTGCGCAACTTCCATCTCTACCGTCTGGAATCCACGCATGGCATCCGAGATGACCTGCGAGATGTGATTCCGCGATTGCGTGCGATCCAAGATGAGAACTGTCGTGGCGGAGTGCGCTGGCTTGGAAGTTCGAGGATGGCGTTGCCGGTTGAGTCGTTCCAGATTACGGAAACAAAAGCACCACGGGTCGGAGAAACTGTGCCTTCAGCGGTAATGATGATGAATATACACCATTGCTTCTTGAAAATGAATGAAACAACTAGGACACAGCAAATCTAGCATTTACTTCTTCGGACTTTCTTCCGGATCTCGAACTCGTCTATTTCACATCTTTTTCCTCAATTGTAACCTCTCGTCTCTAGCAGCTTCCCGCTATGTTGGCTATGTTGGTCGTGTCTATGTGTGTCTATAACTTCAACTTTCTTGTTGATACTTACAACTGCAAATTCATCCACGACATCAGGTAAAGTGCGAGATCCGTTTTTCGATTTCTTCGATCCGTTCTCCGCACGTGCAACGCGAGTGGTCTTCTTTGAAGGAGCATGATGTGGTCTTCCTAGTCATCATTCAGCCGCCAGAACAGCCGTATTTGGGCAATCCGACCGATTTGGAGGTGAACGAGTTTGCTCGCGCCTTTGGAATCCGGGAGATCCGAGGAGTGGAAGTTTTAGAACTTCTAGATGGGGAGAACAACGTCATCTCCGATTCCAGTGTAGACCGCAAAGAGCCGATTGGGGATGAGCGTGTAGTGCAGGGACTGTACGATCCAGCTCAATTTCAATTGGATAATGCTCCGGAAATAGATTTGTTCAGTGGTCCGCCAGGCACGGCAGGCATGAGCCATCCGATCTTCCACTTGATCGTGCGGAGGGATCCGAAGGTGAACAACTTCAAAGCGGTACTAGAAACGATCCGTGACTTGATGAACAGCGATGTCAGTGCCGTGGTGCCAAGGTGGCTACATCGATTGTTTTTGGGATACGGAGATCCCTTGGAGACGCAGTACAAGATTTTGGGGTCGACTCCGGAGATCGATTTCCGAGACACGTTCTTGGACCGATCGCATGTGTTTGAATCGTTTGCGGAATGCGAAGATATCAGGATTGACGAAGACTGCAAGCCGCCGTACAAATTGCACTTCGTGACTGGGAGTAAGGACGAAGGTGTGAATGCTAGTAAGGATGACGGTGAAGATCAGATGGAAGTAGACGCTAATATGGTGGATGTTGATCAAGACGCAACTTCTACAGCTAAGAAATCCAAGATGAAGAGAAAGAAAGCACAAGCCAAGGTTCAGTTCACGAGCAAGATCAAGAGTCGCAAGGGTGCAGGTACCGGCAACAAGGTTGATGCCAGCCATGCGAGTGGAGCGAACACCAATGCCGCGAACGCTCTCGATATTGTGGATCTGCGCATTACTGGATCCACCTACATCGTGAAGAATCCGGGTCCTTATCCGTTTTGCATTCCGAACCGCAACAAAGTTCGTTTCACCCCGGTGCAGATCGATGCCATCCGCAGTGGCGTGAACCACGGACTGACCATGGTCGTTGGACCACCGGGAACCGGAAAAACCGACACTGCAGTCCAAATCGTCAACCTGCTGTTCCACAATTTCCCAGATCAAAAGATCGTTTTAGTGGCTCACAGCAATCAGGCTCTGAACGATTTGTTCGATAAGATTTGCCAACTCGACATCCCAGAACGCTACTTGGTGCGTCTCGGTCGGGGTATCGACGAACTAGACTCTGAACGCGATTTCAGTAAGCATGGCCGCATCGATTTCATGCTCAAACGTCGACTGGAACTATTGCAATTGGTGGCGAAACTAGCGCGTTGTCTTGGTGTTCCGGAGCAAGACGCAGCCTACACGTGCGAAAGTGCGAAGTTCTTCTTCCTACAGCATGTGCAGTCTGCGTGGGAGCTGTTCTTGGAGAAGCTGCAAATGGCCGGTCCGGATGGCAAGAACTTATCCAAAGTCTTGGATGCGAGTCACTTCGGGAAGAAAGCGCATTTGGCTGGATCTGGTGGTGCCGACACTGGTGCTGTTCCTCCAGATCAAATGTCTGCGAGCCAAGCAAAGAATGCTCGTCAGAAGAAGAAGCGAAAGCTGGACAAGACCTTCGTCAAGGGAGAGGACTTGAACACGACAGGACAAGAAGCGGCAGCCCCTGGACCTCAAATCGATGCTGAGGCTGAGAAACAAGTGATCGCAGACCAACTCCTGGAGGAACACAATGGCAGCGTTGTGGGCGCCTTGTTTCCGTTCTTGAAGTTCTTTGATGACGTGCCTTACAAACTCTTCAACTACGGCGATTACACGCAGGATTTGGACGAGGCTGAAGGCTGCTTCCGATACCTGAAAACTCTAGTGAAAGAGATAGACGAGTGCCTACCATTCGAACTGCTACGTTCCGGAACGGATCGTGGAAATTATTTGGTCACAACGCATGCCCGCATCATCGCAATGACCTGTACACATGCAGCGCTGACAAGAGCGAATCTGGTACTATTCTACTTTCTAATACTTTTTGTACGGCTACGGTAAAAAACACTCTTTTTCTACTTACTCAACTTTCGTAATTATGATTCATCCAACACAACCACGTCAGTCGGCTTCAGATCAGTGTCCAGTTTTGTCATTACACCATCGTATGAAACCTCCCAAACGCAAACGTCCTCCACAATGGCTACCAGGTAAAGCTCAACTTCCAGTATGACAATCTGATTATGGAGGAGAGCGGTCAGATCTTGGAGGTCGAAACCTTGATTCCCATGTTGTTGCAGAAAGCTGACGTTGCAGGTGAATCCCGATTAAAAAGAGTGGTGCTCATCGGTGATCACCACCAGTTGCCGCCAGTGGTCAAAAATCGAGCGTTCCAGAAATACGGGAAATTAGACCAAAGTCTTTTCACAAGGTTCATTCGCCTGAACGTGCCTCACGTGACGCTAGATGCGCAGGGTCGTGCGAGACCGAGCATTGCCAGCCTGTACAGTTGGCGCTACGACAACATGCGCAACCTGCCGATCGTGGAGAAGAAGGTCGACTACAGACTGGCGAATACAGGCTTGATATACGACTACCAGTTCATCAACGTGCCAGACTACAACGGCAAAGGGGAAACAACACCTATGCCATACTATTTCCAGAACGAGGGCGAAGCCGAATATGCAGTCGCTTTGTTCATGTTCATGCGGTTACTGGGATATCCGGCTGGCAGCATCTCGATCTTAACGACATACAACGGACAGAAGGCGCTGATTAAAGACGTAAAAATGGAATTATCTATCCTGATGTTTTGATCTATGACTTCTCCTCGTCCTTCGGCTCTTGGAAGGGCATCTTCTACATAAGTAGGCTTTTTATTAAGGGTAGGTTAAAGGTGCTTTTCTTACCGCTTTTTATGCCTCTCTCCCTTAGGAGAAGAAAGGCATAACAAGCGGGGTAAGCGAGCACCAAAAACCTACCTCTAATTTTACTTCCAATTTTGTTCCATTTCTGATGTTCTCAAAACGAACACCGACTTAATATCAAACAAACACTTCGTTTTCACCACACAAACATACAGGTGATCCAAAAGCGTTGCGCTTGGAACCCTCTCTATGGTTGGCCCAAGCAGATTACTACAGTTGACAAGTACCAGGGTCAGCAGAACGACTACATCATCCTCTCGCTGGTGCGAACCAGCACTGTAGGTCATCTCCGAGACGTCCGCCGTCTGGTCGTCGCCATGAGTCGATCCAAGCTGGGTCTCTACGTTCTCGGACGCTTCAAGCTCTTTAGTCAGTGCTTTGAGCTCCAGACTGTCCTCAAAATGTTCAAGAAGCGACCACTCAGTCTAGCATTGCACGAGAATTACATGAACGAGTTCTGGCCATGCGAAAGGTTTCTAGACACCAGTGACGACTACGCAGAGCGACACTGCAAACTGATCGCTAGTGGTTTGGAAGAACTGTGGAGCGTCATAGGCGAGATGCAACAAAGAAAAGCAACTGAAATGCAAGGGTTGTTGGCGGGAGGAGCAGAAAACCTCGAATACATGCAACCGCCGGCAGAATTGTAGAGGCGATAACTACATGATCGACACAGGAATGTCCATATGTTGTGATGTGAATGACAATCATGTGTTAAATCTGATGACATCTTCATGCTGTAATGTTGAGAAATTTGTCCTGTTTCATCATCAATTTGAGTACTGGTGGAAATCTTTATCGATACATCATAGTTTTGGTCGGCGGCGTTCTCGTTGAGTAGAACGTTGCCAGACTCCAACATATTGAGATAGACAAATCGCGACGGAAAAACTCCATAGAAGTTTTGCCGCTCATGGCGTGTTATGACGAGTGGTGCGCATCCACGAATCACTCGTATATACAAGAAGTGTCAGAAACTTTGACACAGGGACATGATCGAAATTCTATGTTTGTTTCACCCTTTTCCCTCATGTGTATCCCACGAATGATGACCGCGAGCAAGAAGAGAAGCTTAAGATTAAGAAGCCTGAAGGGGTCCCTTGCAGTTGTGTTAACCTTGGCTGATGTCGTGAGGTGTTGTTCCTATCGCACTAAGAACAAATGAGAGCAACTGTGATTCTCATGCCAAAATCAAGGAACGTTCTTCCTCTTCCACTCGTCCGAATATCTGCATTCGAATGATAATTACGCTGATTAAAAAAGATAGACATAGAAGAGCGAGAGTCATAAAAATATGCTTCAAGAAGGAAAAGAATCTTGGTGTGAAGACCCGTTGTCGTGGTGTATTTTGACATGAACTAACTTACGCCAGCCAGGAAGATGGGGAAACGTCTCTGAAGAGTAGGTGTTACTTTCAAGTGAAGAACAAAAAATTATGTAATCAGGTGGATCAACACGGACTTGTTGACATCAAATCTTCTGTTGAAGTTGAAGTAACAAGTCTGAGTTAGAAATAGAGAGGATGACCGCTAAAGTCGTCGATTTCGAACAGGAGCACCTTTTGCGGTTGCAAACAGGCTTAGCTTCTTGCGCAGATTCGTTTCAAGATGCTAGGTCGTCCTTAAGTGCCTGTTCCAGTATACTGAGGAGTGTAACCAAGTCTACCGCGTCTACGCAGAGTCGAAGCACCGGTACACAGGCACGTTTCCTGGACGAGATACATCACTTAAAGGAGGACCTCCTTGCAGGAGAAGCTGCATCAGCAGAGCAGCTCTCTCGTTTACGAGACGCATTGGTTGCGGCCACGAATGATGCTGTTGGAGGTCTCAAGGCCGCTTCCTCTGCGGCTGCGCGTGCGCGCCGTCAACATGCTGACATCTTTCCGCTCTATCAATTGCAAAATGCCTTGAGGGAGACGGTAGAGAGTCTCTTATTGGTAGAAAAAGTAGACATCGAAGAAACTACAAAAGGCGAAATACTCGGAGATCTCTTGGTTCTCAGTGCTACATTGGATGATGCACTTGTTGACGGGACTTCTCAAGGATCCCCCGCCGACACAAAGCACAATAGCGGCGACAGGTGGATCGCTACTGTCTTGCAGAGATTGACAAAGAAGCTAGCGGTTTCTTCTTCATCTTCTGGTTCTACAAGTAGTACTGCGAGTAGTGCTAGGCCTAGGATTTCACCAGTAGTATTGATGTCACGATTCCTAGTTGGACATCGTCCAATCCGACATGAGCTACAGGCGGCTAAAGCTAATGAGGCTGAAGATCACTTCGCACAGTGGCCTGCAGATGTGGCGTGGCGACGTATTCTAGAAGGACGATGTGGCCATGGTGGAGCAGGAGTGCAACAGGAGATCGTGAACTTGCAGTCAGTTAAAGAGCCCTCTAGCAGTAGCAATGTCAATTTGCTAACCGACCAGTTGCGCTTCGTTGACCTTTGCATGTCGTCTCTGACGACTGGTGCATCACGTTCGAAAGAGGCTATCCGTCTGCTCAAGCAGTTGCAAGGAGCAGTACAACGAGGAGAGTTGGTTCTTAGGCAGAAATTTGCGGTCGATATAGCAATCCAGCTGTTTGCTGTTGTCGTAGTTGGTTCCGGTGGCTGTGGTCCTCATTCTCAACACCAAACGTCGAAGAACTATTCTGCCTTGGCATTAGTTGTAGAGCAGGAGCAGGCAACGTCGACGAAGGCAAAGAAGACCGCGCGCACTTCTATTCCTCCTCTGAAGATAATTGATGATGAGCAGGCCGGAGATGTCGAGGACGATGATGAGAACCAGAATGGCTTACGAGTCGTTGCCAACGTGGATGATGGCGCGATCGGAGATGACGCAGAGGAAATGCTTCCATCTTTGTCGTCCCTATTTACTATGTCTTCTGGGCGAAAGGCTTTTCGCCCAGAAGGTCAACCTTCGTCTTCCTCCGACTTGGAAGATATCAGTGATAGTACCTCCTCGATACCAGAGAGCAGCTCCACCGGGGAAAACGTCAACGACTCTGGTGGTTCTGCAACGAGAGAAAACAGGTTGCAAACACTGCGTAAAATCCTCAGTCATGCTCGCCAACAAACTTTGCTTATCGGGCGACCTTCAGCATCCGCGAGTTCCAAGAAAGGAGTTGAGGGGCCTTCGCACCGAATAAAGCAGAAGCAGACTGTTGATGCTCTCTGCAATATTGACCAAGCTACAGCTATGTTGAACGAGATACGTCAGTCGCAGTCGAACCCATCCCCCTTTTGGTCTACCCTATGCGATCAAAGCAGGTGGACCCTAGCACTTAATGACGACCTCGCGAGAATGGGGGTGTATGGACTATGTGCTACAGAATACCCGTTCCTTCTGCGGGGTCTTCTTTCTGATGACTCAAGCACATCTTCTCCGAAGGACAACAAGTCTTACTTTCAGATCTTCTTAGAGGAATTGGATGCGTTGGGCGTTTTATTGGATAGGACAGAAGACCTCTGAAACTGAATCTGAAATTATATGACAAAAGACGATGCTGGATATTATCTTCTACGCTGTCTGCTACTTACAAGGAAGTGTTCGACTTCGACGAGGATGACGAATGGTGCCAGGTCCGGTGTCAGTCCTCGCTGACGTGGACATGAATCTCGGTGTGAAAGATTGCAAAAGAAGCTTCGTGTCGGTTCATCTTGCGCGGTGGCCCAATGGCGCAATCTTCTGCTTCTTCGATTGTGTATTCCTATGGCGAATGGCCCAATGGCGCTAGGAATCTTCTGCTTCTTCGGTTGCGTATTGATCTTGGTGTCGTCGTGATTCGGATATTACTATCGGTCGTGACATCAAAATCAAAAGAGTATTCGCCTTCGACATCGACTGCAATTCGGTTGAAGTTATCACTTCTCGGTGACGTACCTGAGTGTTACTTCACAAGAGCCAGATGGAAATCTTAGCAAGCATCTCACGATCCGTGCCCCAGATTTTCGGTTCTAAACTTGACATCAAAGAGTACGTATTCTCTCTCGTTTGCGAGAAGTGTCTCTTGTGCAGGCTCCCATTTTCGTCACACTCACTTAGATTTAGTACCCGAACCAGACCTCCTCTTTTCTCCACTTCTACAACTCCGAGAACTACCTAAGTAAATGAAAGAAAAAGCTTACAAGTAAGAGTAACTTACTGCTTTCTGCTAACTCTTGATTAGCACTCAATAACCAGAATCAAAATGACGGGTTTCTTCGAGCAGCGATTGCTTCCGATAACGAGCAGTGCTCTGGAACAGGAAGCGCCGGCCCCAACGACAACCATAATCGAACGGTTGTGCGAATATCAACGCGACATCCAGGACTTAGAGCGCAAAGTGAACCGCTGCAATCAGATTTTGAGTTATGGATGGCAATGCTCTGGATTTGAAGGTCAGTCACGCGTCGAGCCCCTTCATGATTGAACTTAAAACTTAATAAAGGTGCTTGTTCTCGTTCTACTTGCAAAGAGAAAGACAACTTAAAGATCGTGACACTTCCACCATTCTTGATTCTTGTCCTGGTACTTGCTTCGTGTTCGTTCTCTAACTCAAGCGACCCCAGATTGCTGTACGAGACCGCAAGCCATGGATTGATCGAGCTCTTAGTAGTGGAAATACCTTGCTAGGCAACAAATCACGGCAGAGTGTCGGGAAAGAAGCGAAGCGCTCGTCGCTTGGAGGCGTGGCGAGGGTACTCCCCATTACATTAGAGGCGAATTATAGCATTAGATAGTACACGACTATTCGTCTTAACGATTTTGGAATCCTATTCAAGTATATGATGATGTGTCCTATGATGTTTATCCTATCGCTATCCAACATAACAACGCTCGTCCTGCTCCCACTCACAGCGTTCTTCCCGCAAGAGTCGTGCGTCTGCTGCTCGTGGATCAAAGAGAAAGTCCTCAGCTGTTCGGTTTTCTGCTGGTGATGTGCCGGAGGTTCCGGACGTTCCCCCTCTAGGATTCGCTTCCGGTCGAATTTCAGTACGCGTTTTCCGTTTGAAGAAAATGAAATACAGCGATGTTGGGAAATGCGACTATTTGATCCGTGTCGGCTATCAAGGTCATGAAGAAACCTTCGTGGAAACGACGGCAAAACCAAGTGAAGATGGTACAACGTCAGCTGCAAATTATAATTGACTCCACTGTGCGGTAAGGAATACATTCATGACTTCAGTACTGCTCGATAGACCTAGTCCTAGACCTACTACTTAATACAAGTTTTCACTCAATATTAGATAGAAGTACAACTACAATCTGATTCTGACTCGTGAAGGTCGAATGATTATGACTTGTTCATGAAATTTATTGTTGACTTCTTCTTCGTCCTCCTCTCCAACACAGGTGTCAGCTGTATCATTCAGCAGCAACTCTTTCTCGACCAGTATCCTGGACGCGAGCTTATAGCAGAGGTTTACACAATGCCCCACGACACTGGTGGAGTGGCTCGTGCATCCGTCGGTAGTTTTGGTGCACCTGCATCCAGCACAGAGGTGGAACGAAGTTTGATTGGGAGGACGGCTGGAACCGATTGCACAGAAGCAGACTTTAAGGAGTATGCTGTTATGGAAGCGTCCTCCTCCTCAGGTGATGGAATGGGAAGTGCTGCAAGTAGATCTTCGACTGTCAGCACCAGCATTGGCTCAATCGTGTTTGCAGTCAAAGTTGCGGATACGAAACGATCCTCGACTTTAGACGCAGGTGGACGTGGCAGTATGCGCCTTAGTTCGATGGGCGGACCGGTCTTGCGAGTTGAGAAAGTCACCGACGTACCGAAGAGCTACATTGTGAAGGACAGACCTATGTGCGTCAAAGTCGGCTATCAAGATCAAGACTTTGCAGACTTCAAATTGCAGACGCTGGAGAAGGTACAAGATTAATATAGCTACCTGTTGCTGCTCTTGCTTGTTTTTAGTGGGAGTAAGCTAGAACAGCTGACTTACTTCTTAGATAGCACGATCGACCACATTTCTTGTTTCACCGAACAAATTCTAAATCCTTGACCCAACATTACATCTTGATCCTTGACCTTGACCCAACATCACACCGACACCAACATTGCACAGCCCCCGAAGATGGGTAAGACTGCTCGTGATCCTGTTTCAGCGGGTTTCCAACAGTCAATCCAGCTCGACCCAGTAGGAATAATGGCTGGCGATGCCTTGAAAGTGGCCTTGTGTCAGGGTCCGAAGGTCATTTCTGCGGCTAAGATCGCGAAGCCCAGGACGGATTTGAAAGCCTTAGCCCACTCGAAGAAAGGCACCGGCGATCATCATTCGGTTCATTATGGCTGTTGGATTTTGGAAGTGGGAGGATGAATGTAATTGTCATACTGGTGGATATAAGTAATATCTAGTTCTTGGTGTAGTTGTACTTTTTTGTAGTTCTGATATTATAAAAAACTCATTAGTTATCGTTTGTTGTCGGACTCCTCACAACTAGGCTTTGCGCTTCCTCTGCTTTTCCTCGGACCGCTTCAGGAACTGTTTCATCTCGCTGATGGTTGAGAATAACCCTCTCCTGAGATGCAGCACACATGACATACTCATGCACTGGTGTTCTCATGTAGCACAACAGTCGTCGAGTCATTGTTTCATCCCGCCTCCACCCTGTCATCCTTCTCTAATCCTCATTGTGGAAAACCGACGGAAGTGGAGATAGCACAAACACACGATGCGGAAGTGTATTACTACGCCTGGATCTGGTGCCGCCAAAGAAGGAGGACGACAAGAAAAAGAAGAAGGAAGAAGAGGAGAGTAACGAGGAGGAAGGAAGCATTACGGCCAGAAAATTTTAATGATAATTTTACATAAAATAAGATAGTGCCAGTGGGATCTTAAATTTCTCATATTTACAGTGAGATTATTTTTCATGCTTGATTTTTTCTCTGTGTGCATTGAGCTCATTTGCATTTGAATTTGATTAAAAGGTGATAAAAACAAAATTTCTTGGATTTTGTATAGAAGAAATTTTCATAGAGGATGATGAATTCACTCGTAGTAGCCAATATCTTCAACGGAGGAGATAGAAGTGAACTCAAATTTTTCGATTATACGATTTCAATTTTTGAATTGTTCGAAAGCTGGATAAAATCAAAAATTTATGATTTCAAATTCTTTTTCGTTTCTCTAACTCAAGCAAGAAATCAGGGTCCTCATCGTCGTCTGGAACCAGCAGCAGCAAGGATAGCTCAAATACGAGCAGCTCGAACAGCAGCAGCAATGACAGTAGCGACGACTCAGATGGCGACGAAGATGAAGAGGAGGAAGAGAACTCAAGCGAAATGAGCCTTGCTGTGCCGGTGCCTCGGAAGAAGAAGTAGTGCAATAGTGGGTTTATTAGGTGTTGAGCGCCGCAAGCGCAACATCGTGAAGTTCGAAACTGAGATGATGGTAGTAAAAGAACTACCACTTGTTCATCTAGTTCTTCTAGTATCTTTGTTCTGACAGTGACTGTTCTTCTCGTCATGAATATTGTGAGCTTACTGTTCTTGCTTAAATGTAGAAATTTCAAGCACCGGCAGGTGAGGACCATTTTCGCCTTGTTCCTGTTATTGTCCCCCCTTGCCCTTGCTCTTCTGCTGGTGCATCCCTCCGCGTAGCGCCCCAAAACAGTGGCAGAGTGAATCTGCATCTACTCCGCTCCACAGAATCCAACCTACAATGATCAAACCAAGAACAGAAATATGTGAGAGAAAAAACTTTAAGTAAAAAGATGACTATATTTTGACTCCGATGTAGTCGTTGGTAAAAAAAAGATGAGGCGGCCTTCAAGGTGAAGATCATCAAGAACAGGAAGAAGAAGAGATCAAGAGATCAGGAAAAGCATACGGTTTCAGAAAAACCATGTCATACGTAAATCGGTGAGTGAAAAAATGCGAGTGCATGGCTTGCCACTCTTATGCGCTTGCGCTTGATATTCATGAGTAGAATAGAAAAAGCAGCGCGCTTTTCAGCCGTTGTCCAAGTCGGTTGGATGTCTCCACTCTCTTGCGAGAGTTCTAGCTGAAGCGCTTTTTCTTGGCCCTGCCTGGCTCCTCACGTGCCCTTCGTCGCCCGATCCTAGTGTAGCTTGGGTGCTGGGTGTTGGATAGAGGCCCGTCTGGGTTTCTGTCCGCTTCGAAGTTCGCTTTCCGGCAGTCACCGCGAGGAGCTGCTCTTTGGCCCCTTCGACGCGGCTGCTCGGCTTTCGTCTTGCTCTCCTCGGTGCAAGGCCCACTTGCGTGCCACTGTGGTGAGGAGTTTCCTGCACCTTTGTGGCCCGTTTCCATCCTTCGTGGCTGGATCTCGTGTGGCTCTCATGATGGATATAGCTGCTATCATCGAACAGCTTATCTCCAGTTTTGGTAGATTAGTCTCTCTCAAACCATACATACAGTTTTGCTTTTGCATGCAAATGCAAACGACTCGTGGCACAGTCTTTCCTTTTCTCCACATTCTTTTTTTTTGGAATATTATCACAACAAAAGGCTCTCTTAGCACAAATACATTTGATTTCTTCATGACTTTTGGCCCACAGTTTCCTACTTGTAATCATAAATCTCGTTCGCCTCTTTCGCTTTGCAAGTATATATTGTAAAGAAGAACTACCCTTACCCACTAAGGAACCAAGAAAGTTGTTAATCCTTATTATAAGGACGAGGACCTTAAAATATAAATACGATCACACAATCAAGAGAACAAAGACATCATCTCCAAATTTTGATCCTGTATCAACGATCAAAATGGCCAAAAGTGCGAGGGAGGTGAGCAGGAGCAAGTCTCCGAAGATGGGGAGCAAGTCTCCGAAAAGTCAAAAAGCCGAACGGGAACCGTCTAGTAGCGTTATCTCGTTGGTTGCGGGTTTTCTGGCACTGATATTCTTGTACCCGCTGAGCTGCCTACCCCGTTTGCTTTATTTCTGCTTCTTTTAAGGCTCCTGCTCGAAGAAATCCATCTCAGCTACGTAGCATCTTGATTGTATCTTGACCCCGCCGTTTCTCAAGTAAGTGAAGACGGGCATCTTCAGGGAGCCCCACATCAAGATGGATTTCCTCGACAGTACACTTCTAACTCCGGTATATCTTTGCGCCGTTCCTTCTGTGTTGGGTCGCCTACGTGGTCTTGATCTACCCTGAAAAACGTGTCCTACATTGGCTAGAGTTCGGAACCGATGACTACGCGTGGACAAATCCGCTCACTACGGCGATCGAGCAGGTATTGAAATTTTTTCTGTGACGAAGAAAATGATTGGATTTCTTGATTTGATCAACATATTAATCTGATTTGTCAACATCTCTTGCATTAGTTGTACTGATGAAAGAAAAGGTCAAATAAAATGAGAACATCAACGAAAAGATGACCTCTTTGTCTACGGACATAGCAAACGCCCAGTACAACTCTGTATGAGCTCGATCTGCTCGATCCTATGATAAACCACACCAGGACCTGCTCTCCTTCATGTTCAAGGAGGGAATGGAGCAGGGACTGGTGGATCCGGAAGAGAAAGTGGTAGCCGAGTTGCAAAGGATTTTGGGCTCCACCCCTAAAGAACCCTAAGGCTTCTTCTCCTAAAGTTGATGAAAATGGTCCATCATGACTTTTCTTCTTTCGGTTTTTGTTTATGGTCTATCATCTTCATCAGAGAAGTCATCCGAGGTCGGAGAGACGTGGTTTTCAAGGGGATGAAATTGAGGCACCTACTAGGTGGAGGATGCATTTGGAGATGGGTTAGTGATGTGAGCTCTAAAAAGAAACTCAAGAACAAAGTTCGCCAGTGATCGTGGAGTTAGCCGCAGGAGCAGGTGGAGGAGCGGTAGAGTGGGCAAGGAAATTGCGCGAACACGCTGCTAAACTCGGTGATGTTAAGGCTACCGCTCAAGCATGTCCTTAACAGCATGTCCTCTCCTCAGCATCATGTCATTCTCGATCATGACGTCGCCTGGTGTTCTATACACCTCACCAGGAGAGTAGGTCCTGGTGCGGTTTATCATAGGATCGAGCACCAGCGCGTCATTCTATCTTCCTTGTTCCTTTTTTTAACAGCATCATACTTCCTTGGTTCTCCTTTTTCTACTTGATAAAAAGGGGTGAAGGATGCACTCACGGACGCTAGCGGGGTAGCTCTAATGGAGGTGTTTCATCTAGTACAACTAGTAAAGTCCATGCTTTGTTAACGGATTACAGACCGAATGTGGTCAGTTGGGAGAGACACGTGCAAGAACACGGCGCAGACCTCGTCTCGTACATTCCGGCCTCTATAGATGCGAAAAACGTTCCTCCGATTTCTGAGCTCTTGTTGCAGTCGACTTCCAGCGCTCTCCTGAAAGATGGAAGTACAAGTAGTTCAAACAACAAGAATATGAATAATGCTATCCGGTACATCAATCTGGCCTTGCACCACTTTGATTAAGGCCTCACTTTTAATCCATCTTCTAGCCGACCTCTCTGTGAGCTGTTTTCAAGAAGAAAAAGAACGAAAGCAGATATGGGAAAAGATGGATCGCAGTGAGGTCTAATTTGGACCGGAATTCGTGCGTGAAATGTTCGCGGATGTAATCAAGTCTGGCGAGTCTCTGATGATTGGGGACTTTGAGCCGAACCGCTGGAACTTGGGGCTGAACATTTTCGCGCCGCACGCCTACGTCAAGAAGCACAGCGAACTTCATTGGGATGTCGTTCGCGACCGCTTTGAGAAGCACTTTGTCCTTGCTGGGGAAAAAGGGGTACTAAATCTTGTCCTAGCAATCACGGACTACGTGGTCAAGCAGGTTTTAGTCATGTTGAACGATGGGACAACGTCCGTTTTGCGGGTCTATTCGCAGGACCAGCTGCGTGCGTTGACGGATGACATTCCAGGCGCGGACAAGTACGAGTGGAAATTCTACGCGGGCAGCTCGACGCTAGCTTGGATTCTTGGCAAGGAAAAGAGTACCTGGATCGAAAAAAAGATCTTTGGATTTTCAGAACAAGAGCCTGCGCCACCTCATCTTCATTTCGCATTCTTGGTGCCGAAGAAAGAGCAGTAACTAGTAACAGTATAATGAAATACCTGCTGGAGCAGGTTCCTGGACTTGGAATATTTCTTAAAATCTCATCTTCACGTGGTGAGCATGAAAGACAAAGAGACAGCACGACTTCTTTAGTCTTCAAGACTCATATCTACGTGCTTAATAAGCTTTGGTTTGTTATAGGTCAAGGTCCTCCATGTTTCACCTCTACTTTACTACGACTATCAAAGAACCTAATACTAAAATGAAAATTTCAATTTGCTTCATCTTGTTCATGTTGGTCTTTTCCAGCGCACACTCCACCCGCACAATCCAGTGAACAAGCGATCATGTACGCCATCCGAGCAATGAACTAAACATGCGATGTGGAAGAACAATTTCCTGCGCCGCGACATCAATGTAGAAGCATTATGGGGGCATAAATGGGTACTACATTGATGTAATAAATACTACTACTCAAGAACCGCATCACAGAACTACATGTTCGAACAGTACAATATGATCCTGGTGAGGTGTATAGAACACCAGGCGACGAAATAAAGCTAGTAGTTACTCGCTTATTTCAGTTTTTCGAATAGAAATATTAATAGTCGTGGAAATCTCTGTTCTTCAGGGTTCCCGTTCAAGGATGTGAGGACACAAAGAAACAAGGGAGGGAGTGATGAGTGAGCGAGAGAGAGAGAGAGAGAGGGAAAGATGGATGTTGACAAAAGAGATGTGGTGTGCGACGAGCCATGAGCTGCTTGTAGCCACGAGCTGCTTGTAGCCACGAGCTGCTTGTATTAGTATGATAGCTACTCAATACAACAAAATAGGATGAGCCAGGCTTCGTTGTATATTTTCTCAATTGAATCATAATCTTCTATTATGAAGAGACCAGTACAACAAATTATCAACGAGGACGTTGACACAAAGAGAACTGCTGTCTGAGATATTACACATTCTTTGATAAACCAAAAACGGATAAAACAACATGGTCGTCGGTGACTCGTCACCTCTTCCTCCTTCCACCATGGAAGCGATCCTATCAGGATCATCACAGCTCTTCTCGTGGTCTTTTTTGCAGAGCCTAACTACATCAATATTGGAGACGGCGGGACAGCGGACAGCCTTGCCGGCTCCGCTTCCATCGATGCCAGTAGGTGAGCTCCAACTTCACCGTGGATCCACCAGCATGGAAAAAATGGACTTCGAAGACTTCGAGGGCAACTACCTGGAACGAGCACCCCTCCGCCGTCTAGCTTCTCCCTCTACCCAGCCCGTGCTCACAGAAGCGGACCAAGGACTCAGAGTGCGCGTTCACGTGCTATTACTGGTGACGGCTTTGGCGGCGGGGTATGGGGTCTACGTGACGAAGTACGAAGGATGGAAAAATATGATGAAAAATGCTCCTTCTGCATCACATTCAAGCGCAGGACTCGATGATGGAGTTGACGACGCTCGACGATTCAAAATGCACTATCTGGCGGCGTATTTGCTGGCGATGCTAGGCGATTGGCTGCAGGTGTTCGGGAGATGTTCGATTTAGACTTGTGAGGGAATAATTTTTACAATATCTGCATCTACGTCCAACATAAACATTCATCCGCCTTGATGTTCATCGATCCCGCTCCAACACCTACCTTGACGAAATCAACAGGGCCCCTACGTGTACGCCCTCTACGCTGCCTATGGCTTTTCGCATGAGGATAACAGCAGATTGTTCATCTTTGGATTCGGGAGCTCGATGTTGTTCGGCACCTTCATTGGCGGATACGCTGACAAGTACGGGCGAAAAAAGTTCGCCATACTCTATTGTGCGGTCTACGCTTGTTCCTGCATGACCAAACACTTCAACTCGTTCTTCATGCTGTCGATTGGACGAATCTTAGCTGGGATCGCGACTAGTCTGCTGTACTCGGTGTTCGAGTCCTGGGTAGTGTGTGAGCATGGCAACCGTGAATTCCCTGACTCAGTGCTTGGTGATATTTTTTCACTGTCAATCTTCGGAAACTCCTGCGTGGCGATCGGTGCAGGGTTCGTAGCGCAGTGGGTCTCGGATTTGTATCCGTTCACCAAATTGTCAGAGACGATTTTTATGACTGTAGTACTTGATGTCGTGACTGTAGTCATTCAGCATGTTGTAGAAGTAGTTGATATTTGCGGGTCCTAGAGAGCAACCCCCGCTGTGCCTGGGGCGATAATAAATTCGCGAGTTTCTGCTCGCTGCATGCCTTCTGACAGCCCCACTGACTTTCCCTACTCCCTTCTAACCTCCACATCGGGCAATACACGAATCCTTTCGACTTCGCAGCTTTTATCTTGGCAGGTTGTGGTTTGCTGATTCATACCTTCTGGACAGAAAATGTTGGTGGAACGGCTATTGAAGAGCGTGAAGACGGAGGCAACATGATAAAGAAATCCACAGGAGATGGACATGGTTCACCCAGTGCAATAGGCCGTGGATCTGCCTCTCCAGCTAACAAAAACGCACCAGCGTCTGGGTCAAACAGGGGCGGAAGAGGTTCAGGAAAGCTAGAGGACATTGAACTAGAAGAGGAGCCGGTTGTGGTGTTGTCTGCGGACGTCGGCGAAGAAATTCAGCATCAGTCGGACTTCCATGAAGCATGGCATATCCTTAAAACCAATACTGAAGTTCGCTGTTTGGCATTGATTTGCGGTTTCTTCGAGTCGTCGATGTTCATCTTCGTGTTCTTGTGGACGCCAGCGATCATGCAGGCTGACGGTGGTGGCATCAAGAATCCGCCGTTTGGTCTGGTTTTTGCGCTCTTCATGCTTGGATGCATGGCAGGCAGCTGCCTGTTCTCGTGGCTCACGACGTTATGATATTTTTGTTGACGTGATGAAGATGAACTAGATTTTGGACTTGAGCTCGCGGTTGAGGAGCGCGTGCAAGACAATGGGCCTACAGCAATACCAGTTCTTGAATTTGTTGAAGGATTGCTGATTTGCAAATTGCACCTTTTGTCTACTTGTACCTAAGTACTTAGTTAGTAGTTGGTTTGTCAAACTTCTCCTGACAATGCCTCCGCTTTCATCATCCCCAGCAAGCGAAGGCGGATCGGCATCAGAATGGGAAACACCGAAATTGGCGTTTCTGATATTCGTCCTCTCTGCATTGGCTCATGGGCTCGTTGTTTTTATGTGAGTGAATAGTTGTTGAAGTGGACATAATTGCTGATGTTCATTGAGAAAGTTGGAAAAACTAAGTACTATATTCAACGGAAAGGGTTTTTGATCTTCACTCACTTTGAATGCGCATGTTGTAGTTTTCTGGTACTATGTGATCATATCTTCCGGCTACAGCACCGGGACCAGTCTACTTTCTTTCCTCCTAAAGGTTCAAGTTATATAGAGCATAGTGTCCAAATCCAATCACATCATTCCACCCGTGCCGTCGAGCAAGGACCCTTTCCACCCAACACGTTCCTCTTTCATTTCTCTATCCAGTGGCAGCTTCTTGATTCTGTCAGCCTTCGTGCTATTCGAGATTTGCGTCGGGCTATACTTCCCAACGATGGGGATGTTGAAGAGCAAAATCGTGCCAGAAAGTTGTCGTTCGACAATGTACAACTTTTTCTTATGATCGATGCCGATCGCATTTGGTAGCTGTAGATGTCGACGATGGAGAAGAAGATGTACCTTCTAGGTAGAACTATGATCTAGTTCTTCTTGGGAGAACACATGGAAATTCTGGGGGCTAGCACGCGTCACATTGATGACACATGGGGTACACCACCAGGGTGAGGGGCGAGACCTCCGTAAACAATCCTATTTCAGGAAGATGCCATAAATCACAACCTCTAATCTTCCGCGTACCTCTGAACTTCATTGTGTGCTGCGTACTTTTGTCGAATGTGCCAGTGAAATTGGGTTTTACTCTGACAACGGCTTTGCTCTCGAGTTGCGTCTACATGCTTTTCCTCATGTTCGGTGCGGGACCTTTGTTATGACTTCTAAGCCTATCGTCCTAGTACTAGGACTCGTACTATCATGATTGGTATCGGACGAGTACTTGTTGAACAAAGAAGCAGCTGTTATTTCGTAATTTTTTGCTGTTGTTCTAATTTTGACCGGTGGTAGCAGCACGACTAACGCAGCACGTGACATTGCAAACGGCAGTCGAATTGATGGCGACGGGGTCTGACATGGGTGGCGGATCATTGAAGATATCGTACGAAAAAACTCTATTTATAAATATGTATCAGGGAGGGAGGCCCCCCCTGTGGATGGAGCGGTGGTGGCGTCAATAAAAAAAGTTGAGGTCTCTCTGTATTCGGTTTGGTTCCTCGTCTAGATACAACTCGTGAACAGCTCGTGGAAGGAGAGGCTAAAGTACCAATTCATTTTCAAAGCAAAAAGTCAAAGTCACTTACTTAGCAGGGAGTAGAAATGAGTAGTTGTAGTTCAAGTGTAATTTGAAGATTCCGTACAATTATCCATACTCCTACTCGTCAAAAATCACTGCGAATATCCTGTACACATTCTCAAGAACAAATACTAGAGGGTCAATGAACCAATCAATTTTTTACATCTACCACACCATTATACGGCTTAGCCCTGGCACTACCTACATACCTCATTGTTAAGATTTACTATGATAGCTCTGACATCTTTACGATGAATACTTTGATCCCTGAATTACTATGTGAGCTGTCGAAGTGATGTAACTTTGCCTTGGTTCCGCAGTTGTGGACTTTTATCTGATAATGATTAATTTTTTTTTATTTTGTTGGTGTGGATCTGTCGTGACTTCTTAGTGCTCGTGGAAGCTTTTATGCATGACCAAGTCAAAACCACAAAGACGAACCCGTTCCTGTGTAATCATGAAAACGTTCTCACATACGCTTATTCACCGAGAGGGAAAAAGAACGTTGAAAAAGCGAGAGAGGGGCTTTGTGTTTTCCGACGAAAAGAGAGGAAAAGCAAGAGCAAACCTATTTATCGTCTAAATAAGTGGAATCTTGGTCTTGCATGGAAAGACAGTTAGTAGTTTCTTCGTTCCCAAACTCTAGTACTTATTTTCAAATTGTGTAGCTCTACTTCTAGTACTACTAGTTTTATCCACGAAATCGACACTCAATTCCCACAAAAAGATGTCATCGTGCTTCATCGGGTTGTTTGACTCTTTTCGGGAGTGTTTCAACCCAAGGAGTATCACGGGTGGCCGGGACGTTCATGCCGCATATTTTATGATTACTGTTGGTCGATTCTGATTGCATCTTCTGGATTAGCAAGCTAGCGTGACGAATCGTCTGTTGTTGTTGAAGTAAGAAGTAGAACTTCTATCCTATGCATGAATAATCTCCTCTCTGGTTTTTAGGGCCTTATGAAGTGATTGACGCAACGCGGTTGAGGTGGTGAGAACCAAATATGCAACCACGACATCACTTTTTCCGACTGAACGAGCTACTCGACGTGTTACAACCATGCCTTCACGCTCACGGTCATCCTCTAAGATTTATACTTATGGCGTGTGCTGCTGTTGAAATAGAAATTAATTGTTCCAAGTCCGTTTCGACCTATGCTGGAGACAGGAGAGAGATTGAGATTCACGTGTAGCAGTGTCGACCCTTATTATGTATAGGTAATCCCAAAAAGTTTTTGTAGGTGTAGGTCCTCGACGACCATACATCCAATTCCAAATTAGGACCTTCCCATCTTCTAACATATGAATTTCCTCCAGCGTGGAAGCAAGCTGAAAGGGGATGCGAGTTCGGGTTCGTTGCCTACAACAGCCGGCAATGGTTCCGATAGTAACTCCTCGTCGGCAACCGGAGGCGCGAGGAAAAAATAGCGAACTCCGCATAGGGATTCTACGTATTTCATCAAGTCCAAGATGAAGATGTGAAATTAACTTAGATGAAGTGGCTTCCTCTTCGATTCTCGTGTGAAGATATAAACCTCGAATTAGCAGTCTACTACTTGTGAATCCAAGAAGAAGAAGTCCATCGTTACCCCGCCTATTTTTATTTGACGACCTAATACAGTACTGAATTCTGCATATAGATACAACAAAAATCTGCGTGCAGCTGCAAATCATTGTTACTCCGAGTAGCCTCAACAACACCAGCACTTTTTCAACTACCGCTTTGCAATACGATCGCTTACAATATTAATAAGAAGAGTTAACGACGACCTTGATGTTTCATGGCAAGAGACGCGCTGCACGCGGCCCGACTACCACAGTTGTATTTACAAGCTGTGTTTCGTCTAGTACCGATTTTTTTTGGAACCATGTTTTGAGGTGGAATAGAAATCATCTTGCGAGTTGAGGAAAAGTTGAGTTTTTTATCTTGAGAGATGGCCACCGGTGAAGATGTCCTGAAAGGAGGTTTGTTACGACTACCTAGCACGGACACAAGCCAGAGTCAGATTCTTCAAGAGAGGGGCATAAAACAATGCAGATTGCTGTTTTTTTTCTTCTCGTTAGCTCACAACCATCAAGAACACTCTTACTCATATTTATATAGTCCTAGAGGCATCCTGACTAACTCTAGTCTTTCAACATCCAAAACCAGCCACATTTTAGGGTGGTTATAGAAGACGCACAACTCGTTCACGAGTTGGGTAAAAACAGATTTTTTCAAATTGCTAGCTCATCAACTAGCTTAAGAAAGTTTACGTAGTATCAGTCTTTAAGAACAAGATACCCGCGAGTAGAATCAAAAATGTCCTGCTTCGTCGGCTGCTTCGATACCTTCCGGGAGGTGTTCAACCCGAAGAGCATCAGAGGCAAGGATATCCATGCCAGCTATTACCTGAACTTACGGAGAGGACTTGAGAATAAGAACAGCAACAGGAAACACTTACTAGAAATCTAATCGAGAACTGAAAATAACCGAGTTACTGACTGAAATATGAGACGTACTAGTCTCGACAGGCTCCTCTTCCTTCTCATCAGTATCTCGGTTATTCTGATCAAGTGCCTGCTTATTTCAGTTTTTCGAGTACATGCTTCTTCTTCTTCTTCTTCTTCTTCTTCTTCTTCTTCTTCTTCTTCTTCTTCTTCTTCTTCTTCTTCTTCTTCAATTTGTTGCTCATTCCATGGAGATGCGCTTTTTCATCCCCGACGTGGTCGCGAAACCAGCAAGATTGAACCACCTTGAAAATCTTCTGGATAAATACCTTTATCCATAACAGTCCGGAAAGTCCTTCTTTCATTTTCGATGGTACAGCCAAAAAAGCCAATCCGGGTTGCTATTACCGGTGTTGCGGGTCAGATTGGGTATGCCTTGTTACCCATGATTGCGAACGGTGATATGTTTGGGCCCGATCAGGAAGTTATTATCCAAGGTACTGGGAGGTTTTTCTCTTTTCTACTGACGAGTGTCTTCACCTTTCTTCAACTTCTGCTACGACAACTACGACAACTTCATCCTTCTTGTAGAAGTCAAAACATTGATCTACCGCTCTGATCACACAAGGTGTCGATCTAAACATCGAGGCAGTGAGGGAAAACCTAAAGGGTATCCAGATGGAGCTGGATGATGGTTATTATCCGCTATTGAAGCAGGTTATCTTTACCACGGACCCTAACGTCGCGTTCCAGGATGCAGACGTTGCGATTCTTTTAGGTATTTTCTTTAATGCTGCGATTGCTTGAGGTATTTATGATAATTGTTCAGATCATATTGCTGACTCAACACTCGTTACACTCACAAGAACTAGTATGATTTCCTCAAAAGTTCTTTTGAGTCAGGTCCCTAAGTTACGACATCAAGATAGCATGCTCCTTGTTGACTGAAAACAAGATTGTGCTCTGATTTCACTGACAGTGTCAAGACAATGACCAAAAAACTCCAAAGGTGCCTTCCCGCGTAAGCAGGGTATGGAGCGTAAAGATTTGATGGAGAAGAACATCAGCATTTTCAAGACCATGGGAACCGCGATTGAGAAGAATGCGAGCAAAGATATCAAGATTCTGGTGGTCGGAAACCCTGCTAACACTAATTGCCTCGTTGTTTCCAAGTATGCGCCAAGCATCCCGAAGAAAAACTTTTCCGCACTCACGAGACTCGATCATAACCGAGCGAGAGGTATAGTACTTATTTACTCACGGGACTCGACCATAACCGAGTAAGAGATATAGCATATAGGCATTCACGGACAGCAGAAAAAGAAGAACTCTGTAATCTACGGACTACAGGTCAAATCGCATTGAAAGCAGGCGTACAACTAAGCCAGGTGAAGAACGTGTGCATTTGGGGTAACCATAGTTCAACGCAGTACCCAGACGTCTGCCACGGGACGATCAATGGAGTTCCGGTACTTATAAATATGGCTCCTCTAGTAGGAGATGACTCTAAATCTAATTATTGGTGGAGTTCTCGTTAAAAAATGAAAGTATGCTACTACCCCTACTGCTCCTCCTCCTCCTCCCACTCCTCCCACTCCTCCCACTCCTCCCACTCCTCCCACTCCTCCCACTCCTCCCACTCCTCCCACTCCTCCCACTCCTCCCAC